GCACGTACGGGTCTTCGCCGAGGCAACCTTCGCAGAGCTGCGGGAACTCATCGGCGCCGCCCGACTCCCACGCATGCTTGGTCCCGTCGGTCTTGATGCTGAGACCGCGCTCGCCCATCTCTCGCTTCTGACCAAACACGCTCTGGGCCGCAAAACCTTCCGTGCGGCTTCTGATTGGCTGTAATGTTTAGAAAAAACAGCACTTGATTGGCCAGAATCTTCCATTTAAACTAGTAAAAAAGAGTTGCATTTGCACCAATCCAAAGTGCTTGTCAGGATCGAGAGAGATTGAATAACGTTAGCATACCGGTACGTATTGTGACCTCCCGAGGCAGTACAGATTAGCTGCAGCTGCCGATGACACAAGAGAGACGAAGAAGGCACATAGCCAACGATAGTACCGGTAAATGTGAGAGGTGTGTTCGTCGTTTGGATGATCGCAATGCAAAACGGAGCTCATTTTTAGTGTATTTCTTCCTATTAATTATGTTCAGGCCACCCTTGTTTCAAGCTGAACAATATCCGCCGCCACAACTAAAAGCGCTGGGATACATGACCAGCGTTGTAAGTACAAACCCAAACCCATCCACTCATGGACACACCAGTACCTCGAGCGCAGCGCACTGTATGCCGTGGAAATCGGTTTTCGATATGAGACGAAATGTCGCACGCAAGACCAATAACGCAAGACGGCAATCGTGTGGAACAGTTTCATAAACGTACTAGTAACTAGGAGCCTTCCGATCGGACGGCCGTGCAGAAGCTGTGTGGATCCATCACAGCAATGATGGGTCCACACAAGCCAGGTTCTGTTGGAATTGTACCAACAGTCCGAGTCTCAGTTTGAAGCAGCCGGTTTCCTCTTCGCACCGCAATTTGCGACGCGCAGGCTGAATACCGGTACAGTATACTATACTGTACCGGTATTCCTCGGATTGTAATCGTACAATAATGTATACAGTGTACATATTATATACATTATTGTACGATTACAATCCGATGTATGACTTGTTTCGTGACGTCGCGATCGTAAACGCGAGCGGCTGGTGCATGGAGTAATCACATCGGACGATTAAATGTGCCGGTAGCTCGTTGGGCACTTGCAATTTGGCCATGCAGTGGTTTCGGGCGCTTTTCCTCCCTGCCGCCGTGCTTGGTGCAGTCTGCCCGTATCATAACTACACGGTCGGCAACATTCTCGTTGCGGATGGATTGTGTTCGCCGTCCGCACCCATCTGCAGCGTTAACACGTCCTGCGTTCGATCGTCCAAGCAAGTGCCGCAAGACGCAACCAACCTCACGGGCTTCATTGGTCTCGGTAATTTGACCATGTTTCCATATCAGGAGCTGTGCGCGCTTTGAACTCCAGGACGTCGCTCATGCTCGTATACACAGGGCACTCTACAATGCGTCGACGATGTGGGTCGAAGATTTAGTGCTGCCAACTTCGCTTCTCAAGCTGTACGTTTCTCCGTGCCTATGCTTCGAATCATGCTAATGTACGCACACACGTTTAGGGGTTTTTCCAACATTTCGGACATTTATCTGGACGAATTTGCACCGGCGACAATTGCCCACCTTATCGCCATGTAAGTGGCTTATTCCCGATGATTGCCGAGGACGATATTAATGATAACTAGGGCCTTCATAACGTGCAACTTGGGTGTGATTCCGCTCACCTTTCAATGGCCACCGGGTCTACAAGAGCTGTACGTAGAAGAATTATGTACGTGTATGCGGCTTACGGAAGAAACAGGATTCTCGTCGACAATGCGTTCCAAACGATCCCGAAAGCACTGCCCATGACGCTGCACACGCTGTAAGTGCCATACCCTGGTTGATACTGTCGTGGCAGCTCATTTTCACATACACTAGAGCCTTCCAATCCAACGCGCTCACGGACCTCTTCTACCTCCCCACGAACCTTACTTTCTTGTACACGTGGCTTCGAGGTGGCCATTAGACTGATTCAAAACCTACTTAGGAATTTGGACTCGAACCTTCTCGATGAAGTCGTCGACCGCAACTGGAACCAGCTAACTCTCTTGTACGTTTACGACAACTTGCACCAATCTAGCCAGCTCACAATGATCGGTATTGTAGGCGCCTCGATAACAACCCCATAGCGACAATTGCGGGTGTCCACCTCTCAAAGAGCCTCCAGTTTTTGACTCTCTTGACTGAAATGACGACGAATTCTAACTCCGTTCTAGCGGCTGCAAAAATTGTCCACTGACGAATTTCACGATGACCCCCGAGACCTTTGCTGCCCTCGACGAGCTCCAGCCGTGGAATGGCAGCTACGTCGACCCTAAGGGTTTCCATATCACACGCGACGTCTCCGTGGACACTGGCGCATGTGGTGCCATCGACGGATCCGTTCAGACGCTTTGGGCAGGCAAGACCAACGTTACCGTGCGCGTGTGCGTCGCGAGCCCGCAGTTATCCAAGCGTACCGGTACGACTCTACACGCCGTCAACGACGGCAAATCAAGTTCTTTATAGAGACTTCGACCGTCGTTGCTGCCATTACTGTTGGCACTGCTTTCCTACTGCTCATTCTTGGCTGCATTCTTCATCGCTACCGCAAGCGCCGAACTGCCAACACCCTATCCAGCTACTACAGCAGCTCCACGGGTCGCACGATGCCGACTGCCGACAGCTCGGACGGCCTCCTTGACGTCTCCCGCCTGCGCCAGCACCGCCTCGAGCTCTCCGAGCTCCGCGTCACAAGCGACAAGCCCCTCGCGTCTGGCGCCTACGGTGAAGTCTGGCTCGGCACGTACGCCTCCGAGCCCGTCGCGATCAAGCGATTGTTGTACCGCCACCCGGACGCGGTCCAGCAGTTCATTGACGAAATCATCCTCATGGCCGAGTACGTCCCATTGCGTGTGTTGTATACGTACTCACATCTTGTGAGTAGGATGGACTGTCCGTTCATTGTCTCGCTCGTGGGTGCGAGCTGGCGCCGACCCGTCGAGATGGAGTGCGTCGTCGAGTACATGGACCTCGGCGACCTCCGCAGCTACCTCGGTCGTCACTCGCCAGACGAGTTTTCGTGGGACCAGAAGCACACCTGCATTCTCAGCATCGCCAAGGGTCTCACGTACCTCCACACGAGCGACGCGCCGATCGTCCATCGCGACTTGAAGAGCCGCAACGTGCTCTTGGACTCGACCAAGGGAACAAAACTCACAGACTTTGGCATCTCGCGCAGCGTCCACGTCCACGACGACGATAGGCAGCTCACGAACGGCGTCGGGACGTACCAGTGGATGGCGCCCGAGGTCATTTGCGGCACGGACTACTCGGTGGCGGCCGACATTTACTCGTTTGGGGTCCTCCTCTCGGAGTTCTCGACGCACAAGGTGCCGTACGCAGACGTGCTGCACCCGACGCACGGCCGACCCGTGACGCAGCAGTACGTGATGACGCAGGTGACGCAGGGATTGCTGCAGCCGACGTTTGCGGCCGTGGGCGTGCCGTCGTGGGTGCGCGAGATCGCGCTGCAGTGTCTGCAGACCGACCCAACACTGCGACCAACCGCAGCGCAGCTGAGCATTGTCCTGCGGCATGTGTGACGATCTAGAACTTGACAGAAACCACTCTATTTATTTTGGAATGGATTTTGAGTTTGACTTCTTGATGCTCTTTTGTGGACTTGCTAATTCTTGAGTGCAGTACACTTAGATGTTTTTCCGACGCTGTTCCTACTACAGAGGGCTGCGCAGGCGCTTAGACGCTTGCGGTCGTCCGCAGAATAGTGCAGTGATGCTGCGGCATCATGCACAAGAGCGCGATCGGGCACTTTGCGGATGCGCGTCACCGTCCAGCACGTCAGGGCGCACCATCCACTTCAGGCGCGTCGGACGCGCGTCGACAATGTGGCGTAAGAACTGACAGCGCTTCGTCGAGCGTGTCAATGGGAAAAACGTCCAGTTTGCCTTCTCAAGCCCGTGGCATATGACGTGGTAGCTGCAGGCGAGATCATAGTCGTCTTGGGGGATCCAATTGGCGTCAACCATGCCGTGGAAATCGAGGGTGTACTCGGTCGCGTCGGCGGTGGGACAGCCCCAAGCGTCGACGTGCACTGCTGCGCAAGCTGTCCAAGGAGGCGTCGCTCGTGAGCGCTATGAGCTTTGTAAGAAACGGAAAGAGCATCTCGCTAGCCGGGTCGAGAGAGCGAGAAGGGCGACGCATGTCGCTGAGGGCTGGCAGCGCGGTCGCCCACGCTGTTGGAAACGCTGGGAGCCTCTCGGGTGCGACAAGCATGAGGATGTTGAGCGCGTCCAAGCTGGGTTGGACCAGCGTCCCGCGGGGTCGATCCATGCTGAAATGGCCCCAGAGGTCGGCAGCGTCCGAGCCATGGCCACGACCCACGACGCCAGAAGCCCCGGCAAGTCGGACGCCGGGTGCGCTTTCAGGAAACGCAAGGTGCTCGTAATCACTGCAGCACCCCACGGAGCCCAGCACGTGTCGAGCCGGCGATCGTTCCAGTCGCCGCCGACGTCAATGACCGTAAGAAGGTGTCCCAGCACAACTGCGGAGCGTTGGAACGCTCATGCAGCTTCCCACCAAGTCAGTACACGCTGACGTGTAGACTTGAAAGAACCTCGAGAATGTTGCGATCGTCGGCACGTAAAAGAAAGAGTGCTCCACGTCCCATCTGAACGCCATGCGTCGACGGCAGCAGCCCGATGGATGCTCGGTCTCTCTTCCTCCATCGGACTATAGCACACTCGTTGCATTCAGCCACCGTTCGAGCCAGCGATGCAGGATGTACATCTGCCTAGTACTTGGCATTGCACCGCCTTGAATGTACAGGATAGATTTATCAGTAGCCAGCGAGTGCGATGGCGAGCGCACTGCGGTTGCTATCGTCGACGAGGACGTTTTGGATGTTGCACGCGAGCCCTTCGAAGCCGTCAAAGCACCGACATTGGCCGGATTGGTAGAAGCACACGCCGCGGCCCGAGCACTCGTTGTAGCAGAGGTTGCCAACGGCCCCGACCGCCCCGCCAGGCGCCGCAACACCGCCGCAGTTGGTTTCGTCCGCTGCCGTCATGGGATCGTCGCCACTCGGGCAGTGACCTAGTCAGTACCCATTTTCAAAACATCGATGGCTCGCACGTTGCAGTACGCATTGAACAGTCGGCCCCAAACCACTCAGGCACGCGTGTTTGGCCGGCCCCCAGTCCGACAGGCCACGATGAGTCACAGACGCAGCCGTAAATGCGCGTCGCATCCCATAGCTACGTTACGCGCTTGACTCGATACAACTCGTGGCATTTCGTACCGAGTACGTGGTGGCACTCGTGACTGGCACAGCAGTCGTCAGCGTCGCCATCTCTTGCAGACTCAAGCAGGCGCCATGCCCCGAGCAGTCGTTGGGACACGACACTAGACCCCCCACGTCTTTTGTCACACATTGTGTGTGTATTTCTGTACGTACTGCGATCACAGGCGCTGCCCGTGTAGCCAGGAAAGCAGTTGCATACACCGCTGGTGCGGTTGCACGCGCCTTGGTTGCTGCACTCCATGAGCGTTGTATGGGCGACGGTTGGCGCCGTGGGGACGTCGTTCCAAGCGAGCCCCGACGGACATGTTCCTACATCGAAAGACCCGGTCAACACCACAAAAACGTGTACTGGAGGTACGTCGCGAGCAGTCGGGGGCGCTGCCGATCGAGATGTCGGTCGGGGCGCCCCACCCCGCGTTGCAAATGCACTTGGAGCTCATGAGCGTGCAGTCGCCATGCCCGCTGCATTCGTTTAGGAAGTAGCAGCCGACACCGCCAATGTTGGCCGCGTCTTCAATGACGTTGCCGTCGCTGTCTTGGGTCACGATCGTGTACGTGCCGATTGTGTTGAGCGGCGGCGTCGTGACGCCCGAGAGCGTGACTTGGATGCCCAGCATCGGGGCGACGGCGGTCGCACTCGTGATACTCAGCGTCAAGCCCGCAATGGTTGCTGTGCTCGCGGCGCTGAGGCCGACCCACCCCGAGAGCGTCCAGCCGGGGTCCGCAATCGCGTACCCGGCCGGGAAGGTCACAAGGACCTTGCCACCACTTGGGATCCGTAGCAGCGTATTAAAGAGGATCGTGGCCGACGTCGACGTCGATGGCGTCGTCGCGAGCGTCCGGACACGGCCAAAGTACAAGTGCGACTTGATGATCGCACTCCCGGGCACCGATATGGACTCGTAGACGTTCTGCGCTGCGTCGAGCGTCGAGACCGTGTACGGCTCCCACGTTACCAAGCACCCTTCGATGTAGTACGCGTCGCAGGACGAGCCCGGGGTGGTGATGCCGTTGAGCGTAAAGCCGTACGTGCCTGGCGCCAACGCAAACGCGCCAATCGTGATCGTGGCCTAGTGAACGGTAACATTAGGATCGAACGACATGGCGAGGACCATCGCACCGACGACGCCGTCGACGAGAGCAGCGTCGTCGTGGCCGCAAACCCCGTTTGAAACGTCAGCTGCGTGGGGGCAACCGTAAAGCGCGAAGGAAACGCTACGCGGAAGCTGGCGCCGATCGGAAGCGTCAGAAAAGTTGTGATCGAAAGCGTGCAACGAGACGTGACACTCGCGGTCGTGTTGGCCAGCGTCAACGTCGCAACGAGTGGGGCGCCTTCCGTGATGACGGCGCCACCGCCGCCGCTGCCAGACTCGAGCACTGCCGACGCCGCGTCCAAACTAGTGATGGTAAAGGCGGCGAGCGTCGAGGCGCCTACGCGGTACGATGCGGTTGTAGAGTCGTCGCATGTGTGGGGTACCAGGGTTGGTGATGCCGTCGACGGTGAACGAGACGGCGCCAGCAGCGACTACCGACGTCGCGACAGTCACGACGAGCGTCGTGCCGGCTGTGGAGACGGCGCCGTCGATGTTAGTGGCGCCAGAGAGCGCGGTCGGTGCCAGGACAAAGCCGGCGGGAAAGGCCACTTGGAGCTTGCCGCCGATCGGGATCGCCATCGACGTCGTGAGCGCCACGTCGGCCAGCGTGATGGCGCCGGCGCTGGTGCTATGCGGGCTCACGCTAATGCCCGATATCGCGCCCGCGCAGACGTGGACGAGCGCGGCCAGCGCTAGAAGGGCGTACATGCTGTGCCGTTTCAAGATCGCAAAACTTCAAATGATGATGCAAACAAAATCTTACACGTGTGTATTGAGCTATAAACATTCGACTTAAGGGCGCGGCTGGGTCTTGGGAAGCGCGTCGTTAAGCGACTGGGTGCCCCAGCGTTGCCAGCAGGCCGAGCGGCAGGCTGACCCCACGCACCCGTGGCCGCCGGCTGCGGCGCCGCCGGGACATCGTTCGTCGCTTGGTTGCCCGCAGGACGCGCACCCCACGCAGGGGCACCAGCGGGAGCCGACGGCTTCCACGTGCCATTTTGCGGTGCAGGCGTCAACGGGACCTTGGCGCGCGTCGCCTTGCCGCGGATGATGGCCTGAATCTTGGACGCGGCTTGTTCCTCCGTCAACGGGCAGGCTTCCGGGAACGACGAGCCAATCTTGGCGCTACGTAGTCGATGAACTCTCTGCTGCTTTAACCCTCCGAGGACTTACTGCTCGCCACGGCCGATGGAGAAGCATTTGATGATGACCTTGTACGGGCCAAGGTCGACTTCGTTGAGCTCCGTGCCGTTGAGGAAGCACATGGTGTAGAGCGCCATCTCGAACTCGGGGCTCACGCCGATCAAACTACACCACAATCATGAGCTACGTCGGAGCGGTCTCGGATACCTCGTCGAGACGGGCTTGACCTCCTTCTCCCAGGCAAACTGGAGCGTGATGAGCTGCTCGTACTCGTGCGGCTCCATGACCGAACGACCACGCTGCTTGGGCTTGATGTACCCGAGGTAGTCGAGGCGGCCAGCCTTCTCTTCGAGGTACATTTGGACCCAGTTGTGGAAACCCGTGACTTGATGGTCCTTGACCTCGCCGATGAAGACGTGCTCAAAGCCCGACGAGTCGTTGGAGACTTCACGGCGGTAGAGGCCGAACCAAATCTCATGGAGCTTGCGCTTGAACGCGTCCATGTTGCCGGTAAACTTGCGGTTGCCCTGGAGCCACCTGCATCGTCACGTGTAAGATCTGAGGATACGCGCGCACGATATATTGTCGTACGCAAGGGCGTATTTCATGACGCGCGTCTCGCAGATCGCGTTGATGAAGAGCTCGTTCTCGCGCAGCTCTTGGCGGGTCACAGTCTCGGCGACGCCCGTCTACGCGCCGTCCATAAGTCTTCGAACGTGTGGTGCATGCTTGTACCTCACGCTCGTAGTTGTCGAGGAGGTCCATGAAGAGCTTGAATGTCTTCTTCTGGAGCGCCTTGGGGTCCACGAACTTGAAGAGGTTGTCGGGCGCCATGTCGCCTGGCTGGTACGACGACTTGCCCTGCTGGAGGTTGATCTCGTAGTCCTCGTTGGGCACGAGACGGTTGTCGTCGAGGTTCCAGAGCTTGGTGCAGGCCTCGGAGAGGCTCTTGAGTTCCGAAGCTACGCAGAGAGCCGCCGTGAGCTACTGCGAACCAGCTGCGCGTACGGGTCGGGTTCATCGTGTTGCGGACGTCGAGGACAAAGCAAGTATGAGCCTCGCAACCACGTGCACTCTGCCGCTGCCAGGATCAGCCAATGGCATCGCGTCGAAGGCCAGGCGCCACATTGCAGTACATTCGACCCGCAATGTATGTTCCAATAGTTTAATGCCGTTTTTTAATCAATGTACAGAAAATGGACGTACATTATTCGTATGGCCGTACATGCCATCTTAATGCTGCGTGGGAGATTCAGTGATACGAGACGTGATGTGCAGCCGAACGACGTGTGGCGTGTGCCAGAAGCCGACCTGGTACGCTCCATCGCGCCTGCCACTTATGCTGATGAAATTAATTAGGTCGGGCTGCGGCATGCATATCGAGAGCGCCCTTCGCGGTAGCCTAGGCACGACCGTTGAGGTTGTTGTTCCATGAAGTTTTCTAGGTGTCGACGAAGCCGACCGCTGCGCCGAGTACAAGACGGGCAAGCACAAGTCGAGCATGTTCCCAACCATGTGCATCATCTCGGTGGTTGCGACCTTGCTGTACGTGTCCATGAGCTAGTTCGTCCGCCACACTAACGCAACCGGCGGCTTTTCCGCGCCGAGACAACCCCGCGCCATCGTACCCGAGTGCTTTTATCAACACGATGGCTCCTTTCGTTTTACGCACGAGTGTTGTAGTTGTAGCTACCCGCACACTTCAATGATCGCGTCGGGAGCTGATTCCTCGGCCGAGGCTGGCAAGGGGCAGCGCTTGGGGCTCGCACGCACGCGGAAAGGCACGCCACCTGCTGTCGCAAACACGTGCTATTGCTATCACCTTTTCCCCGCAGCTCGTTCCGCATGCCAGGTCCCGACCTCACATTCCGTGCACTTGGCCGCGCCAAGCCCGGCCGAAGGCGACGATGCTCTGATTCTCCTCAGCCGTCTCGAGTCCGCCACGCATGGACGTGGTGTTACACACGAAGCGAGCAGTTTTGGAGGACGCGCTTAACTTGACAGCGGGTCTTTCGCATCGTTCCGGATAACCGGACGTAGAAGCAAAATGATGTGATTGGATAAAATGACTATTCATGAGCCAATCAGTGCGGCTCGGTTTCACGCGGTGGGTTAATGCGTTTTATCCTCACAGTCGGTTAAAGCCTGCGGGGAAGGTTTAAGTCGACACCCCACCACACCAACGTCTCCACGGTGTGTATAGAGCGGGCATTATATAACTTGAGTGCACCATCGATACTTGCAGCGCAAGTGACACCGGTGCCACCAGTGTGTGGTTCAAGCTCAGAGATTGCTACTTCATGCAATGTGCATTTGGAATATTTTTGCTCGTCGTCTACACCGGTTCCGTCGTCGCCGTCTTGGCCATCATCTGCCCTGCGTTATTGTGGACGGCGACAGAGATCTTCTTGAATGCCGCGAGCAAGTCAGAGTCCGACTGCGCCTTCGTGAACGTGCCGCCAAGGTGCGATGCGAGAGTCTTCAAGGGCCCAGCCTTGCTGTCCCCAAAGCCGACGCACGAGCTCTGGAGCCTATAGATGTTGTACGTCTTGGCGATGTGCTGCGCCATTGCAGTGCCAGTCGCGTTATGGCTTGGCTCGCCGTCCGAAAAGAGAGCATGACGGGCGTGTACGTCGCGTGGTCGTTGCGCGAGAGCACGTCGTTGGCGCTGCGCAGGCCCGCGTCGTAGTCGGTTGAGATGCCACACGCGAATGGCAACAACGTGTCGGTCATTTCGACGAGCGACTTGCGCTCGTGCACGATGCGGGCAGTACGATCGAACGTGACGACCGAGACAATGTCGGCGCAGCTTTGGCTTTGCTGCGCGAGGTACGCGTGGAAGGCCGCCGTGAGCGCCGTCCACGGCTCTCCACTCATGGACCTGGACGCATCAAGCACGAAGACGTGGTGGTGCAGACCCTTTGCGGCAACGTGCTGGCAGTTGAAGACGTGACCTTGGACAAGCGATTGAGTCGACGCCAAGGTCGTCACGTCGACCACTGGCTCGTGCCGCGCACCCAAGACACAGTGCGACTTGCCACCGTAGTTTGCCTTGTGTTTGGGCGCCTCGCACTCGTACGAGCACAAGCCAAAGTGATCGCGCTCGAGCGCGCTCGAGACTGGGTCTTCCCACCCCAGCGTCGTCCAGTACGTGTCATGGAGCACTTCGTCCATGGGCTGCGTCGGGTTGGAGGCAAGCGTCATCTTGCTGTGCCGGTGGCCGTCCATGGCCGCATACGTGCACGCGTCAACCGATGTGTGCGAGCATGGGACGTAGTGGACATGGCCGCGACCGAGCTTGGAGCAAAAGAACGGACATGTCTCGGCGACACCTTGCCGCCAGTCTCGAGCTCCGCTTGAGCGACATCCATCCATGGCTAAGGCCATGGTGCCATGCGTCGTTGCGTGCGCACCCTCGTGTCCGTACGCTTTTGTGCAGTAGTAGTTGCAGCGCGGGCAGCGCGCGTCGCACGTGTGCACGTTGGCGTCACAGCGATGGGGCTTGCCATTATGCTCGACACAGTTGACTTGGATCTTGACGTTGCACTTTTTCCGAAACGCGTTGTTAGCTTGGTGATAACTCGTGACGCTGGCGCCGTCAACCTGCGCCGTCATCGTCTCCTGCTGGACCTTGAGCTCGCAAACGCCGCTGGCTGAGCACTCGGCATGGCACGTGTGCTCGATGCCGCAAGAGTGCAGGGCGTTGATAGCGTGGAAGTGGTCGTCCGTGGCGCAAGTGGCAGTGCAGCCGACGTAGCTGCAGCGTTGCTGGCAGCGACGCTCGCCGCACGAGTGCGTCACGTGTGCGACACCAAGTCCGTGGTTGCACGCGTTTCGGCAGTTCTCGGCTTCGCATTTCTCGGGGCAGAGGTGCTCCGAAACACTGCAGACATGCGGCCCACTGTGGTCGACGTTGAGGTGGCAGTTGCCGTCGCAGTTGCGGGCGGCAGCGAGGTGGCACACTTGCGAGCACGTGTGGCTCATCTGACCGCAGTTGCACGCACCCGCGTGGCCCGCGTGGGCGCCGCAGGGCTCGTCGTCCTTACAGTGGGCACAGCGTCCTTCGCAGCGGTGGCTCCCGCCGCAATCGTGGGGCACGGCATGGCCATGTACGAACGACTCGAAACACCCAAGCTTGCACGTGCTGCACGTGTGCTCGCATCGACGGAGAAGCTGCTTGAATGTTTCGACGCAATTGTTCAAGTCGTCTTGCAGCAATTGGCGGCTTGCGCCACCGAGCGACTCGAACCAGGCGCGGACACGGTGCTCACGGCGCCACAAAATGTACTTCCAAAGCACATCAAACGGCACTTCGTGGTCGACGCGACGCGGCGCCGTGATGAGAGGATCATCATCGCGGCGTCTCCGGGCGTACCGTCCCATGTTATGGAGGAGCGTCGCCTTGACCACTGAGAGGTTGGCCAACGAGTCTGTCGGGCCATCCAACGCCAGACCGAAGTCGATCTCGGTATCGCGGGGCACGACCATGTTGGCCAGGCCCATCGCTTGGCGCTGAGCCACCATCGTCTCGTCGTCGGCAGCCCAAATCTCTGGCGATGCCATTGTGCTGGCTGCATCGAGCTTGCCGTTGCATAGCGCGAAGCGAAGCTGCTCGCGCAGCCACACCGTCTTGCCTGCTGCGATGTTGTCGTCCATTGACGTCCAATCGCGCCGAACGAGCTTGGCAAGGACAAGGGCAAGAAACTCGTGAAAGTCGGCGCCGCTTGAAAACGTCATTCTGTCCCGCGCTTCGGCCAAGCATATCGAGGCTTGGGCTAGACCGTAGCAGTAGCTGCCGTCGTAGTTGCCGATACGGTTGGGCGGTGCGGAATCCGTGACCAGAATGTCTTCCCCGTACATGACAGTGACGGCTGGAATGTCGGTCAGGAGACGCGCGAGCTTGGTTGTGAACGCGTCCATGACCGATACGGCGTCGTCGGGGTTCATGTCCTTGGCGTTGATGTAGAGCTGACCGCTGAAAAGTCGGTTATCGCCCTTGAGCATCGAGATGCCCTTCTGAAAATTGGAAAACATTGCGTCAATGTCCTTGCCAAATCGCATGTCGATGCGAAAGATCGTGAGCTGCGAAATAGCCGCGTTGAGGACCGAGAGGAGCGTATCTTCTTGTGTGCTGCGCTCAGACGACCTGAGGCCCTCGAAGTCGAGGACGACCACAAGCGCATCACGGTACGGGCGTAGCGCGAGCCAGACGCCGTCCGTGCAGCGCCCACCCGAGACCGCAAACGAGCTGCCAGTGAGGTGGTTGAGAAAGTACGACTTGCCCGTCGACGGCTTTCCCATGGACGTGATGACGACAATCGGGCCGGACCACGCCTTGAGAATGTAGCTCGACGGCCCGAAAAGGATCTGCGGTACCATCTGATGGACCTCGGCGTACTGACTCAGCGTGACCACGTTGCCATTGCGCAATAGCTCGAGCTCGTTGTCGCGCAAGCGACAGATGGGTACGGCCACAGACCCAACAAGCTCGAGGACCCAGCGCCCAAGCGCCATCGTTGCCCACGCCAATTCTCCGTTCACGACCAAGTTGTTGGCCAGGGAGAGCGACGCGAGGCTCTCGTTGAGCGTGCGAAGTACCCTCATGATCGACTCGACGACTTTCGAGACCGTCTTGCGGCGCTGGGACGACGACGCTTGCACGTGCAGCTGGAGTGCCGTCGGCAACAAGGCACCGCCGCCTCGTCCCCCGACCGCCGCCTCGTCCCCCGTGCGATTGCGGTCGTCGCCGTGTTGTGTCATGGCCGCTTGGACAGGAAACTTCTCAAAGACGTGACAAAGCGGCGCGAGCACGTGGCTTTCGCTGGCTGTCACGGGCGCCGCTGGACAGACTTCGAACCCGAGCTTGCCGATCACGATTTTCATCTTGAGAACCATCATGGCACCTGAGCTCTGGTCAAGAAGCACGATCGTGTCGTCAGATGCGCGGGCTTGGACAGTCGACCACTGGAGCGGCATCGGCAGCGCGACCTCGGTGACCAAAGGCAGCGCCGCGTGGGTCGGAATCTCGAACGCACGGAGGCGAAGACGACGACCACACTCGCCGTCATTCTCGTTGTCCAGCGGCTCGATGCACACCATGAACGCGCCGTTTTGGAGCTTGACGACCTTTGTCTCTGGCGTCGCAAAGGCCGGTACGAGCTTGGATTGCTGATGCGTGCCCAAGTGGTACGCGTGGGCACAGCCGTCGTCCCCGACGACGAAGATACCAGGGTTGTCGCCACCAAGCAAATGAAAGGCAGCGTACGGCGCGCTAGGACTTAAAAGAAGCAAGTCGAACTGATGCGCCCGCTCCACGACCTTGAACGACTCGTTAAAGGCAAAGATGTCGACCTTTGTGGCCGTGTGCTGGAGCGCCAAGAGGCGACGCGCCGCGTCAAAATCGCAGCGCTCGACGAGCGTCGGAAATTCTCTGGCCACGAGTCGCGTCATGGGCCGCGCGCCGTTGGCCTCGTACGACTGCACATGGGTCTTGTCGTGCCGCGTAAAGACGACGATGACAAACGTGCGCGGTCCCGCCACGAAGGCGGCGTCGACCACGTGTGCGTCCCGCGGCAGCTTGAGGCTGCCAAGCGATGCGTCACTGACCGGCGTCAGCGTCAGCTGCGTCGCGCCCCCCGCAACGTAGTACTCTTTTTGGAAGTGGACGTGGCTGTCGCTACTGATGTCGTTGAGATGGACGCAGAGCAGATCCGTTGGCGCGTGCTTTGCGTTCGCCGCCGTGATGGCAGCGACAAATGCTTCGTGAACGATGGCTTCCTTCGCACACCGCAACGTGGTCTTCCAATGGACTTTACCGACCAGCGCGTTGAAGCATTGGTTCGTCGTACTGGCAACGACTGGCTCGCTGTGGAGGAACGCGCGCATCTCTTGACACCACGCGTCGTAGTTGTCGCGAAGGAGGCTCTCGGAGCGCAGCAAGACCAGCTCCATCTCGACCTTGTGCTTCGCGAGGAACGGAAACTCGAGACTGGCCGATGTAGCCATGTCGGTCAACAGCGACGACGACGTTCGCTTGGCGGCTGCGAGGACGTCCGGATCTTCGTCAAGAAGGCGCGCGTACTCGGCGTTGACAAGGTCGGCAACGGGCGGCTGAAACGTGGTCGGAAGGTCGACCACGTCTACGAGCGAGAGCGCCAGTGCCCTTTTCTGCGTCAGCAGCGCCTTGTGCGCGTCCGCTTCGTCCGCCGCCGTCATGGCACCGTGCACGCAGAGGCGTTTGGCGCCAGCTTGGACGACGTGATTCTCGATCGCCGCGAGCTGCGCGGCTGCCTCTGCCTTGGCGTGCACGCGCAGGTCGCCCAGGAGACTTTCCTTCGTCGTGCTCGAAAGCTGCATCGTCGGCAGCAAGTTCATCGCTTCGAGCACCGCGCGCTTGCAATTGCGCGGAAGCTGCACTCGGATCTGGAGACGGTGCGTCGTCGTCGCCTCCAAGAGCCACGTTGCAAAGGCGGCGGGCGACGCGACCGAGATCGATCCGGACGTTTGGCGAATGTCGTGGTCGTGCGAGAGGTGCATCGTCACCCCCGCCACCTCCGTCGCCGCCACGAGCATGTCGCCCGGCGTCACCGTTGTTGGCGCCGAAGCGACGTCGCACGAGATGCGTTCCGCCAGGTCCTTGGACGTCCGGACGTGAAACTTGACCGCATGCTTCTTTCGAGACGACCCGGCGCGCGCCTCGTCGTCGGCGCGCTCGAGCACATCCCATTCCGCATCACCGATGCAGCAGCGCACGATTGGCGTCAATAGCGTCAGAAACCGCAGCGCGTAAGTCGCCCGCTCGCGCAGGCGCTGTGGCGAAAACGACGGGTCGAGGAGCCACGTAAAGAGCACGAGCTTGGGACGGTCGCTCGCTTCGGGAAGTAGCATCGCATACACGCCTTCGTGGTGCGCATGCAAGTACGTTTCGAGGCGCGTCGGCCACCAGCCTTGCGCGCGCAGGTCCGCTTCGACCGCTGCTTGCTTGCCGTAGCATGCAACCACGTCAACGCTTCTGTACTTTTCGCATGTCCGCTTAATCTTGACGCTGTTGAGGCACGCGTTGACGAAGCGGCCGAGCTGGCCCTCCGGCAGCGCCGCCTCGGCGTCCACGACGCCAAGTGCGCGGAGGAGGCGGAAGAGCTCGGATTCTTTGAGCGTGGGCTGGAAGACCTCGGAGCCGTCCTCGAATTGGACCACGGTTTCAAGCAAGTGGTAGCAGTTGAGCTCTTCGTAGCTCGTCGCGACGCTGCTTTCGGTCATGCTCGATTGGAAAATGAGTAGTACAGCTTGCCGCACGGCTCGGTTGATAGTCGTTGCACATCCATGTTGAGTGGCAATTGGCGACCTTGAAGTAGGCGCCGCAACCCCGTGCATTGCGCGCAATCGTATGCATTTACATCGAATATTCTCAAAGCTAGTTGACACCTTGAGGATCTGTATGCCCTTGCCATTACTGTGTGCGAGGCTCACACACAATGGCAAGTTCCTCTTCGATCCGATGAGCCATCCTGCTCAAGGAGGACGCGCTGGACGATAACCGGTCTCTCCGGATAGATGGAGGTCAAAGGTAAAACATCTGATTGGATAAAATATTGTTTTACGAGCCAATACGAGCGGCTCGGTTGGGCTTGGTGGTTTTACATATACGTTTTATCCTCGTGGTCGGTTAAAGTAGGGCCGCTGAGCATCATCACACCTCACGCCCCAATGTCGCCTCGATGTTAGAGCGCCGCCCAAGGCCTTGTATGGTACGTGATCGGTAGCTGCATTACAAGTGGCGTCGGTGGCATCAAAGACCACTACCTCGTGCATCGCCAAATATCGGATCCCCTTCCTCCGAGCATCACGACCATCGGTCCAAGTGCAGTGCCCTATGTCTATCTTACCATTGACAACGCATCAAACACCTACCGTAGGTGTATTAGTGCAATAGCTTCGCTTCACAGCAAGGTCCCTTTAGTGATGCCCCAAGGTGACACGCCATGACTCGTGTTGCCGACTAGAGTCCGTAGGAACCGAAATGATGCAGAGGCTATAACCGCGCTATGCAATAGTAACTCATATCGTATCCAGCATCGCTGCATGCCAATGGTCTCCGCGCGATACGGCGCCAAGCGCGGCTCGCGATGCCCTTGACGGCAACCACCATGTCCAGCATTTCTTTGCAGCGGCAATACCCTTTTTTGGCACTTCAATGTTCCTCCATACAAACCCACGGCATCTGGTCAATCCATGGATCGTATATTTGTCATAAAGGGGTCTTCAACATCTAAAAGAGGGTGCTTTGTCGCCCGAAAGGGTACATTCGACTCGATTGGACGAGACGGGCATCTTTTTTTGGGCTCGTACACTTGATCCTGATGCTTCGCGTGTCTGTGGCCGCGCTCGCGAAGGCCACGACGGCCCGCGCCCTGGGCTACCAGCCGCTGCACACTCTGCCACTGCGCGCACTCTCGACTGCTGTCCCTGTGCACGGCCACCGCAAGAAGAAGCGCAAGGGCAAGAAGCCATCTGCGACGTCGACCGATGGCATTGCCGACGCCACGCTTGTCGAAGGTACGCAGCGCCTCGCCGCTTCATGCAAATCCATGCCAACGTAGGCTCGGACGTGGCAGCGGCAGCAGTCGTCGATACCAAGGCCACCAAGGTCGAAAAGGCCACGCCGCACCACCACCACCACCACCACAACAACAAGTCAAGAAGATCTCGCCGTTGGTCGAAGAAGCGACCAAGACGATTAGCCTCCTCGAAAACATTGCCGCGCTGCAAAAGTCGCTGCCGGCGCCCGTGCACATCACGGCCATGCTCAAGCAGACGAGCGACGACCACGAAGACTCGTTCTTCAAGCTCTTTGACTTGTACCGCAAGCACGGCAACCCGACGATCGACGCGTCCTTTCTCGTGCCGGGTATCGCCAAGTGCTGCGAGGTCGGCGACTCGGCGCAGGCCGTCGCGATCGCGCGCGACATGGTGCACAACGGCCGCGCCATCGACCGCGAGACGCTGCTCCTGATATTAAAGACCGCCGAGCGCAACGGCGCCGCCATTGACGCCATCGGCGTCCTCAACCTGCTCTTGCACGAAGATTTCGAGGTCACAACCTCGGACTACGAGCGCATTCTCGCGATCTGCCACACTGCGCACTTTGAAGACGGCGCGCTGCAGGTCTTGCAGGCGCTGCGCACACTCAAGTTTGTGCCGCCAGAGACGTACCTGCACTGGCTCTCGCGCGCAGCCATGGTGTGGCGCGCCGACATCTTTCTCGCGCTCCTCACGGAAATGCGACTCGCCGGTACTTGGATCTATCCGCCATCGTTTTCTATAATGTGGCCTTTCGGTAGGCATTGAGCCACGCATCCCGTCGCTCACGTCGCTCGAGGTGGGCCGCAAGGACCCGGCGCTGACCGTCATGGAAGGCGTCCGCGCCGTCGGCCTCGACCCGTGCTTTGCCATGTCGGTCGTCTACGAGTCGATCCACCTCGCGATTCGCGGCGAGCGCCGTGAGACAGGCGTCTCCAAGCGCCTCCGTGACGCGGCCATGGACAAGTACTTCTATAGACAACGACGCAGGATGACAGATCTCATGCTCGATGCTAGGTTTGGGGACATGCGTGTGCACAAGCTGAATTGGGACGTGCAGCCGATTCCGCAACTGCTCGAGACGCAGGTCGACGACTGTCCTTGTGCAAAGACACACTGTATGGAATGAGGTTGTAGGCCGCGGGTCTGCTCCTCAAGCAGGAGACGTTCCGCCGACTCAAGTACCACCAAGTGACGCGCGTCGAGTCGTATTTGCGCATGCTGCCCATCACGACCAACGTGACGCTCAACTTGCGCAAGCAGCTGCTGCGCATGTCGCTGCTCGTCAACACGCACCGCGTGAAGCGCAACAAGCACAAGATCCTCGCCGAGTACGACGCGGGCAAGAGTTTGATCGACTTGAGCAACTCGCACAATTACCCGCCCGTGTCGCTCCTCCGCATCATCCTTGAAGCCCGCGGCTTCTCGCCCAAGGCCATCCGGGTGCGTCGATCGTTTTTCGGTATCAAGTTGATACTCATGGACTCGTCACGACTTTAGAAAGCGCTGGCGACGCCGGCGAGCTTGCGGTACCGCGACCAGCAAGAGCTCAACAAGGCGACGCACTATGACAGCATCCACCGCAGCGACCCGTTCTTGGGCCAACCAGCGTACAGCGCCGACTCGCTCGAGACGACGCTGACGCATTTCTTCAAGTCGCAAGGCATCCGCGTCAAGTACGCTATCATCAACGAGGCTGTTTCTCATCCGATACCAGGACGCAGGACGATCTCTGGGTCGAGCAAGAAAAGATTTACGGCCGGCCCGTGATCTCGCCCGACATTTTGCTGTTGGACCCGGTCGTCATCAACGGTGTGCCCGTGCGCTGGATCGACGCCAAGAACTATTATGGCGCCCACATTGTCAACAAGCGTCTTATCGCCAAGCAGGTATCATGACTCCTTTCAAGCGATGAAATGACTTTAAGGGTATAGCTGGCGTCGTACGTCAAGGAGTGGGGCCCGGGTGCCGTCGTCTTTGGCATGGGCTTCTCCGATATGATGTCGATTCCGGGCGTCGTCTGCCTCGACATGACGCCCGTCCCAACGACCAAGTACGGCTCGTTCAAGATGGTCGCCAAGTCGTATGCGTACTCGTTCTTGAATTTCTTCCGCTGGGCGCCGCACCTCGGCAGCGAGCTCACCCAAGAGTACGCGCACGCGAACGAGATGGAAATGGCCAAGCAGGATACGACGACCAAGCAGGTCGAGAACAGCAAGCAGCCACTGTCCGAGGCCAAGCCCGACGACGCCGCCAAGGCCAAGAAGGCATAGATAACCACGCACAGCTAATAGATGACGACGATACCCACACATTCACAACGTCAACGTGCACGAAGACGGTGTTCGCCTTGTACGACTGGCGGGGCCATCCACACGCCGCCATAGAACGACTCGCAGAGGTATCGCGCGCAAGAATGAACCACGGTCACATGGGCATGCTCGAGGATAAACAAACACAATGGATGTTCGGGTTGTTGAATTATTGCATTCGCGATATGCAATCGAGATAACATTCTTTGTGACCACTTACTTAATCCATTTGTAATGCGTGAAATAGAGAACAGACTTGTAGTTTGTGGGGTTGACGACGATTGGAATACTATGACGCAGTATTGATATGCCGTTAAATATCCCGAGAGTGATGATGTGGTCTCGCGTGTGTGTGCAACAAAGGACCTGCGGGAATATCGAAATGCGTCGCCTGTGTGCATCAACCGACAGCATCGCCGATGATATTACTGTAGACGCTCGTTGGGGGTATACTATCAAGCTTTCAAGAATTCATGGATTACCCAATACACATGCCTTTGGTGGGTCGATACGTGGCATGTTTTGTCAAGGTCGTGCCGGCGGGGGCGGCTTTGAACTGGTAGTTGAGGACCCACCCCCGAATGCGCGGTGCATGCAGCGCGTGCGGCAAGATGGATGCGACCAAGTCGTAGATACTGACAAGGGCCACGGCCACCGGGGCCGGCGTCGGTTTTTGGTGGGCCGGCTGCACGACGACAACGTGGTGGGAGTCCGGGACTTTTTCTCGTAGCATTGCGTACCCGAGGAGCGCCAGCATGCTGGGCTTGACAAAGATCTTGTTGCCGTACTTGATGCAGTCGTGCTCGTACGCGGGCAAAAACGTGACGTACTGCGGCACAAACTCGGTCGCTAAAAACGGATTGCGCTGGAAAAAGTCCATATTGAGTACCCACTGCCGGTGGAGAACGATCGGCCCGAGCACGCTACAGAGCAGCGAGAACCCAAACGCGCCGAGAATCGTTGGGAGCAAGCGCTCGATTGCGCTGGGGACCGACGCCGAGAGGTAGGCGCCGGTCACCAAGGTCCGGTTCGTCGATGGAAGCCGTAGAGGCAGCGCCGCCGAGCGTTGAAATATCGGATCGTAGAGCACCTCGGTGGGCGAAACGAGTCCGCACGCAACGACAGTGCCCAGGGTCATCGTGCCGAGGAGCAATCCTGGAGCGTTGACCCGAATGGCTCGGTCCTTGCAGCGCGGAAGAGGCGGTAGCCGCTGCACCAAGAGCACGGTGTTGCAAAAGACGAGCACGAAGAGACCGCTCACCATGACGACCGCGACCCAGTGCATGGCTCTGCCCAACGGCGTGGCAAGGTACAGACGCGTGACTTCGACGTAGCCCAGCGCTGGAAGGCGCACGAGGAGGAGGAGTACGAACGCGATCTTTCGCCGCTCGAGCCCCGAGAGAAAGTCGAATGTGAGCACTGGCTGGCGACGCAGCGCGCCTTGGAGACCAATGAGCGTCGTCAAAAAGTCGCCGTTCACCAAGTGCAAAGTCAGCGGAATAAGCACGGCTTGTGCAATCGATATCTCAAGCGCGTTCGTCATCTCGTGCGTGCAGGTCTGCGCGACCTGCACCGATTGCTTGGACGCCCGCCCCGTACAGCGGTCGCTCGCCGCTGGACAGAGCACGAACTCCGTGACGCACGCAAATGTGAAGCGGTAGCGCGCGCCAAGTGGCGCAGACGCAAATGACCACGTGCTGTGATTGCGAGTGGCTGGCGTCGATAGTAACCCGTCCTCGGCCACGAGCGTCGTGATGACCTTGGAAGCGACCACGGTCGTGTCGCCCGACGTGTCGATACGTACCTCGGTCGTTGGCGCCACCGTGTCCAAGTACGTAGAGAGGAGGAAGACGGGTGTCGTATTGTTGAATGCCGTCTCGAGGACGGCCATGCCGTGAACAAGGTTGGCGTCGGGTTGGGCAGTGCAGTCAATGTGTGACGACAACGGCGTCATCAAAAACACAATTGTGCCATATCCAAAGTTTGTGCCCGCCGCACACGTTGTCACTTGCAGAGAGGAGGCGTGGGATGAAAGCACCGCTGCCGCAAGCGCACGGCCAATGGCGTCACTAGTCGTCGTCAAGCGGCGAGTGTTGACGCACGTTTGGGACGAAAACCCCGCGGACGATAGACTGCAGTTGGCATCGACGAGAGACCAGTCGTTCGATGGCAGCGATACGCGCGTCACCTGTCGCGTCCAGAGTCCTGTCGAGTAAAGAAGCGCGACGCACGAGACAAAGATCGCGACGAGGAGAAACTCGGAGAGGTTGAGGCACAGACGCCGCAGCACTTCGCTCGATTGAACCTTGGCGCTCTTCTCGAGGACCTGCGTCTTCTCCGATCCGCTTGCCATCGACCGATTCGCCGGTCCATGTAAGAACGACGACGCGATGCGCATGGTAGAAGCTAGGAAGCACAATAATCTTTGGAGTCCAACGCCCAACGTCCAGTGCCCTCGATCGGTTCCAGTCTCTTTTTAGCACATTCGAAATTTTGATAGGGCTCGATTTTTCACACACGAAGTCGGCGCAGCATGCCACGTCACGACGGCGTTGATTCATACGATCACGACAAACCGACACTCAATAACTACACGGCGACACGCACTTGCAGCTCTGGCCAGACGATTGAACCAGCGATACTGGCCAGACGATTAAACCAGCGATACTAGTCCGTGGCAGTGTGCATGAGCCAGCCATTGATGACTACCGCATCCGTCCCCGAGCGCACGTTGCGCCCGAACAGTCCAAGCGCTGTTTGTATGTGCATTATAAATGTAGTACATCACAACATGAGTGTATATACCGGTACAGAAAGACCGTCACAAGCACGACGTCCTCAGCTGACGCACGAGCCTTTGGTTGGCCGATACGATGTCGTTTTGTTGAGCGTCGTATTCGGTGGCGCCGGCTTGTATTGGTAGTTGTCGATCCACGCCACGACGCGCAGCGGGAGGAGTGCGTGGGGCAGCAGCGACGGCACAAGGTCGTAGACCGAAATGATGCTTATCACACTGTTGGGCGTTTGGTCGCCGCGCGCACTGCCAGGCGTGTCCTTGGCAACAACAGCAATCTTGTGCGTCACGGGTGCTTCCTTGACCATCGCATGCCCGAGGAGCGCAATCGTGCTTGGTTTGGCGAAGAGCTTAGCGCCATATTTGATGCAGTCGTCTTCGTACAAGGCGAGCCCTGTCACATACGATGGCATGAACTGGGTCGCCAGAAATTCGTTTCTCGCAAAATAGCGCATGTCCAAAAGAAGACGGCGCTTGAGTAGCATTGGAAATAAAATACTGAGTGCCAGTGTTCCCAAGAGGCACGCGAGGACCGTCGACTGCAAGAGCGACGCCGCCGCCGGGACCTCCAACGTGGCAAACGCACCGAGAGCAAAAGGCTCGGATCGATTGCCGATGTTGGGCAAGTACACTGCCACGTCCGATGCGACCGGGCGGCGCCACAGCGGGTTTTGGAGTGTCGCTGCTACGTCTTGGTATCCACAGTTAACTATGACGCTCGAGAAGAGCGTCCCGAGCATCATGAGTGGCGACAAAATTCGAATGGCGCGGCCGCGACAGCACGGCGGAGCGGGCAGCCGCTGGAGGACGAGGATGCCGCAGTAGATGGCAAAGACGGGAAGACCACTCATCATGAGAACGGCAATGCAGTGCACGTTAAAGTGGCCCGTCGTGTCCAAGTAGAGTCGCGTGACCTCGACATACCCGAGCGCCGGAAGCCGCACGAGCAGCAGAAAAACAGCGCGAGGCGGCGGCGCTCCAAGCCCGATACAAAGTCAAACGTGAGCGCGGGATGGCGGTGCAGCACGCCGCTCCAGCCAACCAGCGTGAGGAAAAAGTCGCCATTGACCAAGTGCAAAATGGTTGGCACAAGGATACCTTGAAGAACCGAGATCTCAACGCTACGCGCAACGATATGCGAGCACGTCCAGCCCACTTGCAGCGTTTTGAACGATGCCACGCCAGTAAACACTGGATGAAGCGACGTTGTATCCAGAAGCACTTCGGCGACGCAACTGTAGGTAAATTCGTATCGCGGCCCGAGGGGCTGCGACGCAAACGCCCACGTTGAGTGATTGAAGTTCGTGCGCGAGGCTGTCTGGCCATCGGGTGTGAAAAGTGTCTTGGTGACACTACCTACAACCCGCGTCATTCCACCCGACGAGTCGACGCGGGTTGCGCTGGCGCTGTCCGTGGCGTCAATGTAGCTCGAGAGTAGAAAGACGGGCGATGAATTGTTCATCGCTGTCTCAAGAAGCGCAAGCCCAAGCACGGACGATGCTACGGATGACGGGACGCACGACACGGAATGCGACCATAGCGGAGAAAAGACGAGTAGAATTGCGCCAAAGCCGTCGTTCGCGCCCATAACGCAGGTCGTGACGTGCACGGGCGTTGAGGGCAATTGATGCACAAGAGTCTGCGCAATGGTGTGCATGGCATCGGCGATGGCTCGTGTTTGAGCACACGTCGCCGCGTCAAAGCCGCCTGTTGTGAGGACGCAGTTGGCTTCGAGAAGCGACCAGTCGCGCGCAAACGCTGGCACCGACGTGGTCGACTGTCGCTGCCAGAGCCCCGTCAAGTAGAGAGCCCCGATCGACGCGACAAAGAGCACGACAAGCAAAAACTCGGACGAGTTGAGCACGAGGCGGAGCAGGACGGTGCGCGGCGGCACTGTCGCACTGCGCTCGATCGACTGCGCTTTCTCCGACTTGTCGGCCGAGTAGATGCTGGAGCGGTGCGTGCGGACTTGGAGCAACATCGACGTCATGAAGCGCTGCAGGACCATCCTTCGCCTCGCAAGTGTTTTGAAAAGTGGCTAAATTAAGCTAGACCAAAAGGCGCCGTCGAAAGTCGCGCTATTTCGGTTCCGTGGGACCGGATATCGTACGCAGGGACGTACGGCGAATCCACCAACGATACTATCCTGCAATATAGTCATATTCTGCAAGACTACGTTCATATATCCACAAATTGGTTCGATTACCATACTCAACTTTGCTCCCACAGCGCCAGACGACTTGCCATATAAAGGGTGCATAGAATCCGGATATGAAAGGATAGGTTCTTAAGAATACCGACATTAGAGCGTGTTTGGTGGCCGTGTACTTTTAGAGGAAACAACGCGTGCATGAACGCTGCACGCAAGACGCTCCAGAGCACCCTCGAGTGCCTCCGTGTGCGTGGTTATGTGGGTGAGCGAAGGTGGTGTCGTGCTTGGCGGAAGCTCGCTCAGCTTGGACATAAGCAGCTCCTGGAGCGCTCCAAGCTCCGAGATCACGTGCACTTCGTCGGACGGGGGCGGCAATCGTACGCTCGGACCTTTTCGCGCGTGGGCAGAGAGCAACGCCTCGCGCAACACGCAGAGTTTTTGCCACCGCTGACGCCACGCGTTCGAGTCGCAGGACGACGCGACGTCGGCTTGGACCAGCGCTGGGAGGATGTACTCGAGCTACATGCAAATATTTGTCAATCGCTGCGGAAGCCAGCATACTAGTATCATGTACCGCAAGAGAGAGAAACCGACACCGCGGTGGGTTCACGTGCTCGTAGACTCGAGCCGCCACAAGGCCAAGGCCCGCGTGAAAGGCGGCAAAACTACATTCGCCTCGTGATCGCTATGCAACACGCATTGCATTGTGGTGTACCTGACCGTGTGGGACGAGGCGCCCATGTCGCTGCTCTGCGCACACTAGCAGCCTCATTGTCGATGCACATCTGTCAACCCGTGGGATTACCCTCATTTGTCGAAAGATGATGTCCATATCGACAGTCGAGAGATGGCGTGGGCTGCCCGCCTAACTTTTGCTGAGCCAACGCAGCTAAACCGATAGAAACCCTAACCTCGCAGAGTCCGAGGTCGCGCAAACAGTGCACGAAGGAGAGATTGCTCATGCTAGAGTGGCCTCGTGTGCAATAGAGTTGAAAGAGACGCTAGCATCATATTCACTGGAAACGTGGTTTCAAAGAGGATAGTGTGTACCTCGAGCTCGGGTGCGAGCTGTTCGACGTGGGCCAGTAGGTCCATGTCTTCAGTGAACGAGACAGCGTCGTTCGTCGGAATGCCGCGTGCGTCGCGCTGCTTTTTGGCGTCGCAGAGACATCGTCCATTGTTCTACATCAAGATCAACAATGTGCTAAAACCAAATAGAAGAGGCAAAAGATACTTTGAACACGGCACTGTTTTCGTCCATCCACAATAAAAGCAACCGGACCTTGTCGTTGTCGTTCGGATACTGGTCATCCCACTCCTAGAGAAGAGATCAACGAGAGCGAAGACTGTAGAAGAGACGGTACCGGCCCCGAGAAAATAAGCTGCGCGGCCTTCCCTAGCGTTGCTAAAAAACCAATGTAGTCCATTTCGCTCTTCTTATTGCTGGGGCCGTGGGGTGCGTAGAGGCGCAACACTTGTGGCCGCGAGATCAAGTCCTAACTCCAGGCATCAAGCCGTTAGACCTTGCAAAGCTTGGATGGCGCGATACGGGGCAGATGCGGTACCGATGAAGGAGCTGGAGGAAGCCCTGAAAGCTCAGTCGGTGCCCTGCGCGCTGGGCGTAGTGACGCGGCTGCGTCCGCGGGTTCACGCGCACGGAGCCGACGCCAATCGCATCCAGGAAAATGACCTGCAGAGCCACCGCGTGCTCGTCCAGTACGTCGGCCATATCGCTCAAGCGTCGCGACGGTTGCACTTGTGTGATACTCAATATGGTATCAATGTATCGTGGCCGACGAGCAATATCCAGTGCGCTGATACTAGTATTCTTCCACCGCGAGCATTCACGAGTAAGGGCGTTTACGCTTAGCCCTTTGCACACATCGCACTTCAATGAGGGTAAAAAGATCTGCTTTTCCAGAGTTCATCGTAGTTAAGCTGCGAGACTCGTTGTGATGATGGAGCCACTTGATTATTACACTCCTCCTTGACAACAATCGTATGCGTCAGCCATACAGTTGATGGCGTAGGACATTCGCTATCGCGAACGTCGTGATGGAGCCTTTCTCATGTGTCTCAGATGTGCCCATCATAGGCGTGGTCGAGAAGCGTGGATGGTTTCGTTCGTTGCCTATCAAGGCTCATGACGTGGCAGTCTCATGGGTACGTTTCACATCATAAAAATACGCGCCTCTAAAAATATAATGCACAAGCGCACAGCGCTTGACCAGGTCGAAAACCGATTGCAACGTAGCAAGCAGTTCTTAGAATGCCCAGCGTCACGGCGTCGCAGCGCTTCCAGAGCGCGGGCCCGACGTCGCTCTCGCAGTGGCACTCGGTGCAGAACGCGTCGGCGTCCAGCGTCAACGCGTCGACCATCGTGCTGTCGCTGCGCAAGCGCCTCGAGGCCAATGGCGGCGTCTACGGCTTCACGTCCTTTCTGAGCACGATGAAGCAGTTTGGCGGGAGCACTCAAATCCTCTCGAAACCGCAGCTCAAGAAACTCTGTGCGACCCACAACATTGCAATCTCAGACATTGTACAGCGCACACCTCGAGATGTATCTCATCATAAATGTGCTAGGAGGTGCGTTCCCTCGTTCTCTATGTCGGTGACGACGACAACACGGCCGTGGCCTGTGCGACGCTGCGCGACCTGCTGATGGTACCGCTGCCACACGACATGAAAACTAATCAAGAATGAATCAGGGAAAGCTTGACGGGCCGCGCCTCGACCTTGTGACCAGCGCCTTTCAACGCCTTGACAGCCGTGAAAGAGGCTATGTCGCAGTCGAGGACATCCTTCGGTCGCACGACGCCGCGATGCACCCGTCGCTTCTCTTTTCGAAAACTGCCAATGCCAACCAAGTGCAAGGCGATTTTACCAAGGCATTCACGATCCTCTGCCCGCTCTGCACGCTCGTGAGTCTCGCGCAATGGACCGAGTTCTTCCAGTGCGTAAGCGCGACCATCGAGAAAAACGACTTTTTCGAGCTGCTCCTCACACGCGTCTGGCACGTCTTGCCGCCAAGCAACAACAGCAGCTTGGGTGAGACGACGCGTCCTCTGCCTGCCTCGACGACAGCAAACACGCTCCTCTCGGACCTCTCGTCGCGCAACCTCTTGTCGACTGCAATGGACTTTACCTCCAAGTCCAAGACCACTTTCAACTACAGTAGCGATGACGCCACCACGACCACCTATGGCAACAACAACTATGGCAACATGGGCGCCTACCAAACAACGTCCAGCATCGACGTCTCGGCGGGCAAGATCTCGCGCATGACGTCACGCAACGCTACGCTCAATAGCGTGCAGACGGCGGCGTGCATGGCCCACGCGACCTCGGATCGCAACGGCCTCTTGCCCAAGCCCAAAGACATTAGCATCGGCACCCAAATGGTGCTAGGGCGGCTCCGCGCGTCGCTCCAAGCTCGGGGCGCCGCGGGCATCGTCGGTCTCTCGCGCAAGTTTCGGCTCATGGACGAAGACGGCAACGGGTCGATTGACTTGGCCGAGTTCAAACGCGCGATGCGCGACACTGACGTCGACTGCAGCGACGCCGACTTGCGGCTTCTCTTTGACGCCTTTGACGCCGACGACAGCCACACGATCGAGTTCAAGGAGTTTCTCGACGGTGTCCGCGAGCCCATGAACGCACGTCGCCTCGGGCTCGTGCACGCAGCGTTTCAAAAAGTACGTATTTCATTTGCGATCGAGGAGGCTAAGAAATGATCGCCTAGTTGGACAAGAACGGCGACGGTGCCGTGGACCCGTCCGATATTGTCGGCACGTACGACGCGAGCAAGCACCCGGACGTGATTGCGGGCAAGCGAACCCAAGACGACGTCTTTCGCGAGTTCCTCGACACATTCGACGTCGACGTCAAGGACGGCAAGGTCTCGCGCGACGAGTGGGTGCACTACTACCACAACATTAGCGCGTGCATCGAGAGCGACGACTACTTTGAGCTTATGATGCGCAACGCGTGGCAGCTCAGCGGCGGTGCGGGCTCCGCCGCGAGCTCGTTTGAGCAAAACGAATCGCGCGGCTGGCGCCCCGACCTCGAGTGTAGTCGCGCGCCACTACCACCGCCGCTGCTTCGGCGGTACGGGAATGCCAGTGCGGGTGCCACGTCGTGTCTCAACGTCGAGGCGCCGTCCGCGCGCACGAGCACGACACCCGTGGACCTCCAGCACCCGCGGGAGCTCCGGCGCATCGTGAAGCGGCTTAAGACGACGCTCAAGTCGCGGGGCGCGCGCGGCTTTACGGGCTTGAGCCGGTCGTTCCGCATCATGGACACGAACGGGTCGGGATCGCTCGACATGCAAGAGTTCCGCGCCGCGCTGGATCACATGAGCGTGCACTTGAGCGCCAACGACATTGTGACGCTCTTCGACTACTTTGACTCGGACGGCAGTGGCAGCATCAGCTTGACCGAGTTCTGCCGCGGCGTGCGCGACCCGATGAACGAGCGGCGCATGGTGTTTGTGCGCATGGCCTTTGATCTCATGGACGTCGACAAGAACCACGTGATCACGGTCGAAGACGTCGTGCAGCGCTACGACGCCAAGAAAAACCCCGAGGTCATTGCCGGCCGCAAAACCGAACGCGACGTGTACACCGAGTTTCTCGAAACGTTCGAAGCGTCGTCGCGCGTCCACGACGGCCGCGTCACCCTCGACGAGTGGACCGAGTACTATGCCAACATCAGCGCGTCGATCGACGACGACGACTACTTTGAGTTGATGATGCGCAACGCATGGCACATTTCCGGTGGCGTCGGGTGGTGCGCCAACTCGACCAATCGCCGCGTGCTTCTCAACGACAACCAAGTCGTCGAGATTGAAAACGACCTTGGGCTCCATAGCACCGCTGACATTCAAGCCCAGCTCGAGAAGAAGCTCGGGGCCAAAGCCAAGGTTTCGTTCTACGACGTCCTCGACCACTCGGTGCGCCCCGTCGAGCGCACCACGCGTCTTCGCTCGCGAAACAACACGAGCAGCGGTGCGGCCAACTGCCTCTCGATGGGCCATGCGAGCGACGCCCCGCAAAAAGCATCGACGACCAAGCAAAGTGTCAATGCGAGCATGGCGCCGGTGGGGGTTCAGCCCATCTTGAGCCGGCTCAAGGAGCATCTCAAGCTCCGGCCGTCCAATGGCTACATCTCACTGCACCGCGCCTTCCGCCGCATGGATACGGACGGCAACGGCCATCTGAGCATGCTCGCGTTCAAGCGGGCGCTGGCCAACTTTGAGATTTCCGAAGTCGACGCCCGGATTCTCTTTCACTACTTTGACGTGGACCACAGCGGGTCGGTTGAAGTGACTGAATTCATCACGGGGCTCCGCGACCCGATGAACGAGCGCCGCCTCCGGCTCGTGCGCACCGCGTTCTCGCTCATGGACAAGGACGGGAATGGCCTCCTCGAGCCGGCCGACATTGTCGAGGCGTACGACGCGAGCAAGCACCCCGATGTCATTGCCGGCCGCAAGACACCGGACATGGTGTTTCGCGAGTTCCTTGACACGTTTGACGTCGATGGCATGCACAATGCAGTGATTACGCCGCTCATGTGGGAGCACTACTACGCCAACATTAGCGCCGTCATCGACGACGACGACTACTTTGAGTTGATGATGCGCAACGCGTGGCACATTTCCGGTGGCGTCGGGTGGTGCGCCAACTCGACCAACCGCCGCGTCCTCGTCAACGACACTCAAGTCGTCGAAATCCAAAATGACCTCGGGCTCACGAGCGGCAACTTGCGGGCGCGCCTCGACCAACAATTGCAGTCCAACATGAACCTGCCGGGCACGATCAAGACGCTCAATTCGGTCAACGTCACGGCGTGCCTCAACCACGTCGACGCGGCGCCACCGACAAAATCGGTGAGATCGAGCCCACCAAAGCGCATCTCGCTTCAAGCCATGACGTCGGCACCAACGAGCGCGACGCCGAGTGCTTCCCCAATGCTGTCGCCCGACACGATCGATGGGCTCTGGGGCGCGCTGCGCCACGGGCTGCGTCGCCAAGGCAAACTCGTGATTGTGCAAACTCGCCGCAGTCTGCAGAGCGCGGGCAAGTCGATGACACCGGACCAGCTCCAGAGTGCCCTTGCGGTCGCATCGCTCCCTGTCGCGCTGCCCATCGTACACGCACTTATTTCGGACCTTCGGTCGCGCAATGGCAAGCACAACAAGTGGGACGCGGGCGACGTCGCGACACCGAAAGCGCCGACGGCGGCGGTCTGGAACCAGCTGAGTCCCCCAGTGGACGGAAGCGTCTTGCGGATGGCGAAGCGCATCTTTGCGCAGCTTCAAGTCGACGGGAAAGGCGACGTGACGCCGCTCCTGCTTGCGAGAGCGTACGATGCCCCGAGTCACCCGGACGTGATCCTGGGCTTGGCCAAGGCCGACGACAAGTTCAAAGAGTTTGCTGCGTGCTTTGACGTGGATGCGACGGGCCACATTTCGTCCAGAGCATTGAGACGTACTGCAGCGACCTCCTCGCACACGTTGGCGACGTCACCCACTGCCTCCAGATCCTCCGCGACTCGTTTCATGTCGATATTCCGCCGTCCTCATAGATTCCACACGAGTTGTCTCTTCGTAATTGAGACAAATTGAACTCGTATTACAACCATCTCTGTACTAGTACCGAAGAGGGTGGGAGAGAGCACAAGAAGGCTTCGACCGACCATTAATAACGTCGCCCATGAGGACGGGTATGAAGCCGGGCACACTGGCAAAGAGACGGGCCGCGCCGCCACTGCTCGAGCCCTGATGAGCCATCTTGCGGCGTCTTGGCAGCCGTTAACTGAGCCCTCAAGTTTGGGGATGGCGCCCGACTCACCCAGGTGCTTCAGCTGTGTGCCACATCACACGCCGAGACCGGCTCGTCTCAGTCGTCAGCTCGATCGACATCCTAAAGGGGGTCACGCGGCTTTTTGCCCGACCTCGAGACGTGCAATCCACGCTACAACGACAGAATGTAACCGATGACGTGGCACGCTCCGCACCGAGTCTCTTCAACTTCAACATGGCTGAATGGAAAGGAAGAACGTCATAGGTCATAACACAATACATCAATGCAGACCGCAAGCCATCATTCGTGGTCAAACTGCCATTCGAAAAAGAGACTGACGTTCGAGTACGCTGCCACGTTGTACGGGCGCATGCGATGCTGCAGCACGTGCGCGCCATACATTGCAAACTGGTCGACGCACTTGGACGCATAGCGCTTGGCGAGGCCGTGCGCGAGAAACATCGACGGCATGATGTCGTGGTTGACTGGCCCCAAGCACGCGTAGCCCGGGCTCGACGCATACAGGCGGGCGACATCGGCCCGCGTGGCGTCGACGAGTTGTTGCAGCGCCGCGTCCTTTGGGTTGTCCATCGCCATCGCGCCTTTCGTCAAGCGTGGCCAGTTTATCAAGTAGCCCGAGTGGTGCGTGGGGTTTCGCGATACATCGTTGTGGCTGCACGCGCGCGCCATGGATTCAAAGGCGGTCTGCGGCATAAAGTCCCGACGTTGCCCCACGACATCGAGTGGGGAGCCAGTGTCCGCAGAAAGTGCGTGACGAGCACGTTGCTGGCCCGCAGCGCCATCGGCGGCAAAATCTCAACCACGACATGGCCGCGGACAAGGCGGTCCTGCAGCCGCGCAATACGTCCACGGAGGTAGTCGGCGCACGCATCCATGAGCGACCGGCCTCGTGTCCGCGAGGCCACGTGAAGCCGCAAGACAGCTTCCATGTCCACGGCGTGAAAGACCGACTCGATCCACGCGCGGGACGATCGCAGCGACGGCGGAAGACTGCTCATCGTGACGCTGCCAACGTCTGCACCGAGCAGTTGGCCCGTGAGCATATAGTCGAGCGCACTGGCGCGGTCGTCGCGCGAGGCAAAGCTTGCGGCGGCACACAACGCCCGCGCGGCAATCTTCCGGCTCCACTCGTCGCGCGCCATTTTGATGCTCGGCACGTGGCGCTGCCAATGGACGAGCACATCGAGCACGGGCGGTGGCATCGACGCCTTGCGAGCCGCTAGCGTGGCAGCGACCACGCCTTCTTCAAAGGCCGTCAGCGTGGCGTGCGTCCAGCACGACGAGTACCACACTTGGAGCGCGCTGTCGACAGAAGCACGGCGCTGCAGCATGGCTCGGATAACCAGCGTCTTGGCCGTGCAAAACACAGACGCTTCAAGACCGACCCATCGCGCCGGCGTCTTGAGAGCTGGCGATGTCAACGAGACGGAAGCAAGCCACGAGAGGTCGACAAAACCGACGGCCACGTGCGTCGCGCCCGGTGGCAGCGCGGGCATGTCGTGGCCCACAAACGTATTGGTGAACGAATTGTGCACCTTGTGGTCGTAAATGCAGTCGCCAAAGATGCGCTCGCGCGTGTCGCCCAACAGCGCCGACTTGTACCATTCAATGGCATGGGCATGCTGCACACGCGACGCAATCGTCTCGGAGACGGCGGTCGCACGGCCTTCAGAGCCAGTGCCACGAGCGGCTCGTCCAAATACATGCTGCGCATGGCCTCGTAGCACGCCTCCACATATCGATGGCACGCCGCCATGTCAATGTCCTTGTAGTACGTGGCTGCAAAGCGCATGACGCGAGCACAAAACTCGTCGTGGAGCGTGTTGTGTGTGGACCAAAGGCTAAGCCATGTCCGACCAATGCAAGCTGTGATCAGCTGGAGAAGCCGAGTGAAGATGCATGTTGTAAGGGCTTTCGTATTGCATACTAGTCGTAGGATTAGTATATCCTTCTATCCTTCCATGCCGGTAGTGACTCTTCTAGAATAGTCATCCGGTAGTCATGGGGATAGCTCCTGTACCTCTGTAGCTCACCCCATCTTTGCCTCTGTGGTGTAAGCCCAATACAACTGCCTGCTTCACGGGAGACGGCTCTCCCCTCGCTGCTGTTTGTGTCTGCACCGCGGGCGCTATCACAAGCGGCGGCACCGCCTCGAGATGGCGCAGCGCCACTTTCTCCCAGGGCCGAAGCTGGCCCCGCGCTCGCGTGCGCAGTGCGTCGTGGAGCATAACGTGCGTGTCCAAAGCGATTCGCAGTGTCGCGGGAGACTCGCTTGCAGGGGCGAGTTGCGCGTCGTAAAAGTTTTTGGTTTGGTGCGGCGCACACGTCGGTTTGTGGACCTTCCAGTGACGAGTATGGCAGTCGCGCCCTCAATACCATACGACATGGCACCGGCTGCAGCGTGCGGGCGCGCTGCCTTGACCACACGCAGCGCAGGGCATGACTCTTTCTTCTTCTTGTGGACTTGCTGCCCAAATGCCAACTGAACGATCGTTGTGGATTCGAACCGAAAGACAGGGCCGTTCGGTATCCGGATCAACTTTCCTCACTTGACAAGACGTTTGACCGACCCATCATGACCATCGTCCGACATCATTGCGCACAGCGCCACAACGTACCCCGTCCTCGTCGGCGATTGCATTTCCTTCGCGAGCGATCACGGGCAGGCTTCACATGTTCCTCGTCATCCGGTGGAGCGATGTTGCATGGCTTGTCCGGCACTTCTCGGTCATATTGGCCAAAGTCGGATTGGTTGCGTCGTTGACAACGCCAGTGGCAGCACCACCGCCGGCGACGAGACTGCGGACGGCCTCCGAGCCCGAAGGCCAACTCGATGGATCCCCCTGGCAGCACAAGTGTAGACGGCTGGAGCTGGCATCGCTTCAGATTCGACGCCTCGTCTAGAATGAGCTTCGTGCCTGCCTTATCAGTGCGTGGCGTATGACGATGGCACGTACTGGATCGATGACAGCCCAGACGACATCTACCATATCGGTACGACCTCATGGATTTGCGCCCATGCAAGATCGGCGATTGGCCAATCGCAAAGCGCGATATCCGGATAGGGGATAAGCGACTGGGTTTCAGCCAATTACAAGCGCCTTTGTATTTTTGCGACGCTATGATTGGCCGATCCCGATGGATTTCTAATCTCCGTGCCATCACGAACTCACACCACTCACACTACCACCATGGTCGAGACGCGCTCGATGCAGGGGTACATAATAGCTATTATGTACCCCTGGCTCGATGACGAACGCGTGCATGGCAGCGCAAAACCAAAAGGGGTGTCGCCCTCGCGGGGGCAGTGTGCGATGCACGGCGATGACGGTCGGACCGACCCTTCTGCACCGACGGCTCTGCGCAGGTGACAGCGCCTCGGCGACTGGCAGCGTGGATGCCATCCGTCTTGATAAGGCGGGCCCCACGGTGTCGCTCGGTAAAGCAATTGATGGCGAACGAGGTCTTGGCATCGATGTACCATGCTATCTCACGCAGTTCTGAACACCTTGTACATCATTTTCGTCATATAGTTGGGTGGTTTTGACCTGCCCCTCTTGGCACACCAATGTACATGGAGATCGAAATGAACCGGCTTGGTTTCAATTGCGTACACTGGGGGCAACAAACTTTAGTCCCACGCGTTGTCGTATCGGTAATGTACCCGTATATCGATGACTCATGACAATCTTTCCTCTCGATCGGCCATGTTGAAGTTGCAGCGTCGCGATGCGGAGCGTGCCACGTCACCTGTAGCAGGTTGTCCAAGACAAGTCGATTGTTTCATCGACTCGTTGCTCGTCGAAACTACGTTGATTGCTTGAGGGACGTTGAAAGGGTATCTTTCAAGAACAGTCGATACTTGAGCGCATGACGTACTGCATATCGGTGCTAACGAGTCCGGCAACAGTTTTTGATCAAGGACTACTGCAGTAGGAATGACTCTCAATGGCTCTGCGAAGCCATGCCATTGCTGAAGGGCAGGTTCAACGATCTAGTGGTCTCGCTCAGTCGACCTCGGTTATGCCAGCAAGGGAAGGAAACCAGACGCACAAATCCCGATCTAACCAAAACACGCTAATAATAGTTGCCACGACTCAAATCCCCTTGAAATAACGTAAAACTCACGAGTGGTGGTTTCCATGGTCGGTTCGTTCAAGCCAATTGAATATTCCTGCGAGCCCGAGCGTTTCAAAGCAGATCTCTGCGCGACGATTGGCTCCCGGTTTGCAATAATTCGCATCTACAAGTACATGTACCCTCCAAGTGGCCACATACCGTTGCGTGGCGTCCGTCAACGCTACTTTTCTAAGCGAATGAGCCAAAATCCTCCGAAGCTGCCGCGAGGATTACCACAGTCGAGCACTTGCAGCATGTTGCGCCGCCTTCTGCACGCGCGCCGCCCTCTCGCACGCCTCTACTCGAAGCACCTCGGCGTGCTGCCCGAGGTCCCGCCCGAGTGCCTCCAGGCGCGGACGCCGACGCTGGACGTGCCGCCGATGCTGCACTCGTTCACGGAGATGTTCCGCAGCATGTCGCCGTACATCAATGTCCACCGGGGCACGAAGGTCGTCATCCACCTCTGCGGTGCGCTTCTGGCGTCGCCCAACTTTGTCGCGACGATGCAGGACATTGCACTCCTCAACTCGTTTGGCATTCAGATCGTGCTCGTCGCCGGCGCCCGGCAGCAGATTGACGACCGCCTCGCAGCGCGTGGGATCGACAACATTATGCACAAGGGCTGGCGCGTCACGGGCCCAGACGTCTTGACCGTAGCCATGGAGGCAGCGGGGTGCGCCATCGATGTGGGATCGACAATCTGACACGCTGTAGGTCGGTTCGGTTCCAGATCGAGTCGGCGCTGGGTCGAGGTATCGTCAACGCGCCAGGCGACAAGCAAGCCATCAACATTGCGAGTGGCAACTACGTCTTGTCACAGCCGCTCGGTGTTCGTGGCGGCGTCGACTACAAGGTACATCATACCTAGCTGTTCCGTCGCGAAACTCACAGACAGGCCTAGTACACGGGTGAGGTGCGCCGTGTGAACGAGCCCAAGATGGTCAAGGCGCTCGACAGCGGCGACATTGTACTGCTCTCCAACATTGCCTACAGTGCGAGCGGCGAGGTCTTCAACTGCTCGTCCGAGCAGATTGCAGCCAAGTGTGCGATGCAGCTCCAATGCGACAAGCTCATCTTCATGCACGACGGCGAAGAGCTCGTGGACGTCCGAACGCAAAAGGTCGTGCAGTCGCTGCTGTTGCGCCAGGCCCAGCAGTACCTCGAGCTTACGGCATGCGATACGAGGTGCATCGATTCCAAACCTATCCATGTATGTATCCAATTGGTGTGGATAGTGTGAGCCCCAATTTCCGCCTCTATTTGCGCTACGCAATGAAGGCGTGCATGGGCGGTGTCAAACGCGCGCACCTCGTGAGCCGCCACCGCAATGGCGCGCTCTTGCAGGAGCTCTTCTCGCGGGACGGCGACGGCCTCATGCTCTCGCGGGACCTCTACGAAGGCGTGCGCATGGCCAAAACCAGCGACATTCCCAGTACAACTACCTTACCGTACTCGAGCTCATCCTCATCATAATGGTGCAGGCATCATGCGGCTCATCCAGCCGCTGCTCGACCAAGACATCCTCGTCTCCCGTACACAAGAGCAGATCGAATCCAACGTGCACATGTTTACAATCGTCGAGCGCGACGGCGCCATCATCGCCTGCGCCGCGCTGCAGCCATATGAAAACAACTTTGCGGAAATGAACTGCGTTGCGGTCGACCCAGCCTACCGCAAGCTCGGCAAGGTACAAGCGACTTCGGGGTAGGGCTGCGGATGATGATGCTACTGATGGTATTAGGGCAACGCACTACTTGGCTACATTCTTCGCAAGTCGCAGGCCATGGGCGTCAAGACGCTTTTTGTGCTCACGACGCGCACGTCGCACTGGTTCATGGAGCGCGGATTTGTCGAGGCGCAGGTCGAGGACCTCCCGCCGTCCAAGCAAGCGAGTATCAACCGCTCCCGGCAGTCCAAGGTATACACGATGGACATTAGCGGCACGCGCGCGGTCGAAGAGAAGGAGCTGCTCCTGCGGCTTTAATAGACCATGCGTATTTCGTCGCTGCAATGTGAGATGGGATGGAGCTTAGTTATACAGGTGGCGAGGTTGTATTACGGTGTCTATTGGGGCGGGTTGCCGGCCATCATGCTGTTCTGAACGCGCTGCATGGTCTCGCCGACCTGGTGGTGCGCCTGCATGTACTTGCCGACGCAGCGGTCGACGCAGCTCATTTCGCCCACGTTGAGGTCGGCGTCGTGGAAGCGGTAGTTGCACTTCTTGAAGCACATCTCGGCCATGCGGTTGAAGAGGTCCGTGTACATGGCCATCTCGACCTTGGCCATCGCGACGGGCGACGGGCCTTGCTGCTGCTGCGCGGGGGCGCCAAGACCAGGAAAGTTCATCTTGCGTCGATCGATATCCGGGCACTGGCGGAAAATGGACGCCCAAAATCCTAGCCGGATATCCTGCCACTGGGTATCCGGTACTGGACCGGTTGACATAGCCGACTAACCGAGCACACAAATAGTCGGCTAGCATAGTCGGTTTTCCACATCCGGATACGAGATTGCCGTCTTGCGATTGGCGGCCACCTCGGGTGCAATAGAAAGGCAGCATTTCGACGACGACAACGATGGCGCTTCTCGCACACAAGGGCTGCCGCTGGATCGTGCTTGGCTGGTCGGCCTTCATCGCCGAGAACATTGTCTTGTCCGAGTACAAGGAAGAGATTATCGCGAGCTTTGGCAAGGACAAGTACCGGCTCGCCTACTCGACCTTGTCGACGGGCGCGTGCGCATCGATCGCGTACGGGTACCTCGCTCATGGCCGCCAGCAAGGGCCGCTCGTCAAGTCGCTCGCCAAGAAGTGGCCGCTGCCCGTCTTTGCGATCCAGGCGCTTGGCCTCGCGGGTATGGTCTCGCTGGCGCTGCCCAAGCTCCAGATTCCGCTCTCGGTGCAAGCGCTGGAAGACGCAACGTCGTCGGCGCTCGAGAAGAAGGACAACATGACGTTCTCGGTGCAGTGCCCCGTGGACTTTAAGGCCGGCAAGATCAACCTCCTCGAAGTTTCGCGCTACCCGATGCTCTTTGCGTTCGGTCTCGCGTCGCTCGGCACGAGTCTCGCGTCGCCGTACCTTTCGCTGCGCCTCTTGGCCGGCTTCCCCATGGCGATGGCTGTCGTCGGTGGCATGCACCAGGATCGCCTCCGCCTGCGCTCGGGTGCGCTCGACAAGGAGACGTACGAGAAGACGAGCTTGCTGCCGTTCGTGGCCCTTGTGCAGAATGGCGGCTGGGAGAACGTCCAGGTGCCGTGGGTCAACGTCGGCCTCGGTGTCTCCATCGCACTCGTGCTCGCCCGTCGCCGCGCGGTCGCCCTTCGGGCGTTCAAGCTCTAGAGCTACTGCATGCTACGACACGGTAATAGAGACAAAACACCTTTTGTTTGTGTACTGATCGGCCAAGCGCACGTGGCCTCTGTATGGACCTCATCGACGACAATGCGTTTGAAGTCGGCAACCCGTCATGGAAGCATGGACGCCTTATCACCCATGGACAAGTACTCTTACCATGCTCGCGAAGACCACGCACGACACCCTCGAATGGTGCCCTCGGTAGCAATCGTTGGCGGTGCACACAACGCGACGTCGTCCAAGCGGCTACGAAGTATCTGTTCGTCATCTGCGCCCGAGGTCGACGGGGCCGAGACGTCTCTGGCACGACGCCAAAACCAGTGGCAAAAGCACAAGCAGCTTCACAAACGCTTCACAAACGCTCTCGTTGCCGCCGCCGCGAGCTCTGCCTCGAATGTGCGTCCACCCCTCCCGCTGATCGAGCTTCAGGAACTTCTCGACATTGTGAGAACAACGCATACGGTGGTATTGTCTTCGTCTCGGATGCATCGTCGCGCCTCTCGGTCCTCCAAGAACTCACGATTTGCCCGAACTGGAATGGGATGTGCGCAGCTTCAGAAGCACCTCTCTTGTAGTCTACTACGATGTCCGTCGGCGACCAATGGAATTCTTCTCCTTTGAATCCATGTCTGCCTTAGCTTGCGTTTGCTGCTATCCCACGTGGTGTGCTGCTATCCCACGTGGTGCTGGCTGCGACCCAACGACTCAAGCCCCTTTAACCCTCCGGCGCCGGACTGGGCAGGATTGTACTCGTTTGTGCGAATTCAAAAGCGGTTTGACCAATAAGCATCGTTCGTTTGGATCTTGGCAGCTACTAAAGATCGCGCCATCCAAACGACACGAAAGACATGTCGGGCGCGTCCGTGAAGCCCGTGGTAAAGAACTCGACGATGGACCAGGACCTTCTGGACGAGGTGATCTGGGTCGCGCAGGCCGCGATCGAGTCGGAGGTCAACGAGCAGCACATTGCGGCTAAGATCAAGAAGCACTTTGAGCTCAAGTACCACGGCATGCTCTGGCACTGCTGCGTCGGCCGCAACATGGCCTGCTACGTGACGCACGAACAGTCCAAGTTTCTCTACTTTTACATTGGTCAGATGGCCATCGTGCTCTTCGCGACTGCCTAGCACCACCCCTCGCTGTACACACCAACCCCATTCAATACACAGATACGTCAAGTCCTATCTCGCGCCAATGCAAGACACTTGATGATGACTCTCTCAATGGGCAAGTCGCTTGCGTGGCCCTCGGTCGTCATAGCTGCGCAACTAAAGGCTGCCATCGTTTGGGAATCCTCGCATCTGCAGCTTGTTTGGATGCAGGTGTTCGTCGACGAGTGATCACGGCAATGCCCTGTACTTGTGCGCATTGAAAAAGAATGCTTTTAGCCGATGCATCGTCAAATTTGATCTGGTAGACAGACCGGTATTATGGATGTATTACGCTAAAATTGTCGACACAAAGCAAAACCCCACGTCGAAACGCACTGACGCTCGGAAACATATTCAGGCTCTGCGATGGAGGTCCCATCGTCACCCAAGCCGTTGCCGCTGCCGCGGGCAAAGCTCAAATCGCTTCTCGCACTCAGCAGCCTCGCGCCGCTGCCATTGATTCAAGCCCACCACGAGTGCATCGATGACAGCGACGCGCATGTGGCCAAGGCGGAGTTCAACTCGGTGCTGCCTCACGTCGTGCACAAGGACATCTTTGCAGGCTCGACCGAAGGGTTGCCGATCGGGAGCGAAGACGCGTCCCGGCACCTCGCGCACCTCCTCGCGGAGTTTGAGCGCCGGTTTTGGAAAAGCCAACAAGAAGGCGACGTCTTCGCTCGTGTACCGCCGGCGGGCGCGGGATCCGACGCCCGTGGCAACCGACGAGGAGCCGATCGTCGACCCGACGGCGTTGGCGTTCGACTCGAACTTTGAGAGCGCCAACCTCGCGAGTGCGTACCGCGTCCACGGCCGCAACTACTCGTTCCTATCGCAGTGCACGAGCAAGCACGGCAACGCGGCCGGTCCGAGTCTTGTCGATCAAGAATACGACCTTTACTGCACCAACGACACGTATACACTCGGTATTACATACGATCCAGCAGCGGCGGTTGGTGATGTCACTTCGTAGGACACATTCAGTGGTACTACTTCAAGGTCACGCGGCCACCCGGCAGTAGCGGCCGACTCCGTGTGCGCTTCAACCTGCGCAACATGATGAAGCACGACAGCTTGTACAACTGCGGCATGCTACCAGCCGTCTACTCGGAGGTACGTCGGAGCATCAGCGACAAATTTGGTGAGTGGGATCTGTAGGCCAAGGCCAACGCTGGCATGGCAGGCTGGACCCACGGCGGCGAAGAAGCCTACTACTACCAGAACGCCGACATTTACACGCGCGTGCGTCGGGGACTCCGCCGAAACCTGTCGCACTATACGCTCAGCTTTATCTACACGTTTGAGCCGTCGGACGACGTCGTGTACTTTGCCCACTGCTTTCCCTACACGTACACGTACCTCCAGACGTACTTGACGTCGCTCGAGAAATGCCCCTTGCGCAGCCGCAACCTCCGGCGGCGGACGCTCTGCTCGACGCTGTGTGGCAACCCGTGCGATATGCTCACGATCACCGAATTTACGTCCGAGCCCCAAGGTAGCACACACTGTAACGTCGTAAAGACAATATTGTCCTCGTAGTACTACGGCAGCGCACGGGCGTCGTTCTCACTGCGCGCGTGCACCCGGGTGAAACCAACGGCAGCTTCTTGCTGCACGGCATCATCGAGTTCCTCACAGGCTTCTCGGACGAAGCGATCGCGCTGCGGAAATGCTACGTTTTCAAAATCATCCCAATGCTCAATCCCGACGGCGTCATCCACGGCAACTACCGCTGCTCGCTCGCGGGTATCGACCTCAACCGGCGCTGGTCGCAGCCGTCCGAGCTCTACCACCCGACGATCTACGCGGCCAAAAAGATGATTGCGCTCATGCGTCAATCCCGCAAAGTGCTTCTCTTTTGCGACTTTCACGGCCACAGCCGCAAGAAAAACATGTTTACGTACGTTGCAAGGATGGACAATAGTGTCTGCAATGGACAGATTAGGTACGGCTGCAAGCCGTACCTCTCGTGGTCGCGCCTCGAAGACGCCAAGGTGCGGCTCTTCCCTTACGTGCTCTGCAAAACGTCGAGCGCCCAGGCCGGTGCGTACAACACTCAAACGTGTCAACAAGTGTCGACTGGACTCGCGTAGGAGGCTACTTTAGCTTTACGGATTGCACGTTCAACGTCACTCGCTCCAAGCGCTCGACGGGCCGCGTCACGGTCTGGAGTGACATTCAGATCCTCAATAGCATCACGCTGGAAGCGTCCTTCTGCGGGTGCCTCGCATCGCTCCTTTTGTATAGTCTAACATGAACAATGCCACTGCAGGACCGGCGACAACAAGGCGCGGCGTAGCATCGCGGCGTTTGCGACGACGAAACCCAACCACACGCCGCGGCACTTTACGCAGCGCGACTTTACGCGCTCGGGCGAACAGTTCTGCCACGCTCTCACAACGTACGGCGACCTTCTGGGGATTGAACCCATTGACGCAACCAAGTTGCTCGGCGCGTCGGCTGTCAAGCGCAACGGCGACGCGCTATCGGAGCTCCTCGACCTCGACGAGACACCGATCGAGCCGATTGCGCGCGACCCAACGTTGCTCACGAGTACGACGGCCTTTGGCGCCAACGATTTCGCCTACTCCGAGGCCGCGCTGAGTCTCCTCGACGAGCTTGCGTCCTGCGTGCCCAGCCCACCCGAAAGTGCAGTCGAGTCGGAAAACTCGAGTGGCTCCGACTCGAACCCGTCCGAAGACAACTACGAGCCCGAGGAGCTCGAAAGCAACGCCGTGTGGCAAGCCTTTCGGCGCAGTGTCGTACTGCGGCGGTCGTCAGCTCTCAAGAGCGCCTCCGCTGGGTCCAACTCGGGCCGCACGGCGTCGCTCATGCTCTCGTCGTCGCTGGCCAAAAAAACGATTAAATTGTACACCGTCCAAAGCGCGTGCAGCGGCATTGACGTGGTCATGTAGGCGCAAGAAGGTGCGTCGCAGTAGCTCGACGGGTACTCCGCACGTGACGGCGAGCGATGTACCTCCCGTCGCCGCCAAGACCGATGTTGGCCCCCACCGCACTCCGCGTGTCGCACCACTGCCGCTGCGTCGCGTCGAGGCACGCGTGACGCCGCGTGCAGGGGCGCAATCAGCACGAGAGACAAAAGCACCCCCGACCGTCGTCATTCCAAAACCGGTAGACAATATTGTCCTTTACCGTTCCGACTATGGCGCGTTAGGTCAGGAACGCCGGTGGGTTTGCCCAGTTTCACAAAAACATGATTCAGCGCCGCATTCACCAGGCGCAAATCGTCATGCAGCCGCCGCCTCCATGATGCAATCCGTATCAATGTCGTCTTCGTTCAGAAAGGTGTTGAAATAGTGTATATGTTGCAGCCAATGCCGATCTGCTTGAACCAAAGGGTTCACGTGGTGGGCGACTGCGTTGGCAGTGCCAGCGCAGATCACAGTGCACGAGTCACCAAATGTGGGTACTGCTTGCTCGAGTTTTTTATTCGAGTGACCCCTCCAGCACCAAAGGTGAGGCAACTAGACAGCAGTCGTCATCTTGCGTGCATGGAAGTAAGTACCCTTGTTTCAATCGTGTTTATGGTCCACCTGGTGCGCTTCGTCGGTAGGACCTCCTTCTGGGTCTAGACGACGTCGGCTCTAACCGCCCCTTCGTCGTGGGTCGCATCAAACTCTCGGGCGCGCCGCTTGGTCGCACTTGTTGGCGAGAGCGGCGAGTCGGACGCGCGGAGGTCAATCGGAATCGACACGCGGCGGATGGTGTCCTCACCAACGCTCATGTCATCTTCGTCGTCGTCGTCGGTTATGTACGAGGCGCCCCGCGTGCGCGGTGTGCGTCCGAGCTTGGGCAAGTTAGTCCACGCGCCTTCGTCGATCTTGCGAATGAGCTGGAATTTGTCGACCTGCTTGATCTTGAAGACGCAGACGGCCGAGAGGTAGATAAAGATGATGTTGATCCACAGGAGGAGCCAGCTCCCGACTGCAATCTCGAAAAACACCAGTCGGCTCGCCTCTTGAAAGTCGCTGACGACGAGCGGACCCAGGATCGCGTACGAGAGGCAGATGCCGCAGTTGACCGTCGGTGGCAACAGCGCAGCGGCGATTGCTGTCCCGACGACCGACGAGACATTCGCGTTGGACTCGGCGAGCGCGACGCCCGCCCCGGAGAGCGCCGCGACCACCGCGCCAAAGACAAGCGACACAAACTGGCCGCGCGACCGCATCTCGTACGTCGGCCACTTGAGGTCGACAGCGTACGGCGCGAGGACGATGCCAATGAGGACGCCGAGGAGGAGCGTAATCACGAGCGCAAAGAGCTCGTTGAGGAGGCCGTTTAGAAACATGTTGCGGTCGCGGATCGCAAAGCCAAACGAGCATCCGAGAATCGGTCCCTACCGCAACAATGCACATAAAGACGACAGAAGGATTGCATTTATGTACCATGAGCGGCGACAGCAGCATCGACGCCACGACGCACGTCTACAAGAGATGAGGATCGCGTCTCCGGCAGCAGCAGCAAGTACCGACGAGTCGCCGGCCAAGCCAATACCAGCAATGGACCTATGTCGTGACGTCAGCTCGCATAAAGAGGACCACGAGTACTACGAAGAGATGAAGAGCATGCCGATCGAGTCCCGAGACAACGTCGTGCTGGCCTCGATGTGGGCGTACATCTCGGCGACCGGAATCGCTGTCCCGACGTCCGTTGAGCGTTGGAGCAGCGCGCGGCGCGGACGCGACTTGTGCGTCTTCGGCTTGCGCTTGGAGATGGACGTGCCTGGCGTCAGCGACATGACGTCGCAAAAGCCAAACTGGACGCCGACGCCCATCTTCTGGAGCGCCGTCAAGATCGGCTGCATCTCGCCGTCCTCGACGCGGAACGTGACGATCGACGACGACCGCGCCTCGATGCTCGTAACGTTCTCGAGCTTGAGCTCGTCCTGGAGCGCCGAGACGACCTTGTGGTGCTGCTCGTTCGGGAGCGTCACCTGGAACAGCTTCATGCGGCGGCCTTTCTTGCTCTGGCGCTGAAACAGCCAAAACTGTTTTGGCCAATCCAACGTGCGTCTGCCAATTGGCGCGATGCCATTGGCTGAAATGTATCCATTTCACAACGGACCCAGCGCAACACAGCCGAGCGCGTCCACGAGCGAGGCGTCCGGTAGCGCGTGCGTCTGCATCGAATCGAGGTAGATGCGCAGCTCGATGGACAGTGGAGAAGCATGTCCGCGGTAGCTTGCGACGTGGCGCGTGCAGGCATGCACAAAGCCACCATGTCCTAGTCCAAGGCTGTTCGTCAAGCAATGCGATGGGATGCGTATCACCTCGCTCGACCACAATAACGAGCACCTCGATCGTTCGGCGCACGACCGATTTGGCAGTGTGGCCGCACGCAACGCAGATCAGAAGCGGGATGCAGCGCAATAGATCGCGTGGAATCATCGCCTCGTCCGACGACTCGAGATACGTCACGAGAACACTCGTCGCAGCGTAGACGGCTGTGACCACAGACCGATGGATCGAGAGCGCAATCGAAACGCGATAAAAGATCTCGGACTCTGTTGCGGAGTAGTCTTGTCCTGTTGCACGAGGTGAGCTTTGAGACCCCAAGGAAGGCAAACCCGAGAGAATTGCTTTGCAGATCGCCAAGGACCCCGTCGTTTGCACTTCGGCGCTCTTGTTCTGTCGCATCGCTAGCAGCACCGCGTCCAGTGGTGCGAGTCCATCGATGCGCTCGAGCTGTTTGGCGATCGCACGCGGTGTCTCCCGTCCAGCTGTTGGTTGCCGGCGACGTTCCGTCGACACTTGCGCACGACGACCGAGGCAACCTCGCGGTGCCACATAAGTCTTCGCCTCTAGAGATCAATTAGTTGAGTGGAAAAGGGTCGGTAGTCACATACGGACTCGGCGCCAGCGCATGCCGTCGTTCCACTCAATCACGAGGCCGGTGGCGTCGACCGTCCCAATCACTTCTGCTTGCCCTACCACAATACGAAGCCCGGTGCGATCTTTTGGCGACCGCCGAAGCACGGGCACTTGCCACCACTTGCGGGGCGGCACTTCAAACACAACCAGTTGGAATGGATCGCGGCCAAGACTGCTGCTTTGGACGCGATCAATGCGGTACTGACCAGCACCAAACGCATCCGTAGCCCCCGCGCGGTCGAGCTCCCATAGCCCGAGCGAGGCCTCTAGATCACTGCTCTTGAGCTCGTGACGTACATGTTGGGAAACGCTACCTTGCATTTCACGGTGCCCTTCGTTGCAGCGTTCACAGCGATACACGAGACGTACGTTGTGCGCGCCGCAGTGATCACACGTCCAGTCGCAGACGCGGGACCGGTCGTGCCACGCCTGAGAATCGCGGTAGAGGTGCTCGCGCCGGGCCTGCACGTGATGCAAATACGCCTCGTTCTGCGCCGTCAAATAGGCAGCGAGCACGTCCGCGAGCCGCTTGGTTTCAAATGCATGAAACGCGGCGCTCTCGGCATCCACGGCCATCATCGCTTGGCGCGCGGCGGCCTCTCGCTGCCGTGACTGTTCACGCGTCTCTGCGTCGTCGCGCTCCTCCAGCGACCGAAAGTGGTTGCGGACAACGTCGCTGCCAGCAATCGAGGCGTCTTTATGCAAGATGGATTTGAGGTACTGAAGCCCGGGGTTCAGCGATGGCTGGTACGACGCGCTCGAGGCATACATGAGGCTACGATGCTCCGCGATCGACTCGACTTGGAACGGCGAGACAGACGTCTTTGTGTGGCGCAACACGCGGCGTTTTGGCGGTTCGTACGACACAAGGCGAGGTGGCGGACGAAGATCGCTGCTTGTCCCTCGCATCGCACTCTGAACTCTGTAGCGCGATAAAATTAGACGCCTTTCTTTCGAAGCAGACTTTTGCGTTCATGCCTCGCTCGATAGTTTGCTAGTGCAACGTTGGCTCATAAAGTCGACACGACGATGTAGCGCGACCTTTTAGCGAGTACACGTTGTAGTACAGTCGACACGGCGACGTTCCAACGACCAGACGCGGACTCGACAGTATGATGCACAAGGTGCACGAGCATCGCACAGTGTCGGTAGCGCTTGGTAAAGTTGGTGTACCTTTGTCGGGAAATTCGTCAAGGTTGAATACCACAGTGTGCTACAGCGTGCTGAAATGTTGACGCGTGCGATGTTGACTTGGTCGCGTCGACGGGTCCGTCGTGATGATGCAGTTGCCTCGGCAGTGTGGCATCATTGTTGAATCACCCTGTGTCGGCTCCACGGTGGGATGAAAGCCTTCTCAGTGTTGATAGCAACCCCTGAGAACACAGCTGGGAAGCATGTTGCAGTGCATGACTTTGGCGGCGTCTAGCAACAGAGACGCCGTCGACATACCACGGGCCGTGCTTCCACTCGAATCGAGAACCAAACAATCCAACAGCGTCCAACCACGGCTGTTGGACAGAGTTCGTGGTCACGTGGCTCTCACGTTCGAAAGTCAAGACGATGTGAGAGGACCCAACCGCGCCTATCAGCCTCCATTGCACGACCAATATGAGTGCATCGGTGACGTCCAGTCAGCTCGAGTATATCGGCGTGAAGTAGAGGTGGTTTAACTTAGTGATAATAGTCTGCGGTAGCGCTAAATAAGGACCATAGGCGGCTTAGAACAGCATGTCGATGACTTGGGCAATCATGCGGTCGTCCAAGGCGACGCTCATGGCGTCGGCAATGTCCTTGTCCTCGGCGGTTAGAATGGACGACTCGTACTCTTCGTCGGCTTCGATCGACGGAAGGCTTGGGCGCTCGGGACGGCGGACTTCGCTGCCATGGTGGCGCGGGGCGTACACAGACGACGACATCGAGGGCTGCATGGCGGGCTTTGTGCAAATTGAAAACTGAAACGAGATGTGACCGGCCACCGGTTGTTGTACTACTACCTTCCATGGGTGGGCTGGACGACACCGTCCCACGACCCGCATGTTGACATGAAGCCGCCGCACCGTGGGATGCCTTTCTGAGTTTGGTGAAGCAACTGACAATCGAATCTTTGGCCACGTGAACGCGCGCTCGCTATCTGATGGATAAAGCTCGCTTGTGACATGTCACCACCCCTTTCTCACAAGGATCTTCATCTTCGTCGGCGCCATCAGATTTCGCGATCCCACGGCCTTCCTTCTACACGTCGTTTATTGCAAGTTCACATCATCCCATGGTTGGACCATGGTGTCGGACAATCTTGCCATCTCGCTACATCGCTTGCCGTTCTTTTTCACCAATACGATACGTCTATTCTCTGCCATGATTCTCTGCCGTCGAGTGAACCCTATTAAGAGATGTTCACGATAGTCGGAGTGTAAGGGCGGGGTAATGTGAGGCTCACAGGCCCTATACGCAAGAGGCTTGGATAGCACCCCCACGGCGCTGAAGTATCGAAGGTGTCACCTCAACGATGCTACGAAGAGAGTGCACCGGTCGCAAAGCGACCTCGCTCAGGGGATATGCATGTGCTTGTCAGCACCATGTCTCCGGTGCCGCCACGTCAATCTTGAAGACGGGGTTGCTTCAGAATGGGGAGACTGATGGAGTAGGACATCCTGCAACATATGCCGGGCGGCGTGCGGCGGGTGGAGCTTCTGTCACAGACACCTGGTCGGCGCGCACGTTTATGGCCTACAAACTCAGACACACGCTCGCTGGTGTTGCCCGGGGCCAGCAGATTTGGTGCTGTTTACGGCCCACCTATCGACTGCGCCTCCAATAGACAATCCACGTCCAACAGTGCCAGCAGCGCTGTGGTAAATACGAGAAGAAACGTTCGTGGTGATGATGGTGGCCGCGACGTTAGTCGCACGGCGGCCTTTCTATTGCCAACCAAATGTGGCTGCTTCGCGCGGTGTACCTCCGCATCTCGGACGACGATCGGGACACCTCATGATGTAGACCATGTGTGTCGTACATTCGAGAGCTGAGCGATCATCCCATCATATTGTACCCTACACCCATGCCCAACACCCCCCGAGGTCCGCGCGACATGGCACTTCTCGCTGCTGTGCGTACACTGAATGGATACGCAGCCGTAGCTCGCAGCCGCAGCCGTACAGAATCATGGTGGAACAGGCCTACCGGTAGTACATGTAGTAGCCATGCGTCGGAACGTGCTTCGGTGCCATTCCAAACGAGTGGGTCGACATGCTACGCTTTTCACGTGGAAAAGCTGCTGCTTCTACTCTATCCGTCGCACTGTCGCTCGTCGTGCAATTGATGTAGCAGGTGGACGACGATCGCCCGCGCTTGAAGTTTGCAATCAGCACACTCTGAGAAAGCGAGCGATGCATGCGCCCGTGCAGCCTCTTCTGCATCTGGTCGGTTAGCAGGTACATGCCATTCCTTGCTACATGCACCTGGATGCGGCCTTGCTAAATGGACTTGATCTGTACACGACTACATATATGTAATAGGACACGGACGGACGCTACTACATGTTTCAGATCTGGCACACTGATGCAAACCAGACTGGAATTGCGTGCCTGGCAATCATGGCTTGATGATGAGGCGCCATCCATCTCGCGCACGCTGGGTTTGACGGCGTATGCTGCTGGGACACTAATAGTGCTTGCCCATCACAACAACTGAGGCGTACCCAGTGAGGCATACCTATCTATTCTCGCCGTGTCCCTGAGGCACGTCGTTCGTTGTTGTAATGAGTTCTTCAACCCGTCGTTCGTTGTCGTTCGCTGCAGACGGCTGTCGGTTGACGCTCATTTTGCCGTCGTGTACATCTAGTGGTACCACATGAGCAGAGGGGATTGACCTCGTAGAAACACGGAGCCTTGGTCTGGATCGCTATGACATGGCTTTGAGAAGATCGCGGTGTTCGAAAAAGGCGCGCTGACATTTTATCCAATCGAGTTGCGCATTGAGCCATGTGTGCGTTTGATTGGCTGAAATGACGACAGTTCGGGAGTGGCAGCAGCAAGCAGCAACATGGGCACGAGCGATGCCAAGCTCGACCAATGTCTCGCGGTCCTTGGCGGCCCCACCGACGAGCACAAGTTCGCAGGCCTCTTGATGGTCACCAAGCACTTGGCAGACGCCGACGCGACGACGCTGCAGGCGGTGCGGGCGCGCGTGCTGGCAACCACGGGCACCGTCTTCTTCCTCCGACTCCTCCACACCAAAGGTGCATGGCGTTCGCCGTAGTAGACAATGGGCTCACGCCAGCGTATGCCATAGGCAGCCACGACGAAGCGCTGTCGCCGTACCGCGCCTTGGCATTGAATCTCATCTCGAGGTAGTACCCTCATCGACTTTAAGAGCTGACCATGCGGCACAGCTTTTGCGGGGATGCGACGCTCGCCAACGAGTTTGCCAAAGCGTCTGTCGTCGCCGACACGCTCGAGGCTTTGCAGCTCGGCGTTGCTGCGGCCAACGCGACGGTTGTCACCGACTGCCGTCACGTCCTGCAAGGGCTCTACCTCCACACCGCGGCGGGACCTGAGGTACAGCAACCCATCCTCGTCGCCTCGGAGCATGAGCTTATCGGTCGTTCGCTTAGCTCTTGGCCGAGCACGGGCTTGTGCCGATGGTCGTTCAAACCATGGTGCAGTGCTGTGCGGTCCAGCCGCTCTCGGACGCGCACGAAATCATTCTGCAGCACCTCGTGGACCTTCTCCGCAGCATCCAGTACCTCTGGAAGACGCTGTCGTCCCACGACTTTAACGCGCTGCTGCATTGTTTTGGCGCGATCGAGTCGCGGTCGATTGCGAAATGCCACTTGCAAGAGCTGCTGTTGGTCGCGCCCGACGCCCGCTGGATTCACGCGCCGCTCGCCAACGTCGTGTCGGGTCTCTTTGGCGCGTGGCCAGAGCACGGCCATGCCTCGACGCAGCGCCGGGATACGTCCCTCGCGCTCATTGAGCGCCTTTTCTCGACCGTCGGTGGCGCGTGGCTTCTCCCGACGCCCGATGCGGCCGGTGACCTCGTCGTCCTCGTCGTCCAGCTGGCCGCCATCGAAGCCAAGCTGCTCTTGGACGACGCGGAGCGCGCGTGGATCGACGTCCGCGTCAACGAAAGCGCCGTCGAAGTCATCGACGGCGCCGACGACCGCCTCACGCGCATGATTCCGATCTGCTATGGCATTCTCGAAGCAATCGTGTCCATGCTGGCCGGGTCGCGGCCAGACATCGTCGACGCCTCGCTCCTCTCGGGACCGGTCCTCGCGCAGCTCCAGGACGCGCTAAGCGAGTTCTTTACGGTCGTGCTCCAGTTTTTAACCACGTCGCGGGACTTCCTCGCGACGTTCCCGACCTCGCTCGCACTCGACATGGTGGTCTACGCAAGCATCCGTGTCTTTGGCGCGTGGCTGGCCGAAGAGTCGGACTTTTGCCAAGCCGACGTGCTCCAGCTGCTGCCTTTCCTACTCCAGTACCAGCCGTCGCTCCTCACCGACGAGTCGACGAGTCGCCTTTGCACAACGACGACGAGATCGACTCGGACGACGAAGAGCCGCCGACGCCGTTGCTGACCGACCCGCTGCACTTTTTACTCCCGGGCCTCCTCTCGCTGTCGGCCGACGAGGCTGTGGCCACCGCGCTCTTGGACGATGATGCTGTCTTGCAACGATTGTTGCAGTTTGGCGTCGGTGTCTGCGCCAACGCCGACACCCCCGGCGTCGTCACCATGTGTCTTGGCGTCTACATGAATTTGCTGCTCATCGGGTCGCCGTCGTTCACAGCCAAAGCCCACTTCCAGAAGACGCTGCCGGTGTACCTCAAGCTCGCACAACTGACAGGCCAGCGTTGTATGACGAGCCGGGTGTACGACGACGACGCGACGTCCTTGCTCTTGCATCTGCTCAACTACTGCCTCTTGGTCCTTCTGGGCTCGTCAGCCAAGGGCAGTCGTGCCACGGACCCGGGCTTCCGCGCCACGCTGCAGTGGGCCAAGGCGAACGCGCCGCCCATCGAGTGGGAAGCCAGCTACGACCTGCACGAGCTGCTGCTGCACTTGGCGGCGCGCGACTCGGTATAAGACAGCACGCACGACCTAGAATCGGGTTAAATTAAGGTTAACAAGATGTTTCGCAGAGAGTGGATCTAGTACGACTAGTCTACAAGGGCTTCCTTCACCGCGCAGAGAGTTTCAAAAATCAGACCGTCGACGCTATCTCGCGCGCCGCCGACTCGAGGCGCGCACGTTTCGCACTCGGGCCGTTGGTGGGTTCTACCGACCGGCAACGCCGGCGGGAGGCAGTCGGTGCCGGTGGCGACGTGACCGTGCACTCCTCGCCGACCGCGTCGAGCTCGTGGACGCTGGCCTGCTGCATGATGCGCGCGTTCATGACGGGCGGCATCGACGCAATGTCGCTGCAGCACGCGCCGTTTGCAGTGAGGCTCGGCGGGTTGCGGCGCACGCGGGCGTTCACAACCGCTCGAATGACCTGATTGCTCGCGGGCAGTTCAAGGAGCTGCGCCGTGGGCATGTTGGCCTGGGACTGCTGCAAAATGATCGTCGTGTTGATCGCGTACACCGAGTAGTTGCTGTACGCGTCCGTTGGGAGCTGGTGGCGACAGGTCGGGCACGTCGAGTGGAGCTTCAGCCACGGGTCAATGCAATGGGCGTGGAACGCGTGGCGGCACGGCAGCTCGACGCTGAGCTCATCGTGAAAGGCCTCCATGCACACGACGCAGGCGGTCTCGTCCGTCGTCGCGACCAGGTTCTCCTTGAGGCCATCGACGTACGAGGTGGAGGCTGGCGAGACCGAGTTGAGCTGCGGCATGATGTAGCGGATGATGCTCTGCACCCAGCGCGGGCTCTTGAAGAGGCGCAGCGCGTCCTTGATGTGCGAGTTGGGCGGCGCCGCATACCGGACGTTCACGCGGATGGCGAGGTCCATGACGCAGTTGGTAGTAGAATCGGAAGTGAGCAGTTCATGCGCCGGGGTCGCATATGCCCGCCTAATGCGAATTCTATTTCGGTTGCGGCAAAGCACGAGATCCGAACGGGAATTTCGCCCGTCGTTCGTTTCGGCTTTATTTAAAGTATATGAACGTTTGTATTAAAGGAATAAAATGACCACCAACGGGTGTTTCGCACGGATCCGAGGTGGCGGCTCACAAGCGACGCGCGTCTTTTTATTGTATTTTTACGCTCAAAACGCCTGGTTTCAGGCTCCGGTAGGACTTTTGCCCCGTCGCTTTCTGGGACGCCGGGCCGTTGGCCCTCACTTTAGGGCTTCCGGTAGGACCGAAGCGACGGGGCGGAGTTTAGTTAGTCGCTGTCGCAAAATGTATTTTGGATCGCGGCGACGTTGGCGCTAATTATACGCAGCGACGCCATTGTGCAACGACGAGCGAAACGAAGCAATCAAAGCAACCATAATACTCTGCCAACGGCCGAGTCTTCAATTTACGCGTCGCCTGTCGTCGGCCCAGACGCAACGGCCACACGCAACTCTACGCTTCTTCTTGAGGACTGGATCGTAGTACCCGCGAGAACGACACAAAGATGGCTCCTCGTCGCTGCTGACGTACCATGAAGAAGGGCGTGGAGAGCCAGAAGCTGCTGCGCCCACGCGCGCTGGTCGGACGCGCGTTGCGTCGCTACGTCGGCGACACCGCGTTGCAATTGCAGCACCTGAGAGGATATACTATGGATGTTGCATCGCCCGTATCGTGGTCTACCTGTGCGCCAATGTGGATCTGAAAGGCATGCAAGGACGCAGCTACTTGACCGATGCGTGTCTCGACTGCCGAGAGATGTGCTCGCACTTCAACAATCGGCGACTCGGGCGCCTGTGGCGTCGGCTCAGATATCACATAGAGACATCCATCTTGGTCGCGTACGGTTAAGCTACCTGCCCATGCTGGTGGCGGCGACGGGGCGCACGTTTTCTGGGCCTTGAGCACGGCAATCTCACTGGCCCACGCCTGCTGCGCAACATCGAAGCGCTGCGAAAGGTCCATGGGTAACTTCGTCGATAGCTACGAGACCTTGTCTTTGAGACGTCGTTGTATGTAGTCTGTACGTGGTGGAGCTTTTGCGTCAAGTCCTCGAGCTCCGACGCGACGTGCTGGTGCTTGGCCGCCGCGCCGCGCGCGAGCTCGCGCAGACGATTCGTGAGCGCATCAAACTGCATCCGGTCCGCGCTCCGGTAGGCACTCATGTCGGCCTTTCTAATACCGAATCATGATGACGTGGCACGACGAGACGCCAGAAATAACGAACATCGCTTCCAGGTCCATGTGCAGATCGTCACATCGGTGCCTTTCCGTCGTTGCCAGCATCATGGTTCTAACGTGCTTGGGATAGAATATATCGAAAGATAGAAAATGCCATGTACTCGCGGCCGGACGGGCGTGCCAAGTGGAGCTGCAGCTGTGCCTTCTCGAGTCCAAAGAGCTTTTCATCCAAGGCCGTCAGCTTGGCTTCAAACGTGTGAAATGACTAGCCGATGTATATGTCATTAGTGACCGTAGCAAATAGGGCGTCGTCGTACTGTCAATGTAGCGTCCGCCTCCTTCTGCGCTTGCTCCCGCATCTTTTCGAGAAGACCTTGGGTTTGGCCCAGTCGGCCATTGGCCGCGCTCCGGAACGAATCCATCTACTTGTATCGCATCTGAGTTTCTGCATCTCGCGCGCCAATACCTCGCCGCGCAGGACGGCCATGTGCTCCTTCATCGCGGCGACTTCGGTCTTGACCTCTTGCAAATGCCTTCGGTATTTCTACAGCCACGATCGCCGTCGGCTTCTGAAGCACATACGACTTACTACCTGCTGCTCTTGGGCAACGGTGTAGTGCAGACGATCCATCTTCTTGTCAATTTGGTCGTGCAGCGCGACGTGGGCAGCGTGCTGGTGGGTGCGCAGGGCTTCCAACTACCAATCATGCAGATTCGCACGCTGTCGTCGTCGTGAAAATACCTGCTGCTGCAGGGATAAAAAGGTTTCTTGTGACGCTGCTTCGAGCTCCACCTGTTCTTGGTTGTCGCGCTCGAGTGCCTACACGCGTCAGATACCATAGACGCCGCCGTAGCCGCGAACCTGCACGGCCGAGCGCAGCGCGTCCACTTGCGGCGCAATCGACGTCGTGAGCGTCACAAGGTCGGTTTTAGCCTTCTTCACGAGCTCTTCGGCCTTCTCACGGCGCCGGCGCTCGGCCACGAGGTTGGGGCTCCCGCCGAGGACGTGCGCCTTCATTCGAAGATTTGCGCACACACTTGCTGAAACGGCGCGTTGGGAAAAGCCTCGTCGTCGTTACACCGTCCCGGCTCGCCGACCATGGACATCTACCGGCTCGGGAAGCTCAAGCTCTTCGGAAGAAGAAGGGACAGGACCTCCGTGCGCAGAGCGTCTACGACCTCCAGCGGTACGTCCGTCACATATGACGTGGCGTCACCGCTCGGCGTGCGCAGGTTCCGGGCGCTGTACCTGGGCGCTACGCAGAGTCGTGGCCTTGCACCGCCACCCGCGTTTGACAAGGTGGGCCCTGCATTGTGGTGGTGATGACGAGCTGTCTTGTCTAGTGTGTCTACAAGGCGATTTCGACGCAGTCGAACCTCGTGCTTATGGACTTTCGCGGCCAAGGCGTGAGCGACGACCAGCTGCTCGCGCTCGTCGAGACGCTTCTCGAGATTCCGATCCTTTCCAGCCTCGACTTGCGCGACAATCTCATTACAGAAGAGGTGCGCGCCGCGATACCTTTGCATTTCTTAATTGAACAACGCGCATAGGGCGGTCTCTCCATCTTGGAGCTGCTTCGGCACCAGCTCATTCACTCCAAGGCCAACAGCGCGGGACCGGTAGGCAAAATGACTGTCTTGTCGACAGACGCATGATCTATAGTCTAGTCGTTGGAGTACACACGCTTGATCACCAAGGTCGATCTACGCGGCAACAATGTGTCCGAACCGACGCTGCAGACGATTCGGCAGGTACACAGTTGGTTTCGTGCATCTCGGATCTTGACGCGCGCTAGTATACGGCGATGCTGGCGCGGGAAGACAAGCGACTCCAAATCAAGTCGATTCTGAACCAACTCGACTACAATGCATCGGGGTCCCTCGATGAGAACGAAGTGCGCATCGCGCTCAAGCTCGCAAGCGGCGTCGAGCCCACAAAAAGGATGTATGCAACATCATGGATCAGCTCGGGCTTCTGAGCTGGCAGCTCTCGAGCGGCCCGTCACCGTCCCAGAAGCAAACGTCCGAAGCGAGCTTGCGCGCGGCGCTGGAAAACATCCTTCTTGCGCGCTATGCGCGGTCGCCAGCAAAGAAGGACATGGAAGGTATGCCGCCGATCGAGTCCCTTGCACAGATTCGCCACGCTGAGCTCACGATGCCGTCCAACTACAACGCCGAGGACCCGAGTGACGACGACGACCAAGTGCCGCCGATGGTCGATGCCGCGCGACGCAGCTCCGTGCGCCTCGCAAGCAGCCTCTCATCGCTGAGCAGTCACGCTCCGTCCGAGAGTACGATTTCGCCAGACGACGTCGAGATGCCGCCGTTGGATCTCGAGTCGCCGCCGACAAGCAGCCCACCTTCACCGATGGCGGCCGCGCGCCCCCCGCCAATCGTGATTCCTGCGCTGTCGCCGATGACATCGCCGGTTGCATCACCCATGGCAGCGGGACACCACAGCAGTGACGCACCTATCGTCATGCACATGATTTCGCCGCAAAGTTCACCCGTCCAGACGCCGCCAGTGTCGCCGACGATGGCTCTCATGCCGCTACATGGCGAGACGCTGTCGATGGCCGACACGATGCCTACAGCTAGCACGGTGATTCTGCCGCCACCACGCCTTTCAGCAACCCCAGAGGCGCCGCAGATCCCAGTGGTAGCAACGTCATTTGGATCCGCTGTCGTCGATACTTCTCCCCTGGATGCTGCTACACCAACGAGAGAGTCGCATCCTGGCGAAGACGTACGGTCCCACGCTACATGCATGGATACACCCGCGCTGTCACCAACGGCATCGCTCGCAGCAGACGACTGCATGTCCCCACTCGATGTCACGCCGTCCACGTCACCGGTCGCTGCGCTCGTTGCTCCATTGCCAGCGCCTCTGTTGCCGCCAAGTTCACCGCCCTTTGCAGCGTTTGCGTCGACTTTTGTACCATCCAGTCCCAGTCGAATGAATCCCGTCAGCGAGCGGCGCCTCTCATTGGAAAGCCTCGCCAACGGCGACAACAGCGACGACGACGATCCGTTTGAGCTGGGGGCGCCGCCGGAAGAATCCCGGAGTCTTGAAACCGCAGCATCGTCGACCTCGGAGATGACGGTGGTCGAGGACGAGCGCTGCGAAGTCGAGGCGACCTCTAGCACGCCGTACACATGCGAGCAGCAGCCGGCCATGTACCAAGGCTACGAGCGGTTCGATATACTGAAAGGTGGGCGTAATTTTTTTACTCTTGTGCGTGGCATTAGGGTCGCGGCCAAGCTCCAACACCCGCAAATGGCGTCGACGTTCCAATGGGCATCGCTGTTTCCAGACGCCCCGCTCTCCAACGTGGTGGCGCTCATTCTGTGCCACAATGCACTGGAATCGATTTCCTTTCAAGACGTACGAGCTCTCTCTTTGGCAACGTATTGAGAAAGGGTGTGTAGATGCAGCTGCGGCACTTGCGCGTCCTCGACTTGTCCGCCAACAAGCTGCACAAGCTCACGCCCATGGATGTGCAGCCGCTGCGCCAGCTCGAGGTGCCATGGCGGTTGTTGGCTGCGTGCGTTTAGCCTCGAGCGTAGGTGCTGGACCTGAGCTTCAACGCATTCCGAACGATTCACGGCATTGAGCACCTCACGCATCTCAAAGCACTCAACTTTGCCGGCAACCACATCAAGGCAGTCAAGAACCTCGAATTTCTCGAGCATCTCGAGGTCCTCATCACGTACTACACATGAGACGCAATGCGAACGGCGTTGTTGAGCGTAGATCTTGAACTTGGCGCAAAATGAAATTCTGACGCCGCAAGCGCTACGTCTCCTCTCTCTCAACAAGGTACATTACGCTGGTTGATACCCCAGCTGGCGCTCATGACGATGCTAGCACCTCACGCACTTGAACATTGACGACAACCCTGTGGTGAGCCAAGGCAACCACCGTCACCACAGCGCCCACATCCTCAACATCATTCCGACGCTGCGGTCGCTCGGCTGCATCCACCTCGCTGCGCTCATTTTGCGCGAGAAGCGCAAGGACAAGAGTGCCAAGCCCAAAGACGACGCGCCGTCCGTGGTCACCGCGGTCGACGAGACGGACAGTCCGTACTGGATCGCGCAAGCGTGTAAGAACGTTGGCTTGGTCTGCGACGCGCCCGAGGTGTCGATGCATCGAGTAGCTTCACCCTTCCTAAATCTTGGTGTGCATAGGAGGCACCGCGCACGCCGTCGCCGAAGAAGGTGTCGCGGCACGAGCAGCGGTCGCGCGACGAGCTGCGCGCGAAATCGTTTGCGCATCACATCAAGAAAGAGTCGCCGCCGCCACCGCCGATGCCGCTCAAGACGAAGCCCAAGTGCTCGTTTGCTGCACAGCAGAAGCGAGCGATCATGCTGAGTACGCCCAAGCCGTCGGCGGTCAAGCCCCCACCGCCACCAAAAGCCGTGCCACCGCCGCCCAAGACCATCCCGGTGGTCTCGACCTTGAAAGGGTATCTCCAGCCGACGCAGGCGTCAATCCACAGTACGCTGGCCGCGGAGCGAGAAAAATCCGCCAAAGTCAAGAAGCCCAAGTCTGCAATGCACAAGCGACTGCTACGGCGTGGTACATCGTCGGGAACGTGGAACATTCGTTTGACATGTAGCTCTTGTAGAGGAAAAGCTGCGGCAATATTTGGTGGCGACGTCGCCGCCCAAGCTCGCACCGCCGTCGCCGCCAGCTCCTCGGACAACTATGGTGCCTCTCGTGCTGCCGCCCTCGCCGGCGCACAACCACACGGTGTCGGGCCCACCGGCTGTGCTTTCCGACACTTCGACCGACGCCTTTTTGCAGAGCATTCGGTTCCGAGAGTTTGTGACGCACGTGGCTGAGGACCATGCGACAGCGTTGTCCGCGCTCGACATTCTCGTGACACTGTGCGAGCGCAGTAGCCTCGAGACGGCCAAGCTCGTCGACTTCAGGACCAATTTGGTATGTTTCTATTGCCAAATTTTCATCGAATTTGACATTTTTCTAGGATTCGATGCAAATCCTGGGGCATTTTTACGTCGAGCCTTCGATGCAGCAGGTGCTGGATGCAAGCCCCTTGGAGCACGACAGCGTTCGACAGCAGCTGGCGGAGCTCCGGGACCTCAAGCGTGCCATGACGTCGATCTTGGACAACGTCGATTGGACGGCTGTGACAACGACGGGGTGCATACCGCCCACCACCGCATCGCTTCTCCGCGCCGCTTGCGAGACCCTGCGGACGTCTGCGATTGGCAAACTTCTCTCGTCGCCGGCGCCGACGTCGCTCGATCTACTCTCGCCCATAAGCGCTAGCGTCGAAAATGCTGATGTGTTTTCGTTCGGCGCGGATAGTCGCGCGGAGCCTTCCCGAGAGCCAGCCGTGGCCAACGACGATGACGACGACGACGTGTTCTTCCGAGACGAGCCGAGTACGTTGGTCGCGGACGATGTTACCTTAGGCGACGCAGTGCCTTTGGACACGACGGCGGTCAACGATCCGCTCGACGACACCTTTGATGTTGACGACACGAGGAATGCTACGGACGAGCTGCTCGCCGACACCGCCAGTGATGCTGACGGCATGGATGTCCCCGAGACGAACGATGCCCTCGATGGCAATCTCGACCAAGACGTTGCCTCCACCGAGTATGAGGACGAAGAAGCAGACGCTGAGATTGCCGAAGCCGACGACGAGGTGGTCGAAGGTAATGAAGATGATGAAGCCGAAGATGATGAAGAAGCCGAAGACGATGAAGAAGCCGTCGAAGAAGATGAAGAAGCCGAAGAATACGATGAAGCCGAAGAAGCTGAAGAGGAAGAAGAAGCTGAAGATGAAGACGCTGTGGAAGACGACGACGAGGCTGTAGAGGACGCCAACGAAGCTGTAGAAGACGACGAAGATGTCGCCGCGGAAGCAGCAGATGAAGATGAAGAGGAAGCGGATGACGATGCACTGACGCACGGCGATTGGGAGCAAGGGTTTGACGAATCGTCCCAGCATCATTACTGGTTCAACTCGGCGACAGAGGAAAGCTCGTGGACGCCGCCGCCCGGCTGGCCGTACGACCTGCAGGGTAACCTCCTCGCGTCGCAACCTGCCGCTGCCGACGAGGACGAAGAAGACGACGATGAAGAGATGGAAGAGGACGAGATGGAAGAAGACGCGACGGAAGACAATGCTGACGCGTCCGAAGAGATGACCCTCGAGGCGCGCATTGCGATGGCGCTTCAGGGCGGCAGCGCTCCTGCCGACGATGAAGTCGACTTTAGTGACAACGACTCGCTCCCCGACTTGTAGAGTGCGTGTAGGGGTAATGCACTCGTGCACGTGATATCTTTATTTCGTTACTCGCGCGCTACCGGCTGCCACGTATATGTCCCATAGCGTGTATCACAGCACCATATCTGCTCCAGGGTTGTGTGGTCGGCGGCCTCGCAGCCAATGCCGTCTTTCTTGGGCTCGTTGCAGCATACCCAGTGCCCTGGGAGGAGCGTGCCGCCCATGTAGTAGGCCGCATGCACGCGGCACGAGCGTGTTGGCGCTGTCGGGCTGAAAGGCGCGTCGCAGCGGCGGCACCGCTCCATGCTGCTCGTTTCGTGGGCCAAAAGTGCCTCGCGGAACCACGACGTGGCGTGGGCCAGGCCCAGTGTGCCGTCGCGGCACATACGGGGCGGTGCTGACGCATGCGCCGCTGCGAGCGACCGAAGGAGGCTAAAGAGGATGCCTTGGGCGCCAGCTTGGTTGTACCGTATCGCAAACAAGTGATTGCGATCCGAGTCGGTCGCGGGATACAAAGGCAGTGGGCCGCCCGTGACGGCCGTGATCCAATCGGGCAACGCGGTTAGATCCACGTCGTCAAAGATGAGAAAGAGCATTGGTGTACGGCAGTGCGCGGCATATAAGAACTCGAGTTTGCAGTTGATGGAGGCGATGTAGGCCGCCGATAAGCAAATCAGAACGGCGCCGACACTCGAAACGGCCGTGGCCATGGCGGCGTAAATGTTGCCCTTCATGTAGCCCATGACATCCATCCACACACGGAGGTGGGCAACCGAGCCTTGTTGGTACAGCTGCAGCACCGCCGACTGCTGCTTCCACGCATAGGAAAACATGGCGTCGATCTGCACCGACGCGCGGGGGAGACCGTGGGCGTCGACGATCGCCGGAGGCGGCGCCAGCGACAAGCGAGTTACCGTGTATTGCACCGTGTCGGTAATCACAGACGAAGGCACGAACGATGCGATGTTTAGGCGTGGCAGTTGTGTGTCTGCTGTCCACTGCCAACGGTCCGGCATCAATGGGACCGGCGCCGCGGAGAGGCCCATGGCGGCAGCCCGCGCTTGACGGTCTTGGAGCACTGCGGCTTCGTACGCCATCAACCGAGCCTCCTCTGTCGTGAAGAGATGGCATTCGTCGACCAAGGCGCTGTGAACGTACGCAAGGAGGTCCGAGGCCGTGCACGAGTCGGAGACGCAGCACGGACTTGCGTCAATCTCGGCGTACTTGGTGAAAATGCCGTCCAGATGCGACGGACGCAGCGGGTACCAGAGCCGCCCTGCAAACGCGAGGCCGAGCCACCCGGTGAGGCCGCCATGCTCGCAGCAGTTGATCGGAAGAAGGCATTTTTTGGACACGAGCGCCACCTCGAGAGCGCGCTGGTACGCAGGCGACGTCGCCGAGGACTCGGTGATGACGCAGAGCACGAGCTTGGCACTTGTCATGCCTTCGAGCGCCGTTGAATCGTTCGCATCGGCGACGCTGCAGCGCTCGGGCATCGCCAGCCCTTGCGACGCCAGCGTGGTCAAGAAGGCAGCTACGGTTTTACCAACGTCGCCTTCAAAGAGAATGCACACATCGTGCATCAACGTGTCGGGTACGATCGGCGGTAGCGCCGGCTCGGGCATGTCGGGCAGCGGCAGCCAAGCGCCGGCCGCCACGAGCTGCTGCAGCGCGTGCACATTGTCATGCAGAGATGGTACCCACGTGCCATAGCCAAAGCAAATGGCTCCGATCGCACCCGATGGCTCAAAGTAGCTGTCCACGGACGCGGATTGGATCGTCTTGCGACTGTCTTTGAGGAACGAAAGCGACGTGAGGAGGACGTCCGAGAACTGAAAGTAGACGTCCATGGCCACGATCGCGAGCTCGCACTGCTGCAACAAGGCGTAGCGCGACTGAATGTTGATGGGAAATAGCTCGGTGACAATGGGCACGGCCGCGTTGACGCCGAGGATGCGGCGCACAGTGTCCACCTGCGACGAGTGCGAGAGCACGACCATCTTCGCCGACGACGAGACGCCCGACCCCATGGGTATGTCGTTTCAAGATACAAAAGGTGTGGATTAAGCTATGAAGTATTTTGCAGTGATCGAACTGGCGACGCATTCGAACTCGCGGGCGAAGTCATTACGGAGGTATTGGCTCCCCGCACGCTGCGCCGCGAGATGCCCAGGCACTTGTCCAAGTGCGGCGCAAACCGCGTTGCAAGTACCTCCACCGCAGCAGGATGAGCTCTAGTGCATGGACGCAAACAGTACATTTCCGCTGCAGCGTGGGCAGGTGACGTGGGCTGCGCTGGCTTTGGCGAAAGGCGGCGATGGCTGCACGCTGGACCGCGCCGGCATGTCATAAAGCTCCACGATGTCCATGGCCTCCGTCTTGACAAGGCGATGCATCTGCATGCGTATACGTGCATCGACGACACACGATGCCAAGGTCGTACCTCGAGGCAGACATCCCAAGCGACTTCATCGACGAGGGCGGCCAGCACGCGAGCCTCCCATGCATGTGTCATCCTCCGCAGGCAACCGAATCTTCCGGATACGATGATGCGGCATCCATAGTAATAGTGTACTGAACAATACACAGGTAATAGTGTATTTCGTCTGGATACCGTCGTCGAAATCCGGATGCGCAACTCGAAGCGGCGCCAAGTGGAATGGCACGACGGGTGCGGCCCCGCCCCACGGCCGTGCCGACCAAATCGTTGCTGGGAAAACCAGTGCATGGCAAGACCACTGCATTGAGCAACCAGTGTAACATTGAGCCGCTGGTTGCACAGAGCCTGGCGTCGGGCACCCTCGACCTCGCGGCTGCGGGCGACACGATCGACGACGTGGCACTCGTGGCACTCGCGGGTCGCCTCGCGCCGCATGCAGCATCAATACACAGCCTCGTGCTCTCTGGCTCGGAGCGCATCTCTGCGGTATCACCTATCATGGCATCGCGTCCACCAACGTCTGTCTAGATTGGCGTGCGCTCGGTTGCCCACGCGGTCGGAAGCGAGCTTCGGCGACTCGTGTACGCACGCGTGCCCGTGCAGCACGACGTCCTCAAAGTGCTTACTACGCGCATCGAGGTGCTCGAGGACGTCGACTTTTCGTTTCGCCCAATTTGTCGGGCGAAGCGATTCGCGAGTTCATTCCGTGCTGCAACCGATCGCTTCGAATATGCAACCTCTCGCATTGCGCCATGGTCACCGACGACGGTACGCTTCGCTAGCCTCATGACAACGTGCAAGCTACGAGTAGCGCTGTGCTGGCTGGCGGGAACGATCGGTGCTCAAGGCGCGCTCACGCAGTGTCGAAAGCTTCGGTCCCTGAATCTGGCGCAAACGATCGCGATCACGGACCGCGGCCTCGGTGCACTCGCCATAGGGTGCCGCGCCCTGCAGTTTCTCAACCTCGAAGGTCTCTTGCATGTGACAGATATTGGTTTGACGCAGCTCGCACGCGGCTGCAAGCAATTGCGCGTCGTGCATCTCAAGCGCTGCGTTCAGGTTCGCGCGCCCTACATGCAGACACTGTTAGAGGGACACTTTAGATTTCAGACGTTGGCATCACCGCTCTTGGCATGCACTGTCCCAAGCTCCAGAGTCTAAACCTGTGCGGCATTGTGCTCTTGACAACCTCCGGGCTGTCGCAATTCGTGGCCCATGCCCGCGCCCTTCAGGTCCTGGATGTCCAAGGCTGCAGCTTGCTCACGGAACAAGCGCTATGCATTCTCGCAACGTCGCTGCCAGCTCTGCAGCACCTCAACGTGACGGGATGCCAGCAAATCACTGAGAACGGGCTCCGCACACTTGCGACGCACCTCCCGTTCGTGCAGCTAGCGACGGCCTTTCGAGGCCTCGAGCCGAAAACCAACGCCACGGAGCTTAAGTTTGCGCACCACAAATCGACGATCGCACACTCGGCGGCCCTTCGCCTCCAGGCGTGGTACCGTGGACACCTCGGGCGGCGCATTGCAACCTCATGGCGCCACGTCATGGTTGAAACGCCCGCGGCCAACATCATTCGGCGCGCTTACTATCGACATCGACTTCGCACCGAAATTGCGCAGCGCGTCGCGCACACAAAATACATTGCACGCCGCGTCGCACGCATCCAAGCACTTGTGCGAGGGGTCCTTGTACGCATGCGCATTCAGCGTGAGCTCGACGAAGCGTATGCCCTCACGGTCGCCACACGCGCCGCCAAGCGCATCCAAACACGATTTCGTGGGTTTCGCATCCGCCGACAAGTCAACCCCGTCAATGTGGCACTCACGCGCATGTACATGCGCTTCGCCGAGGAGCGTCGAACGCGATGTGCGGTGCGCGTCCAGCGTTGCTACCGCCGTCGGTTAAATCGGTGTCGGCTCTCGGAGGTCGTGGGGTTGGCCCAGCGCTGGCGGCAGCAGTGTCACGACGCCGCCACAAAGCTCCAACGGCTTTTCCGCGCCCGGGCGGCTCGCGCACTCACACGGAGTCTTCAGCGCGAGCTCGAGGCGCGCCGAGCGTGGAAAGCGCATTGCATCACCATGGCGATCAAACTCCAGTCGCATTGGCGGCGCCATGCATCCTGGCGGCACTTGCAGCGCGCGCGCGTGGAGTTCGCGCGGCAACAAGCGGCCTTGGCAGCGGCGGCGACGCGCATCGAAGCGCTCGTGCGCGGCTGGTTTGGTCGCCGCGCCGCGCACGCACGGCGAGAGCTTGTCGCGTCCTGGCACGCGGCGGCGGCGACGATCCAGCGGGCGTGGCACGCGTATTTGCACCCGACGAGCGGCACCATCGAGTACGCCAAGCTCGTCTCGGACATCAAGTGGCAACTGCACCTCGAAGCCGCCGAAGCCGAAGCGCGCAAAGATGCCCTTCTCGCGCGGGAGCGGACGGCAGCGATGCGGGACTCGGCGTCCGAGGCCGACAGCGAAGACGATTGGTACGAGCAAAAGGATTCGTTTTGGTTTTCGCCGTCTCGGAACGAACGCGAGTGGACGCGGCCCAACCGATTTGCGCGGGAGAAGAGCCTCGTCGGTGTCTCGATCCGCGTCTTTTGGCCGCTCGAAGACGCTTGGTTTGAAGGGGTCATCACAAAGTTTTGTGCGTCGCGCGTCAAGCACCGCATTGCGTACCTCGACGGCGACCACGAGTGGCTCGAGCTCGATGATATGGACGAAACGCAGCTCCAGGTGCACAACGGCTCGTGGATGATGTATGAAAACTATTGCCCGAGTGCGTTGGCGCTCAAAGCAGCGCTTTACGTGCACGTGCGCTTCCAGATCTACTCGGTCGAGTACTTTTGCTGGCGCGCCGGGTGGATCGAGTCGTTTGACGGGACCCGGGACGTGTTCCGAGTCGTCTACGACGACGATGCGACGACCATGGTCGACGCCGACCTCTTTGGCTGCGAAGACGAAGTTCAAGTCCAGGACAAGCGGTCACTGCAGTGGTTCCACTTGGGCACCTTCTTTTTTGGGCCAAGCGATCCGACGCTGCGGGTCGCAGACTACCTCGCGTACGTCCCGCCCGTTTACGATGCGACGTACGAATCTGCCGAGTATGCTGCCGAGTACGAAGGCGACGTTGCCGAGTATGCTATCGAGTGGCAGGACGATGCGGCAGCCTACGACGAGAGTCTCGTGGCCGCGGCCGACGCGTTTGCGACTGGCGATGCGATGGCGATGGCAAGTCTAGACGAGCCGAATGCCGTAGATGCAGCCAGCGACGGCGACAACGACGATGAAGATGAAGAAGAGGACGGAGAGGACGAGGATGTGGATGCTGACGACGACGGCAGCGCGGACGATGCTGACGACGACGAGGATGACACTTAGCAGGACAGTGCGTCGCAGTGTATATCTATTAGAAATCATGCAGCGACCCTTCTTCTCCCAGTCGCCAAAGCGCGTGGGTTCCATGTACTTGCCACCGCGCGACGGGCCGCCCCATTCCGTGCCGGCGGGGCCAATCGTGACCATCTCTTCGTAGTCGTCTTCATCTTCGTCGTCATCCAGCACCGTGTCTACGATGATGGCGCGCGCATGTGGCTTGTCATGCTCGGGCACGAAGCTCTTGGGCGCGTCGCTGAAGGCGCGGGCGGCCATCGGCGTTGGGCGCTGCAGGCTGCGGAGGACGCGGGCGAGCATGTCGGAATCTTCGGGGTCGTTCGTGCTCTGTGGCACCAGCGTGCGTCCCATTGGCCATACGATTCTCTTTTTCAGCCAATCCACGTCAACCAATTTATCAGATTTTGACCAATCAGATACCAGGCTGGCCTCCGTGTCGCACCACCATGCATCTGACGCTGCGCGTGCTGATTGGTCCAAAAACGTGAGCGGCGTAGGGAGAAGCCGTATCCGGATACTCCAAGATACGCGGCGATGGCTATTATTTTAAAGAAAAGTAGAACCCCATACAATGCACAAGCTATTAGGATGAAAAGCCCATTGAATTGCGCTGTGGATGGCCTGGCGGCTATTTTTGCGCGGCCCGTATCCGGATGGATACTCAACCGATAGATTCTCCTTTTACTATGCCGAGGGGGATTCGGGACGAGGAAGAAGACGGAGTTCTTTGTGACGACGACGCTACCGACGACGCCATGGCCTCTACCTGCGTCACGACGACGGAGCATGCAACCCTTCCGAGCGCGACCGCGCTAGCAGGTACCTCCAGGATGCTATCCGTGCATGGGGCTCATGCAACGGCGCTCGCAGCAGATGCAACGACACCCAACTCGACACCAACGCTGGGTCCGACGTCGTCCTTGCCGAGCCCATACCTGCAGAGCGGCCGGAAGACGTCGAGTAGCTTCTCCGACTTGGGCGACTTTGACGAGTTTACAGAACTCAACTACTGTGCGACGCCCGAGAAGCCCGGCCTCTTTCACATGCCAATGCCGATCCGCGAGGAAGTCGAGCAGTTCCGTCTCAACAGCGACGACGACGACACGCGGCCGCGCCACTTGGGCTTGCATGGCACCGGCATCAAACTCTTTCCTGGCGAAGTTCTCAAGCTCCGTGTGGACCATGCGGCGTATATTGTGTTCTACAAGCCGTCGACCGCCGCCGAGCCCGAGAGCCCGCCCGACAGCGCGACGCAGCCGTCGTCTTCGTCGTCCGAGTCAGCCTCGGACGTGCCCATGCCGCTCTTTGAACCCGGCGTCCCTGCAGGTACGAATGTCATCCTTGTCACGAACACTATCGAACTCACGCATCGACGATGCTAGCACCAACTTCGGGGCCACCAAAGTCGCTGGGTGCACTAGGCGCCGCCGGCTACACGGTTGTGACGGCCGACTGCTACCAGCGCTACAACGCGACTCGATCGGGCTCACTCGGCCGCGGCCTCTTTCGTGCGACGACGCAAGTTGGGAGCGCGTTCCTCAAGGGCACGAGCACGCTCATCAACCAGACGTACGAAGGCACGACGCGCGGCGGCGTTCTCGGCTTTGCGAAAGGTCTGGGCCTCGGCATGTGGGGCTTTGGCTCGCACACGGTCAAAGGCGCGTTCCGCAGCGTCGGGCACATGACGACAGCCGTCGGCGAGGTCGTTCTCGGGCCGGACCCGCACTTTAGCCTCGACGGAACGCTCGTCTTGACCAACTACCGCATTGTCTGGACGTCGGCGCACGACACGTTTGACATTCCTCTCGCGTCGCTCGTGTCGATCGACAACCCGTCGGTGACAGCGCCCCACATTCTGCACATGGAGTGCAAGAACCTGCTTCGGCCGCAGTTTGCGTTTGCGGACGAAGCCACGTGCGTCGCGTTCATTGACGCCACGCTCCGCCTCTACAGCGACGGCCCGTACACGTTTAGCACGGTGCATTTCAACGCGATCCAGTCGGGCACGGCGCTCGACCCACTGGACGCACACGAGACGAGCACACCATCGATCTACGATGCGTGCACGGACTTTGCGCGGCTCGGCTTGACCAACGCCGACGCGTGGACGCTCGTCAACAATGAAACATACGCGCTGTTTCCGACGTACCCCAAGACCTTTGTGCTGCCCGCGGGCTTTACGGACCACGACATTGTCGAGCTCAGCACGTATCGCAGCGCGAGCCGCGTGCCCGCGGTCGTATGGCTGCATCCGCTCACGAACGCGAGCATCTGTCGCTGCGCGCAACCGTGTGCGGGCCTCAGCGGCTATGCGGCCGAGGCCGACAAGAAGGTGGTGGCGCTTCTCCGAACGGGCGCAACTTTTCACTTTTTTGACGCGCGGTCGCAAATGGCGGCCGCCGGCAACTTTGCCCAAGGCAAAGGCACCGAGGACGTGCGCAACTACCCCAACACGGAGCTCCACCACTGTGACATTGCCAACATTCACGGCGTGCGGGCGTCGTACAATGCGCTCGCCGCTGTGTGTCAGCCGAACGCCCCCTCGGACGCAGAGCCGCTCTTGCAGCGCACGCAGTGGCTCAGCCACGCCTCCAGCATCCTTGTCGCCGCCCAGCGCATGGCAACCGTTCTTTGCATGGGCGAGTCGGTCATGGTGCATTGCAGCGACGGCTGGGACCGCACGTCGCAGCTCGCCGGCCTGGTGCAACTGCTGCTGGACCCGCATTACCGCACGTTTCGAGGGTTCCTTGAGCTCATCGACAAGGAATGGTGCGATACATCTGTATGACGTATCAGAGGACTCAGTGGTGCTGTGTTTGTAGGTGCTCGTTTGGGCACATGTTTCGGTGGCGACTTGGCGTCGGGACCGGTCCCAACGCGGAAGAAGCCACGGAGCTCTCGCCCGTCTTTGTACAGTGGCTCGACTGCGTCTGGCAAGTGTGGCGTCAAGCGCCGTGGGCCTTCGAGTTTTCCGACGAGCTCGTATCAACGATCTACAACCACGTGTACTCAGGCCTCTTCGGCACGTTCGAGTACAACTGTGAGAAGGAGCACCGCGACAAGGAAGCGCTCGACCCGACGCGCTCGCTGTGGCGATACCTTCTCCGGCGCCAAGCGACGTTTGAAAACCCGAGCTACGAACCCGAGAAGAGCTTGCGACTAGTCGGCCAACTCCTCGACGTGAGTGTGGCCGAGTCCGACTTGAGGCTATGGGACGCCCATGTGGCATGCGCGGACCCGATATGCCGCAAGTACACTTGAAGGTGCGATCGTAAGCTGCGTGCCCAGGAAGCCGACGGAAGACGAACCCATCGTAGGAGACATAGGAGTAGTAGATGTAGGACATTAGTTGCAGATGGTCGACGGCGGCTGCTGTCATTAGATTTGTAGGTAGTGCTAGTAGTAGGTCATGCGGTAACATTGGCGTCTCGTAGAATCAAGTGGAACGTCGAAACGCACACAACACGATAGTTTGGCTAGCGTATACGATGGGATACGCTCGGCTTTGCTACCGGTATGCCACGACGCAGGCAATGTCGTCGAAGAGCTTTGCGTTGAGTTTGGCCTCGAGCCAGCGAGCTCTGCCGACAGCATGAAGTCTTTTGTCTACGATGTGCGAGCTCGTACTTGATGTCGCGCAGAATATCATGATTTGGCGCTGGACCCGGACCTTGCTGTGCGATCGTCGCCGGCGCCATGGGTTGCGACGCGAGAGGCGCTGAAAGCTCATACGACCGGCGCGAAAAAGGTGTTGCTCGTGCTGGGGCGAGTTCGGTGGCAAAGAACGCCTTGCCAGTGGTGTTTGGTGTCGATTGTAGTTTGCTTGGTTCGTAGCCAATCACATTTCTGGGCCCGGGCGGGACCACGTATCTCGTTTGCTCAAGCCGCTGACTCGTGATACCAGGAGGTCCCGTGCTCTGAGGTTGCATGGCGACCACCATGGAGCGTTGCTTCTGCTTGGCTTTGGTCGTCGGTGGTGGCGTTGGGGGAATCACCACGGGGGCCACTGCCATCGGGAGCAGCTGAAAGTTGGGGAGCGCTTGTACGTCGTCTTCTTCAAAGTCCCCAAAGAGCGCCGCACACGCTTCCATCTCTTGCTGAATGAGCATCTCTACATATGCTTCCTATCAGAAGCCGTCGCCGTACGCCAGCAGCCTGTACCTCGCGTCGGGATCGTCGCGGGACGAGTTCTTTGGGGACTCGGTCCATGCTTTGCCATGGGAGACTTGGTCGGTCGCTTCTTGACAGCATCTACACATCCATGCATCGTCGATCGACGACGTCGCATGCCTCCTACACTCCATCGCCCGCTGGACCATCTTGCGTCCATACGTTGCCTCGATCTGCGCATCCATGCAGAGGGTCATCGTCCTCCTTCCGGCGCTTCCATCATGCTTCGACGCACCGTCGACCAGCTGCCGGCCGCGGCCAGCGCGCGCACATGGCGCTTCTTCTCGGCCGTCGTCGTCGTCACCATCGAGCAAATTGGAAACTGGCGTACATCATCCGGATAACGGCGACAAAGAAACCGTCCAAGATCCACCTTGGCGCCGTATTAATTTTCCGTATCCGTATCGAAGGCAACCTATTTTGCGGGAATGTTCTTTCCACATACAACACTATATATATTGCCAACGAAAACCATTAAAACATGCAGCATACCGCAAGTGAGAAAAAATTGATTGGGTGAAACAAGAATTGGCCGCCATGTCCTCGAGCGCCCCGCCACTCTCGCCGACGAGCCAGCCCGATGCGAAGCGCATGAAGATGCAGGATGACCAAGGCCAGGAATACCACATCATCCTCTTCTACAAGTACGTCCAGGTGCCGGACCCGCAGGCGGAGAAGGCGGCGCAGCATGCGCTCTGCACCGAGCTCGGGCTCCTCGGCCGCTCGCTTGTGAGCAACGAAGGCATCAACGCGACGTTCGGCGGGCCTCTCGACAAGATCAACGCGTACGTGGAGGCCATGATTGCGCACCCGGTCTTCGCCATGAGCATCGAAGACTTTAAGCGCAGCATGGTCGTCGACAAGGCGCCGTTCGCCGAGCTCGTCATCAAGGACGTCAAGGAGATTGTCAACACGGGCCGCAACATCGTGCCGCCGGCGGTTACCATGACGGACGCGGAGCGCGGGTACCTCACGCCGCAGCAGTTCCACGAAGCGCTAGCCAAGAAGGACGAAAAGCCCACGGTTCGCGATCCCGTGCCGTGTCTTGCCGTAGCCCACACTGGTATGGCTAGATTGTGCTGGACGTTCGCGCCCACAAGGAGTTCCTCGTCGGTCACTTCAAGGATGCGGTGGACCCGCAGGTCAAGAACTTTTCCGAGTACTACGCGTTCTTAGACCAGCGCATTCCCAAGTTCAAGGAAGAAAAGACGACCGTGCTCATGTATTGCACGGGCGGTATTCGCTGCGAGAAGGCGTCCCAATTCCTCCGCAGCAAGGGTATCAAGGACGTCCACCACCTCAAGGGCGGCATCCACCGGTACCTTGAACAGTTCCCGGACGGCGGCTTCTTCCAGGGCAAAAACTTTGTCTTCGACAAGCGGTACACACTTCGATCCTCGACAGTGCATTCCTTATTCATGGGGCGACACCTAGGGTGCTCATGGGGCCCACGACGGCTGATGTTGTTGGCTCGTGCGTCTCGTGCTCGACGCCGTACGATGCGTTCAACGGCGTCAAGGTCTGCAGCGTGTGCCGGGATCTCGTCCTCGTCTGCGACCCGTGCTTCCAAACGGCGCACGGCGAAGTGCACTGCCTCGAACATCGCTACCTCAAGGACTGCTATTTTACGTTCCTGCAGTACTTTAGCGCTGCCGAACTCGAGGCGCAGGTGGCCGGCCTCGAAGGTGTCCTCGCGGCGCTTCTCTCCGAACCCGAAAAGCAAAAGCGCAGCCAGAACCGCCGCCGCACCGTGCGCAAGCAGCTCGAGAAGGTCAAGGCGCGCCTTGCGCTCGTGCAAGAAAACCCGTCGGCTGTCGAAACGTGGACCAAGGTGCACTGCCGCACGTGTGGCTCCACCGACTGCGAAGGCACGTGCTGGGGCTTCTGGAACGAAGTGCAGTAAGCAGGACGGCAGTAGAGACGTCATAAGATGCGCAACATGCATAGACTGTGTTTCCACACTAGTTGGCCAGTGAGCTGTCAGTGAGTGTATGACGGTCCTGATATCCTGATGGTCTTGGTCGTGTATCAGCAGGCTGAGAGAGCACATCATCCGGATAATGACACCTCATCCGGCGCCGGTGGGCCTTATCCGAGGGGGCTTCATGTTATCCGGTGCATTTATGTAACAATTTCGGACCCCGTGGTCCTGTGATGCCCAACTTTGAACGCCCATAACTTCGTCAGTTTTCGTTTCATCGCGATCGGCTCTTATACATCGCTTCGTCTTGGACAGAACAGTCGATTTATAACGTCCTTTCGGTATAAAAATGAAGACTCAGAGCTCGGATTCAAAAGTTTTGGACCACATCCATCTGGTAGGCTTTAGGTGGCGTGCACTGTATCAAAATCAAAATTAACGACTAGCCGGCTATGGTAACCGGTTAGGGCGAGGGTATCGTAGCTGGTGCAACTTTGCTCTAGCTTGCAAGGTCGCTAGCCGATGCGAAGTGACTCTTTCAGGTACTAGTACACAACGTGATATTGTTCAATATATCGACGTTCTACGGGGCGGTTGACTTTCGAGAGCCAAAGAGGAGGTAATGCATCGCGTTGATCTCGACGTCGATGGGGAGTTTTGCTCCCAAAGACATGGTGCGAGGACTGGGCATCGGCGGCGAGTACGAACCGAGTGGCGACGTTGGTTGCTTTCCTGATGGGCTGTGGCCCAGAGTTGATGGCGACAATACAGTCGGCGTGCTCGGAAACACTTGAAAGTTGTATGATGTGCTTGGTGGCGTTGGTGTTGGCAGCGCCCACCGTGGTCGAGAAGCGGCTGGTGGTGTCACCGCTGGGGGAGACAGCGGGTCAACGGCTGCTGGGGCAATGTCTTGAAGAACGTTGGGTCCAATGGACACCGTGGCTATCGAGGTCGGGCGTCTTGCTGTAGACGTTGGGTTGATCGATGGAATCGACGGGCGTCTTACGGCATCTTTAACCCTGGTAGTCGGTGGTGCTGCGTCATTTGGTAACGCCTTGGCCAGGTCCATGCTAGCGTTTGATGGTAAATCTTGAGGCAAGGGCTGGCTCGTGCTGGAATTAGCTGGCAGGTGTTGAGATATGGGCAGGTTCATGCTAGGCAGCGGCGGCACCTCTGGAGGTAAGGGTTGCACCGGTAGTTTGGCCTGCGAGATGCTCGCGACATCTGGAGTCGTCACAGCGCTGGAACGTCTGTGAGCGGGGATGGTGGGCTGGTCCGTTGACACGGGATCCACTGCTAATGAAGAGGACCCTGCAATCGGTGCAGCTGTGTCCATCGCGGTAGGTGCAGATGCCCGAGGAGAGGTGGGTAACGTGGCACGCGAGGTAGCATACACAGTCGGCCCGGCAGACGCAGACGCAATGAGATCTTGTAATGGCAATGTCGTAGAGGGTGTGACCTCTACCGACGTCGTGCCAACCGGTGCTACTGGCGTTGCAGAAGCCAAGGCTGCGGGCATTACGGAAGCAGGCGCGACGGGCATTGTGAGAGCATTCGCGGCTGGCGTTGTCGGTGGCTCAGAGCTATACACGTCTTGCGACTCTTGAGTGGAGGACACATTTGTTGAAGGAAATGGATGAGGCTGCGACGTCACGTCCAGTGTCGCTGCTGTCGTCTGTGACAGAGTTGCCGGGGTTGCCGCGACTTGAGGTGTCGACGGTATCACGCGTTCTTCGTCATGAGGTACTGAAGTCGGAGTGGTAGCAACTTGCGAGACAGCGGGTGGCAGGAGCTGCGAGACATCTGTCGATAGTTCGGAAGACGATGCGGCGGAAGGTGCCACCTCTGCTGGGGCAGGACGCGGCGACCTCACGGGTTCTGGTACCAAGGGTTGTTCGCCTTGTACTTCTGGGGCGTCGACATGAGGGGATTCTTCTATGACTGGTGCCACTGGAGACGCAAACGCTCGTGCCGATTCCTCATCGTCGTTTAAGAGAAGCGTCTTTGACAGCATTTGCGTCGACGGCCGACGCATCATCGGCTGCTGGTCGCTTTGTTGCCCGGGTTGGGCAGATGCAGTTGTGGGCACTTCTGCACCGCTGGACGTAAAATTCATCTCTGGCTGCGCGGGTGCACCACCTGTGACGGGTGCGGCAGCAGGCAGCGAAGCTTTTGGTGCCGTTTCCGTCGGCATCGTCACAACAGCGTCTCGAGAACTGGCCGTTGCGCTCAAGAGTACGTCGTCGGGCGTACTCGCTTCGTCGCCACCATGGTCGAAGAAGATTTCTTCCTCGTCTTCCGCCGGTACCTGAGTCTCTGGTGGCCCACCTTGGTCGCCATTGCCATCCGCCGCCGTAAACACAGCCTCCTGTAGCGGCGACGCGGCGACAGTCTCTTCAAGTAGGCGGTCTTGCGGTGCTGCGGCAGGCGTTGGAGCTGTTCGTGGCTGCACTGGACTGGCTACTGGTGTTGGCGTCGTATTGTTGGGCGCTGGACCACGGCTTTTCGTAGCTGGTGGCTCTGCTGTTGAAGTGCTTGAAGGTGAGATCTTGGCTGGTGTTGGAGGCTGGATAACCTGGAAAATTAAGATCACGTCTCAACCAATACCAACGGAACCAGACGTACCAGTGCTCTGGGCTGCTCCACAGGTGCGGCATATGTCGTCGCGGGCCCTTCCAAGTCATTTGATGAACTTGATTGAGCGGCGCTGTCATCAATGCTGATACGAGGTAGCGTACGTGGCGGCACCACGTCCAATCCGGCTTGTTGCACTGAGGACGGCATGGTCGTCGGCGATCGAGAATTCGTCCCTGGCTTGCCTGGGTTATTGGGCATGGCTTCGTCGCGAGACGAGGTCGACTCGGGCTGCACAAGTGCTTGGCCACGGCCGCTCGTAGCTCGCGATACACTGGGTGGCGGGTTGTCCGGCTCTGCTTGTCGATCAAAACGCACCGGTGTTCGGTCCGGCGTCGATGCATGCCTCAGTGTCGGATCTAGCGCAGACCACGGAAGGGCAGCATTGGCTGGTCTGGGCGCAGGCACCGACGTTGGTACTGGCGACCGAGGTGTTTCAGGGTGCTGGCTTGCGTGGCGCTCGGGTTGCAAATGCAAAACAGGGGGTGGGCTGTCTGCAGCACGCTTCTCTTTGGCTGCAGTCTGTGACAAAGCATCCTTCACCGACGTGTGTACTGGTGCGAGCTCTGTTGTGGCCACAGCGCGATCGACCGGCAGCTTGGTAACAGCGATGGGTACCGTCGCTAAATACGCCTTGGGAAGAATGGGCTCGAGGTCGCTCGAGTCGGTGGCTGCGTCCGACACGACCTTGCGTGGCGAGTCGACTTGCCCCCCGAAGTCAGCGCGCCCAGTCATGTCTGTCGACGGCTCTTGGTGCCATGACTCGCGCTTGCTCGTCGGTGTGCGCTGAATCGGTACGGAGTGTGCGCCAATGCTCTCAGAAAGCTCTGGAGGTACACTCTGATCCCCCGCGTAATCCTCTCGACTCGGTGTCGGCGAGGGAAGCTTGGGTACGTGGATGCTGGATAGAGCTCGAAGCGGGGCGGTTGGTGTCGCGAGGAACGGACGCGGCCGCTTTGGTAGCTCGAGTAGCGGTGGTGGGTGCATGTACTCTTGTAAATGAAGTGACGGCTCCGTTGCGAGCGCGAGTTGAAGCTGGCAGTCCTTCTCGATGTGCGGGACGACTGGCTTGGGCGTGCCCTGCACCTCGATGTTGCGCATGAGGTGCTCAGCCTCCTTGCTCAAAGCTGTGAGAACCACGGGCGCTGCCGGCTCGGTTGCCGCGTCCGTCATCACGACTCTCTGGGGAGGCATCTCGAGGTCGTTCGAGTCGGTGGCGGCGTCCGACATGACCGTGCGCGGTAGCTCCGCTAGCGGCACTGGATCTGTCGGCTTGGGCGGTGTCAACGCTTCGGGCACCTCGTCCTCTGCTTCGACCTTGGCTGGATTTGGCTCGAGTGCTATCGGCGCCTTGCGGTTGGAGCCGTACTTGAACTGGAGACGACGGCAAATCTTGTCCATGGACGATGCCATCTTGAGGATCGACGCGACGTCGTCCTGCACAGCCTTTGCTTTTTGCTCGGCGAGTTCTTTTGCTTGGTTGTCCTCTTCGTCGTCGCTCTCTTCGCCGCTCGCGTCCCCATCGTCACTACTGTCGTCGTCGTCGTCAGATGCATCGTCACTGTCTTCGTCGTCGCTGTCATCGTCATACTCGCTGGAGCTGGCAACCGACCCCGTCTCGTCGCTTGCGTCGTCACTGCGGTCGCTCTCGTCGTCGCCCGTCGAGCTCATGCTTGGATCTTCTAGGATCGAAAAAATCCCGAGCCTGAAACGGGCTGGAAGATGCCGATCTTTCCTTCCAGTCGCGTCGTCGTCGTAGAACAGACAACATTGTACACGAGTATTTCATATCGATTCACAAGTTCGTAATACTTTCCACTTCAATAGCAAGTCGACATGCATCCAGCTTACAGCCAGTACTGCCGTTTTGATTAACGCGAATAGACTTTCAATCTATCCATTCATCTATCCATCCATATATATATAAACTATCTATCGTACGTACTATCTATCTATCGATCTATCTATCTATCTATCTATCTATCTATCTCAAAACGTCGACATAAGAGCACAGAGAGGATCGACTTGTGGCCTGCCGTGGTCACTACTACGAGGCTCCTCTAGTTAGCAAGCCGAATCAGCAAGCCGCGCCTGACTGAAATGGTCGACCAATGCTAACTCACCGTGTCGTGATGGATCGAGGAAGAAAAGGTTTTGCGAATGGTATGTTATTTCTTAAAGTCTTACGAATCACAGCCGCCAGGCGTTTGGCAGGCTCTACAAGGAGACGTCGACGTACGGCTTTTCCTCGTGCTCTGTCACGGCGCCGTACTCTGCGTTGTTGTCCATATCGTCGTCCTCGGATGCAAATGGGAGCTTGAGCGACGGCATGGTGGCTCGTCGGATCTCGTCTTGCGGCACGCAGATGCCCGCAGCCTCCTTCATGCGCGGAAGCACGCGGTCCAGCGTTGCCGCAAACTCGCGGGCGTGGTCACTTTGCAGCGACGCAAAAGTCAGGTAGAGCTGCTTGAGCGCGCTCGCCTTTTCTTCGCGGAACTTGAGGACCTCGCTCATGACGCGCGCGTGCACGGCTTCGTACGCCGCTTGCGCGTCTGCGAGAGCACTGGCCATCGCGTTTGGGTTGGGGCTCGACGCCATGAAGCTGCCAAAGCTGCTGCGGCGCGTCGGCGACTCGGGCGCGGTGGCGAGCCGACTCACGGCGGCGAGCTGCGCTTGGTAGGCGAACCGCCGGTCCTCGCGTGTCGCGAGCGCGGCTTGGACACTTCCGATCCAACGCGCAAAATCGTCAATGCCGTCGGCGAGTCCGTTCCAGGCCACGTCAAGGTGGCGCGCGCGGGCGTCTAAAATTTGCACAAACGAGGTGAAGGCGACGGCTTTCATTTCCGGCAGCGACGCTTCGAGCTCGGCCAATGACGACGTTGCGTCAATGACATCGCCGTACGCAGCGGCCGCCACCTTGTTGGCGCGGTAGGCGGCGACGACCTTTTGCTGCAGTGTCTTGGCCGAGGCCTCGAGGTGCGAGACATACGCGGCGATCTGGTCGAACTCGCGGTCCTGGTCCGTCTTGGGCTTACTGAGATCCTTCCCGTACGCGCGGGACGCGAGCGTTTGGACCTTGTCGTGCTCGGACCACTTTTGAACCGCCTTGCCAAACCACGAGGCGAGCGCTTGCTTGGGCGCCGTGTCCTTGGCTTTTGCCTTGAGCTGCGAGAGGTCGACGGTCGAGACGGAGAGAAAGGCCGTAAAGCACGGCGAGAGCGTCAGCACGTCGTGGCCCGCGACGTTGGTGAGGAACTTTTGCAAGCCGACGCGGCGCGCTTCGAGAAAGTCGCGCGAGTGGAGGAGGCCCACAACCTTGGCCGGCAGCGGCGGCACGATGCAGCCAGGGCACGTCTTGAGCAGCTGGCTCTGGAGCCACGCAAAGTCCGAGTAGCGCCGGTCGACTTCGTGCAAAATCGGGCCCGCGCCCGCGGACCGGATCGGGTACACGTGGTACGCGTTCACGCCGTCGCCAACCTTGCCTGCTTCGCCGACGTGGATCATGGCGCTGCAATTGCTCAATGCACCAAACAGTGCAAAAGTTGAGAGGTTCGAAAATCGAACCGGTGCGATCTTGGGAAGATTAGAACATTGCCGCGACGACGAGAGGTATCCTTCGGTGACGCACGGGTGGTCACAGGCTGTCGACACACGCGTGCGTCTTGTTGTGCTGTGCTAAACGACGAGCAACCCGCCGCTTTGAAGTCCAGCCCCAGATTTCGCCATCAGATACAAACTAGCCTGTGGCCGGCCACTTCTGAACGAGTCGTGTGGTGGTGCTTTAGTACCTATATTACTACGTAGGTCCTCATGAGAGGACCAATGCAAGACGACACGACGAGATGCAGCACTTGGTCGATATATCATGTAAAACCGACCAACCGTCACCGACCGAAATGTCATTTGTGACTCAATCGGTGGTACATCGCTGGCGCTTGACGCGATCGTGATGCACGACCTCGTCGTCGTCGTCGTTGGTGCTCTCGTTCTGTGCCTTTCGACGCAGCGCATCGGCCAAGATCACGTCCAACGCCGCAATACGTGCTCGGTCGTCGGCGTCGACTTGCTGCGCCTCCACATGCGTGTCCAGTTGCTCTTCGTCGACGCATCCATCTTGCTGCAACTTGATGACGCAGTCATTTGATCCACGGCGGCCAACGGCCAGCTTGAGGCGGTGCTGGTTGGCGTTGATACATTGGAGTCCTCGATCGCACAGCGACTTTCCGAATGGCAAGTGCAATCGCGCCTTTGTGCCGTCGGTCAAGAATGCAGCCAAGCGCGCACACATGTCACAATGCGCCGCGTCGAGGGCAATGTCGTTGAAGACGTAATCGGTGATGTCGGGACGCGGTGCTCGAGTACGACCCAAAACAGCGAAGCAGCGCTGCACGACGCGCTCAATCTCGACCACGTGCTGCGGCACAACCTTGGCCAGCAGCGTCGCCAGCGGACAGTAGAGCTCCCGCGTCGGGTCCGGGTTGCCAAAGGCAAAGTACGGCTCGTCGTCGTCGTTGTCGTCGTCGTGTGTCGTCCGCATCCGGGGCGTCACGGTCCATGGCTTTAAACCAGTCGTGCAAGAGCGCCGGCACCTGCGTTGGGTCGACGGTCGCGAGCACTTCAACAGCAAGCAAGCCGGGCTGCTCCCACGATTTGTAGCAGCCCGTGTACGTCGGTTGCCAGTCATTGTCGGACGACAGCGTTGGCGCAAGCGCTGCGACAAGCGCCGCAATGCAAGCGCGCAGATCGTCTGGCAACGGCGACGTCCGTTCTTGCAGCCGTTGCCGCGTGCCGGCTAGCGACGCCGGAAACAAGAGCGTCCAGCACTTTTCAAATGCCGTGGCGTCACACCGGCCGGCTCGCTCCGACACAGCGACGAGGCTCGCAAAGATGGTGGCTCCAACCGGTTTGTATCGCACGCTGGCGGCATCGAAGAGCGCGAAAGCGTTCTCAATGACGTGCACGTACCGGTCCACGACCATCGTTGGCTGGCTTTTCAAAGCCACGGCGAGCGCTTCGGGGACATACAAGAGCACTTTTGCCGGTGGTAGCTTCTTCATCACCGCGAGCAGCGTCAACGCGTTGGGCTGACGCGGATACAGAAACGCGTCGACAGCGAGGAGCATACTTGGCGGCAAGAAGGCGCCGAGGTAGTTGCCATGGACCGAATGCGGTGCATGCTCGTCGAGGTACCAATCGAGGAGGACGATATTGGCTGCAAAGCGACGGAATTTCTCGGGAGACATGTCGTTCTCTAGGCAGAATTGGGGCTGGTGCAATGCGTGGTCGTAGCAGCCTTTGATAAACTCGCACACAAATGGTTGATCGAGTGGCGGACAGACCGCATCGGTTGTGATGCCCGCGAGGCTCGTGAGAAGGCGCGGCGCGCTGTCGCAATCAATGTACTCCCATGACGGAGCTCGAAACGCAGGCGTCTGGTGCCAGCGAGACAGGAGCCCGTGCATCGCGGGTGCGAGTCGCGGCCAGCCATACCGCGCGAGGCACGCATGAATCGACGCCGCTGTCTCGCGGAGGGGCATGTCGTAGCGCACAAAAATGGCGTCTCGGAGAAAGACGACAACCAGCTCAAAGTCGTCGAGCGCCAAGAGGATGTCGCACATGGTGGTAAGCCCGGATTTCTCGCCAAACCGACCGAGGCGATCGCGCCGGAAGGCACCGAGCGCTCCATGGAGAGCATCCCGGCCCGATGGAAGACCCAGAAGTGGCTGGTCCATCACGTGGTTGGTGATCGCGTCTTGCACGAGCGGCAAGACGACGTTGAGACCGAGGATGCTTGCGCGATACCGCTTGAGTCAAAAGACGAGCGCGAATGGCGGGCCCTCGAACGAGTGGTGGTCGATCGGTGAGTTGTCAAACAGAAAAGCATCGACGCCGCTGCCCACGACCTTCGCGACGACTTCGGGGGAACGTTGCACGCGACGTGCGGCGTACACGTGGCGACTTGGTTCTTGAACTTGCGCTCGTACTCGTCGTCGTCGTCGTCGTCGCTGGACTCAAAGTCGCTACCGCAGTTGTCACGTCTCAGCTGCTTCTCGAACGCAACATCGTCGTCCGACTCGAGTGCAAATGTCACAAGCGCAACGTCGTACAGCTCGGTGGTCAAGAGCGTGTGCACCAAACCCGCTTCGTATGAGCCGAGGGTCTCAAAGGTCCAAGGCGTATCCAACGCACTCGGAGGGTCGTCCACATCGTAGTATGCAATGCGGTGGTGCGTGTGAAGGGGCAGCTGCGCGACTTGGTGGAAGGCGCGAATGCCGTACTCTTGGTCGCACGGCAGAGGAAACATATCCTCTTCTTCGTCGTTCGCCACAAGTCGGAAGACGAGCGCCATGCGCACGCCGTGTGTGATGGGCGCAGACGCAGCAATCAAATCTCGGAAGGTCGTGACCATGGCAACGCCGGTCGTGTCTGGCGCCCACTTTTCGGTCGTGTAGCCGTAGGCGAACGCCATGTCGCCGCCGTCGTACGTCGAGGGCAAGTGTAAGATCATATAGCCAAATGCGTCGGGCGGCATCTCGTTCGGCATGAGTGCCGCGCTGCTCCCGACAGAGTCGACGACGAGATGCGAGAGGACGAGGTCGGCGTCTATGATCGCACGCGCCACTTTTCCACGCAGCACTTTTTTAATGGCTTTGCGCCACTGCTTGGGCTGCGCAAAAGAGAAGGCCGTTGGTAGCACCATGCCGCGATTCACGTCCAGTGCCGCGAGTGCCGCCGCATGCGCCGGTGAGAGCGGCCACGTGACGACGCCTTCGATGCCGTCGATGCGAAGCGGCGGCGCGGTGCAGTCCGCGACGCGACTCGTCCGCAATGGCCTGACGTATCGTCAACAGCCTTTGCCGCGTCTTCATAGAGCCGTTTGCCAGCGTCATTGGTGTGACTGAGATATCGCCACGACATTGTCCTTGGCACTGGTTGCGAGCGAAAACCGCTTCGATGCAAGCCAATTATCCTGGTAGGAACGTTTCCATGGTGTTTGAACCAGCATCCGAGGGGATTGATTCGGCCAACTGATTGGCTATATATCGAGCCATTTTGACAAATGAAACGCAGTTTCATTGGTCTAGGCCAATCATATCGCGCCAAATTTGTTCTTTTACGTGCGAATTAGAAACCCCTATTAAGTGCTGTCACATCTCTCGACGTTATACTGTATTTTAGTATTCGAATTTCGATAAAGTACGATAAGTACTTGACTGAAATTCGCGCAACTTTCGGATTAGGTGCGAATGTGAAAGCGCGCGAAGACTGCAGCAAGCGACGACGGCGCGTTGGCCCGGAAAAAGTCTGCGCCCCGCAGCGCAGCGAAGGTCGAGCGTTGACGGTTGTCTAGGCCAACGCACCGTCGTCACAAATACCGGTAAACAACGCTTCGCATTCAAAAGTTCCTACCATAGTACCAGCTCACCCCGCACGGGACCTGTTTCTTCGAAGGGTAACACCCAAGGATGCTTTCGCACGCCGATGGGTCTAACGTCCGTTAAATTGCCTCGCATTGAAAAACCGCCCGATCCTCGTGCTTCACGTTGGCACCGCCGTTCCCGCCACTTCAGCGCCTAAATTTAGGCTGAGCCTCTTCAAGTTTAGGATTTCAGGACTTTTGCGATGAAAACACAGTAGCATAGGCCTTTTTCGAGTCGCTCCACACAGCGACTGCTTGTGCTTCATTTTGTGTGTCCTCGAACTATCCAGTGACAAGAATGAGCTCCGGAAGGAACGGCACGTTGATGGAGGACCGGATAGCCTTGTTGGATACCATTGGATGGATACTGCGCCCGAGGTCCTCGATCTATCTATCGTAGCGTGCAATGGTGGCGGTGGCCTCAGTCCAACTGGTGCGCTTCTACCTATAGTAGATGTTGGAGTAGACAAGACTTACCAAACGACCTCGGCGTGGCAACTCGAATTCTACTTCGTGTGTTTGCCAGTGGTTGGTTGTTGCCGTTGCCTTTCAAACCCGCATTGATATTGGGTGCTGCTGATCTTTTGTGCGCTCTCGGAGAGTTCTTTAAAAACCAGTATTATTCATCAATATATATTGCAATCTACATGTATAAATCACCTTCTAAATACAATAGCGCGCACAACTCATTCCGAATATGGATATTCACGAGGCTTCCGCTTGTGCAATATGAGCTCGCGTCACCGCGCCGGCAAACACACCTTGCCACACTCGATTAAAATATCGCAGTCCTTCGTCTCCGTCCTACTCAAGCGTGGGAGCGATCACGGACCGGCAGCTGCGCGGCCCTCGACGACGCACCAGCGCCAGCCGTGCCCCGACGCTGAGCTTCACACGTTTGACGTCAAGCCGCAATGCTTGCGCAGCCCCAAGATCCCTACAGCAGCGTGCGCCCTTGCACTTTGCGATTCCGTCGCACCGTCGTCGGTCGATCCGTTGCTATGACACCCGATTGTACCAGATGGTGGGACCATCGAACGCCCGCACCACACTTTTCAGACAACCGCCGAGCATGACGCGCCTCCTCGCGCTCCTCGCGCCGGTCGCGGCCGCCATCGACTTTGCCGCTACGTGGCGTGACTGCCCGACGCGCACGTCGCCGCGCGCCCAGTGCGCCGACGTCCTCGTACCGCTTTGCTACCCGGGAGTTTGCCACAGCAACGCGACGCTCTCCGTGCATCTCGAGCGGATCCCGTCGATGGCAGTACCGGCCAAATCGCTTTGGTTCCTCCAAGGCGGCCCGGGCCTCCCCTCGTCGAGCCGTACGTCGCCTGCCTTTTTCTTCTCGGTCATTGACAGCATGCAACGATAATAGTCGACGAGGCCATGGTGCGCGCGTACGACGCCGCGAACGGCTCGGTGAGCGTCTATACGATGGACCACCGGGGCACGGGGCGCAGCAGCCGGCTCGAAGATGCGTGTGTTGGCGCTGATACGGTCGGCTGCTTTGCGGCGCTTAAGGCCAAATACGGCGCCGACGCTCCGAGCGGCTTCTCCGTCACGAGCGCAGCCACGGACCTCGCCGCGCTCCTCCAAGGCCCGTCGCTGCGCCACGAAGAGGCGTACATCTACGGCGTGAGCTACGGCACGTACTGGGCGCAACGGCTCATGCACTTTTCGCCGCCTACCGTCAAGGGCTATGTCCTCGACAGCGTCATGTCGGCGAGCCCCATGAAGCTCTATAGCCAGTGGGACGCCGACGTCGCGGTGGCAGGTACGACCTCGACGACAACCAAGTACCGTCCTCACACCTCTTGTGCTTGACCAGAAACTGCCTTTTATGCGCGCTGCGACCGCGACCCGTTCTGTGCCTCCAAGGTCGGTCCATCGTCGCAGACGCTAGCGCGGCAGCTCCTTGCCAAAATCGATGCCAATGACACAGCCTGTGCCCGCGCGCTGCCGTCGACGTCCCTCCTTCGGTCGACGCTCGGGCGCCTATTTCGCGAGCCGTCGCAGCGCAATATGATTCCCGCAGTGCTCTACCACCTGCGCAAGTGCCTCGACGACTACGAGTCGCACGCTCGCTTTGTACAAAACCTCGTCGCGAACGCAGTGGCCCCGCTACCGATCGACGGCGGCTCGATGCTACTGCACAATACCATCGTCTACAACGAGCTCTGGGCGTCGCAGACGCTGGCCGAGCTGCAGGCACAAGCCGCCGCGACGACGTGGCAGCCGATAGACAGTATTGCCCAACGCCTTGTCGACTATTGTCTCTACACGGGCGGGAGTCGAGACGGCGCCTGCCGGGACGTGCCGGCCCCGCGCATGAGCTTTGCTTATGCCCACGACAAGTACTGGAACGTGTCGCCGCCATTGCCGCCGACCACGAGTGTGCTCCTCCTCTCGGGTGACTTGGATGCACAGACGCTGCCTTTGTACGCGCTGGCCGCGAATGCGTCACTCGCATCTGCTCGGACGCGGCTCCTGCGCTTCCCCGACGGCGGCCACTCGGTGCTCTCGACGGCGTTGACGCCGGTACACCTCGTTCGCGACTTGAAGCGTGTGTTTCATTGCGGATGCTGGTTATTAGGGCGGCAGCTGCGGTGCTCAGTTACTGGATCAATTTGTAGCGACCAACGGCAATGTCACGGCCTTGGATGTCTCGTGCATGGCAGCGATACCAGCGCTGCAGTTTCAAGTCGTGCAGGATGCGGCGAAGGCGACGGCACTGTTCGATTCGGCCACCGACATGTATGGTTCGCCGCAAGTCATCGCGGCGCGGGCATCGAACCCAGCGACGATGGCGTACGATGACAGCTACCTTCTCGCGGGCGTGGGGCTGTCGCAGGTGTCGCGATGGCGGTTGGCTTGGCGGCGCTCGTCAAACTGCGCTCGCAGTCCCGCACACGTCGACGAACGCTCGTGCCCCAAGATGTCGACGACCTGCCGCCCACCGTCGCTGCCGTGCTTCGGCGCGACTCCATGGCGGACGACCCTGAAGAGTGCAAGGACAATGAGAGCGACGCCGAAGACAGTCCGACGGGCCAAAGTAGAAATGAGTAAAAGCGATCGGATCTACTACCCCTTTACTTGTCTTCTTGATTGTACTTGATGCACGAGACGCGAACGCTCTCTCGGGTCGGCGTGCAGAGTGCACATATGCGTTCTGCATAGCCCATGATCTCGTGATTGCCATCATTGATGCTCTGGTGCGCGGCGGCGGCAATGGTATCGCGCGCTGCGTGGTCGTAGTACGCAATCCGCCACAGCGTCCGCAAGGCCGCGACGCGCACCTCGTCATCGTGTTTGTCTAGGAGCCGAAGAAGTGTGCTTGGAAGTGGCAGTCCACGCAGCAGCGCCAAGGACTCGGTTGCGTCGACAACATTGGCGATCACATCGACCGCATCGACGACGGCGGCGCTGTCATCGACCTGGAGCAGCGCACCGAGGATGGACGTCAGCGAGCTCCGGTGCGGATCCACAGCAGCGGCAAAGGTCCTCGCTCCTGACATGGCTTCCAGAGCCGACGCGATACCGCCATGCAGCTTGGCGCGGTCCCGGTGCCAAAGCAGCTTTAGCAAGTGCGGTAAACTCGCGCGGACCACGACCGGCACGCAAGCTGCATCGTGCGCCGCAACGTTCCGAAGGCGATGAAGCGCTGCGACTTTGTTTGAAGCAGACCCCGTGTGGAGTATCTCGAGGAGGTCCTCAATGGCCGCGCCGCGATTGTCGCAGTACTTGGGCTGCCGGCTCATTGGTGCCATGGGCGTTTTCTGTGACATGTTTGAAGGAAGCATTTGGATTGGTGCAATTGGAAAAATCAGCCAGGGCCCGAGAGAATGGATTTAGTTTGATGCCACATTAAATCCTAGCAATGCCTGCTCGACTCCTCACAGGGAATTAACTCATTAGTAGGTAAAGTCTTACCTGTGAAATTTTATATTTCACAAAATAGACGTGATGCAAACACAGAGTATGATACCACTGAGTTATACTTCTCTGTCAGGCAGATCGGGGTGATTTCCGTGGAGCCACTAGCTGAATTTTCCTACTAATGAGAGCCATCTTCTACCATTATATTATATAACCCCGCTTCATGCATGAATCCATTTGCGTGCCGTGCGAATGGCGCCTGCTATTGAGGAGGCCATGGGTCTCTAGTGTCGGGTGCGCCTGCAGTAAGGGTTTCAGAGTTATTAAAACTTCGAAAACAAGTCAAACAGTTGAGTATTCCGTTCTGAGGTCGTTGATGTCGTCGAGCATGAATTACTAGTAGTATTTTATATAAACGGACAGTACAAAAGTTGTCAACACAATATTCGCACACAGTGAGAAGACAGATGTCCACAGGGCGACCCTACCGTCGTTGCAATGGATTGATTATGAATGAGTTTGGCGGATCTATTACCGGTAGGACATTCGTGGTAACGTTGTTGGTTGTTCGTCGTTGATCCATGCCAGAGCCGAGCTCGGACCCACTCGCCGCTTGGTCTCGAAGGATCGCGATCGGTCCGAGCTGGGGCAAGCCGACACAATACAACCTACGTTCACACGAACTAGCGCGCATGGCTCATTTTCCATTCGACTCTCAATGCGCTTCAACCAGTTTACGCTTCCGGCGACGGATCTCTCAGCGTCCATTGCGTTTTACTCGCGACTTGGCTGCTTGCCGATCGTCGTCACAGAGACGTACGCGCGCTTTGAAGACGGCGCGGCCGGCAGCACGTTCTCCCTTGAAAAAGTGGACCAAACTGTTCCTGAAATGCCGGGGCACCACGCCATGACCCTGTACTTTGAAGTTGACGACGTGGATGCGACCGTCGCGGCGCTATCGGAGCAGGGCGTTGTCTTTGACGAGCTCCCAGAAGACAAGTCGTGGCTCTGGCGCGAGAGCCGCTTCCGTGACCCGGCAGGCAACCGTGTGTGCTTGTACTATGCTGGCAACCAACGCCGCTTCCCGCCGTGGCGAGTCGACGGTCGCACGGCTCCGTAATCAGCCTTTTCAAAAAATGTCTGCATTTCTAGCGCTTTGATTTTTGAGTGGGTTCGATTTTTTGAGTGGGTTCGATATTTTTTTGGCTGGATTTGGGTGACGCCATTCCAAGGGCACCTGGCGCCTTAGGCGGCGCGCTCCGGTGCATATAAGTGTATATATGGGCACTTGTTAGCTCACGCATGAGCCTTTTGTCGGTCGATATGAGGTCGTTTTGGTGAGCGTGGTGTGTGGCGGCGCGGGCTTGAATTGGTAGTTGTCGATCCATGCTACAATGTGCGGTGGCAAGAGTGCGTGCGGCAGCAATGACGGCATGAGATCGTACACTGACACGATTGCTACGGCGTTCGAGCTTGCATTGGCGGCTGTGTTGCGCGCATTCCCAGTCATGTCGTCTTTGGTGATGACGGCAACCTTGTGCGTCACCGGCGCTTCCTTGATCATGGCGTAGCCGAGCATTGCAATCGTGCTGGGCTTTACAAAGAGCTTGGTGCCGTACTTGATGCAGTCGTTTTCGTACAATGGTAGTACTGTCACATACGACGGCATGAACTGCGTCGCTAAGAAGTCATTTCTCGCAAAGTAGCGCAAGTCCAGCAACACACGGCGCTGCAGTAGCATCGGGAATACGATACTGATTGCCAGCGTTCCAAAGAGGCACGCCAACACCGTGGGCTGCAAGAGTGACACCGCGGTGGGCACCTCCAAGGTGGCAAGCGCGCCAAGCGCGAACGAGCGATTCGTGTAGGGCAAGTAAGCGGCAACCTCGGTCGGCGGCGGTCGGTGCCAAAGCGGGTCCTGGAGTGTGGTTTTGACATTTTGAAAGTTGCACGTCACAACGACGCTCGATATCACCGTGCCGAGCAGCAGAAGCGGCGAGATGACGCGGACGGCTCGGCCGTGGCACCAGCGCGGCGCATGCACTCGCTGCAGAAGGATGATGCCCCAGTAGACGAAAAATACGGGGAGCCCGCTCACCATGAGCACTGCGATGCAGTGGACGTTGAAGTGACCGGTCGTTTCCAAGTACAACCGCGTGACTTCGACGTACCCGAGCGATGGGATGCGCACAATCGAGAGGAAGAGCAGCGCGAGGCGTCGGCGCTCCATGCTCGACACAAAGTCGTACGTGAGCACGGGCTTGCGACTGAGGACGCCGGACCAGCCCAAGAGTGTCGTAAAGAAATCACCATTCACCAAGTGCAAAATCACGAGCACGAACAGCGGCTGCAAGACGACAAAGTCCATGTAGTTGGACACGGTGTGCGAGCAGGTCCAGCCGACGCCAAGGGTCTTGGACGAAGCGAGTCCTTTGTACGTGACGACGCCATCGTTCGCTGCACTTGGTGACAAGAGCACTTCGGCCACACAGCCGTACGTGCACTCGTACCGCGCTCCAATCGGCTGTGACGCAAACGCCCAAGTCGAGTGATTAAAGTTCGTGTGCCAAGGTGCTGTCCGACCATCGGGCGCGACAAGCGTCTTGGTGACACTCCCAGCCACGGACGTCAGCTTGCCGGACGAGTCGACGCGTGTTTCGATGGCACTGTCCGCGGTGTCCATGTAACTCGAGAGCAAAAAGGCGGGCGTTGTCCCGTTCATCGCTGTCTCGAGAAGCGCGAGCCCAAGGACGGACAATGACACGGACGGTGACGTGACGCAGGCCACGGGGCGCCGACAGCGGGGAAAAAAGGAGCAGAATCGCGCCAAACTCGACGTCCGCACCCATCACGCAGGTCGTGACGTAGACGGGCGCTGACGGCACTTGACGCACGAGTGTCTGCGCGACGCTGTGCATGGCATCGGCGATGGCCCGAGTCTGCGAACACGTTGTCGCGTCAAAGCCGCCTGCTGTGAGGACGCAGTTGGCCTCGAGAAGCGACCAGTCGCGCGCAAACGCTGGCGACGCCGTTGTCGACTGTCGGTTCCAGAGTCCATTCGAGTACAATATGAGGATCGACGTGATGAGGACCGCGACAAGGCTGAACTCGGATGTGTTGAGGACGAGTCGCAAGAGAACTGTCCGCTGAGGTACTTTGGCGCTGTATTCGATCGTATGCGCCTTCTCTGACTTGCCAGCCGAGTACATGCTCGACCGGCGCGACGGCAGCGTCGATAGCAGGGACGACACGAACCGTTGGAGGACCATCTCGGGGACTGGCTTCCTTAAAGCTACCTTTTTAAGCTATTTTGATCTGGATGCGGACGGTTACGATGGCTCTGGACACATGTCGCAGGACAGTTCGTGAACGTGCCGGTGCGTGCGAACCAACTTGTCACGACGACACTCAATATGATTGAAACGTATGACAGTGCATATTCCCTTAGCTCACACACATGCCTTTGGTCGGCACATACTTGGAGTGGCGACCGACGACGGCACTAGGCGCCGCCGGTATATACTGATAGTTGAGCACGGAGCCCACAAGGTGCGGACACCGCAGTTTCCACGGCAACAGCGTCGGCACGAGGTCGTACATGGAGAGCAGTAGGAACTCTGCGGGCGCACTCGTCGCGTCCTTATTGACGGCAATATCTTGGCGCGTTTTGGGCGCGACTTCGATAAACACGTAGCCAAGGAGCGCAATCAAGCTCGGTTGGGCAAAGATTTTGGTTCCGTACTTGATGCAGTCGTCTTCGTACAAGGGCAGGACGGTAATGATCGACGGGGGCGCTCGCGCGCCAAGAACTCGTTGCGGGCAAAAAACGTCGTGTCGAGCGTCCAGCGCCGGTGCTGCCACATGGGCACGGCGATGCTCACCACGAGCGTGAGCCCCACGCAGGCCGCAATCTCTCCAGCAAGCAGCGTCGCCACCGACGGCACGTCCTTTGATACGTACGCACCGAGGGCTAACGGCGTCTTGGTCCTCGGCAGATGCAGCGAGAGCGACGATGGGCGACGCCAGATCGGGTCTTGGTGCGTGCTCTGCGGGTTCGTGCAGATGCACGTGGCAATGAGGACCGAGAACATGGTCCCCAGCATAAAAAGTGGTGCGAGGACGCGAATCGCTCGCCCCCGTAGCGCTCGTGGCGTCGGCAGCATGTGAAGAAGAAGGCAGCAACAACAAAACGCAAACACGGGCAGACCGCTCACCATGAGCATCGCAATGCAGTAGATTCCAAAGTCCTCTGTCGTGACCATGTACAGGCGCGTCACTTTAATGTACCCGAGAGCTGGGAGCCGCACGAGCAGGAGGAAGAGAAGCGCGAGGCGCCGGCGCTCGAGGCCCGAGACAAAGTCATATGTCGGCACGGGTTGCTGGCGCAGGACGCCGCGCCACCCCAAGAGCGTTGTCAGAAAATCGCCGTTGACCAAATGCAAGATCGTCGGTACCAAGATGGCCTGAAACAAGGTGATTTCGTTGGCGTTGGCTACGTCATGATGACATGTCCAGCCGACGCGAATCTGGCGACGCGAGAAGGCACCGATGTACGGGATAATCAAAGGCTAGAGCACGGCGTCGCTGGGAAAGAGAACGTAGGCGGCGCACGCGTGTGTGAACCCTCACCGACTCCCCATGGGATGCGACGCAAACGCCCAACTCGTGACGTTATGCGACGCCGGTGTCACGTGTTGGCCGTCCGGTGTAATGCACACCTTGGTGACGTTGGCCGTGACGGTCGTTGCGGCACCGGACGTGTCGGTCCGTGTCATTGTCATGACGTCACGCGCGTCGACAAAGGTGCTGAGCAGAAAGCGCGGCGTCGTCGGTTCATAGAGCGTGGCTTCGAGGAGGGCGAGCCCTAAAATCAGTGACGACGTCGACGCAAGCGTACACGTTGCGGGTGGTCCGTTCAAATCGAACGCTAAAAAGAGAACAGCGCCAAACCCGGCCGTGGCGCCCATGACGCAGGCGGTGACGCGCACGGGCGTCGTTGGTTGCCACTGCGAGCCGAGAAGCCGCCCGATCGTGGGCATCGTAGCGCCATGGAGCTCTCGGATCACCGCGCAAGTGGCGGGCACGAAGCCCTCTCGATCAAGCGCGCAGTTCGACTCGAGAAGCGACCAGTCGCGGGCAAAGGACGGCGTCGCAGTCACCGACTGCCGCTCCCAGAGACCGGTCCAGTCGAGATCCATGATCGAGGCGACAAAGAGGAATTCCGACGAGTTGAGCACGAGGCCAAGCAACACGGTGCGTGGCGAGACGACCGCGCCACGCTCTATCACATGGGCCTTCTCACTACTGCGCGAGTGGGCGCTCGACCGACGCACCGTGGACGACCGTAGCACGGACGAGATGTACTTCATTGCAGAGTATGGTACCTGCAACGCAAAAATAAATGCTGTATAAATAGCGAGTGGGGAGTTGACAAAAATGATTCATAGTACAATCAACCCCATCCTCGTCGTTTTTAAAACTCAGCTCGAGAGCCCGAGGGTCGACCGCAAAAGGTCGTGACAAACGTGCAGTGCAAAGGCTTCTTTGGCCGCGAGCAAGTGCGCCTGAAGCTCCTCTTGCTCGTCCAGCGAGAAGGGCGCGTAAATTGCCTCAAAGTACGCGCCAGGTGACGCCACCCGCGTCGTGTGGACGATCGCCTCGTGGTCGTCCCACGCTTCCGTGAGCAGCTCGAGCACTTCGGTCGGTGCGTCCTTCTGCAGCAGCTGCTTCCACGCTACCGGAAAGCTCGCACTCAGCGCAAGGCAGACGCAGTGGATGTCACGACGCGGCACGAGACTCAGCAGCGCCGGCGTCGTTGTCGCGTGTGTGGCCACGTGTGCCGCCATGGCCATCGCAGCGGCGTCTCTAGATCTCAACATGAGCTGCTTGGTTCATTGCGGTCGACGTAGGATGTACGGGAAAGGCAGCGACTAGACCATCGATGAGCCATATACATAGTACTACTTGCTTGAGACCACCTACCGTGCCAAGTGTAACTTGCTGTCGATCGAGGTACGCCTGCAGCGCCTGCTTTCGGGCGTGCGCCAGCATGTCTTCCAAGAGCACTGCGACATAGCAATGCATCGACGTATCAAATGCGTCGAGTCTGCACCTCGAGCGTAGTAGGGCTGCATGTGCGGGTGCTGGACCAGCGCCGGTCGAAGACCGTCAAACCAATAGTTGACCGCGATCGTGAACGGGTCCGACGAGACCTACTGGAAGGTTAGCTAGAAGGTCATTTGCAGTCGTATCGACCTGGTGCCACCAGCCCTCGGGGATGAAGAGAGCGTCTACGTGGAGCAGGGGCGTTCGATGGATTTTACGCGTACGGCAAACCGACCGGTTGGGGTCACGGTGAACGTTGCGTCGGGTGCGCGCGCGTCAAGTTCGTCGAGCGTCAATCGTGCGTGATTGGCGGACTTTGAGGTCACGGGATGTGCGCCGACGTCGGATGTCGGCGCAAAGAGCTTGACATGCTTGGCGCCACGGACGACCGTGAGCACGTTGTCGTACGCGTCATAGTGCAGTGTCGTGCGGCTCGCTTGCAGTGTCATCCACAAATTCACTTGGGTCAGTGCCATCTCCGCGATCGCCTTTGGTCTATACCATCGCACGCATCAACTAGGAAATTCGACACGGGATGTTTGTCGCACGGCGGAAAGGTCGAGGCCAAGTGCGGCAGCACCGCTGGCGTCGCCGGCGTTGTCGACTGCAGCGGACACTGCGCGAGGTAGAACTGAAGCTCGTCTTCCGTGTCCATGAGCCAGTGCGATTGGCCTCGTCGCTTGGCCTCGTAGTAGGCCACAAAGTCGCCTGTCCATCAGTTCTTAGATGGTGCGATCGACGTGGTCCACAGAACAACGCACCAAACTTGAGCTCGACGCTTTGGCGCAAGCACACATCCCCCGAGTACGCATCCTACACGTCGCTCCACCATCGACTTGCTACGGCGAGCGAGTACCTCGGCCACCGGCGCACACGCCACGTCCACGACTACTCGCTTCATCGGAATGCTGCAGAAGAAAAGGGCGCCGAACCTGTCTCGTGGTGCGCTACAAAGCCAGCGCTAGCGAGCAGCGCGGTCGTCGCGTCATCGTCGCCCTGCGCAGCATGGTCATGCCATGCCATCGGCAGCAGGCAGGGTCGGCGGTCCGCAAACATCGTCCGTCGTGTTATCCGGATGAGGTGGCGGATGTATCTTGTACGGTTGCGGCGCCGTCAAGTTGATGTCCGTGTTGATGATGACTTGTCGCCGACAAGTCATCAACACCGTGTCAGTTGCCAGAAGTTTGTCGGCTGGCTACGGTACTGTACATCTGGCTGCCTGCCTCGCTGGTTACCGTACGTAGACTGCTCGGTGCGTGCGCTGAGAGCGGCTACGAAGGCTTCACTGGCTGCCAGACCTCGACAAACAACTGTCAGAGAGCTCTGGTACAGATTATGGATTCGATGGCAGGTGCGTCTGTCGACGCGGACGACCAATAGGTATTGTCTTCTTGTCAAGGTTGTTGGTGCTGCACGAATACATAGTTCCTCCTAAAACGTAGTACTACCTAGACGCAGTTAATGGGCTAGAACATTTGCACGCGGAGACGGCTCGCCAAGTGCGGGCCCACCATGGCGGCAAAGTCGGATAGGTGCTCGAGCACGACGGGATGCAACGACGCTTTTGCGTCTTTGACGCAGACAGCGCAGTCGGGAAAGACCAGCACGATGGCATCGATCACGTCGTCGTCTTGCGGCGTCGAAGCGACGAGCGGGCTGGTCGCGAGCTGGACGACCTTGGAGGCGTCGGCGTCGGCGCGGGCTTGGACGTCGGGTGTCAATGGCACAAACGTCAGCGTCTTGGGACAGAGGAGCTCGGACGGCGTGAAGCGCGCCTTGTACTGCATCTTGACGCAGCTTCCAATGTAGTAGCCCATGTAGTAGTAGCCACGCGTGCAGCGGGCAATCTCGCGCAGCGCCGAGTACGTTCCGAGCTGGAGGTGCGCGTAGTTTGGCTTGTAGAAAAAGTACACGGACGACTAGACCACGTATCGTGAACCCCTTACTAGTAGATGGGATGCATGTACCCAGTTGGCACCGAGGACGTCAATGACGCCAACCGCCACAAGCTCGCCGTCGAGGCGGTACAGCTGAAAGAACGAGCCTTCGGCGGACCCCGGCACCGCCGGCAACGGCGACTGGACAAGAAACGACTCGAACGAGGACGGCGTGACGGCCGTGTCGGCATGGACATGCGCTTGGTACGCCTTGTAGACGTCGTAGATCTCTGGCGTGTTGATCGGCCGGACGGTCTCAAGCACCCAGTCGCGCTTGCTACGTTGACGGGACGCAGGTGCCGGCAGAGGCGATGGTGGCGGCGCGGTTGCTGGCGCCGGCTCGTCCGCAAGGCAAAAGTTGAGAAAACCGTTGACGGCCGACACGGACATGTCGCTCGACGGCAGCGTCATGCGTGCAGCAATGGCCGCTGCGACGTCGGCGGCAGAGACGGACGCTGATGTCGCATGCTTCTTCAACTAGGCATGGGATGTGCATGTGAGCGAAGTGTGGATGATCGGCGAGCTGTCGTACATAGGCGCTGATCGCGTGGGCCACCGGCGACGTGTACGTCCCTCGATCGGTCATCTTGGATGCTGTCGCCTTGGTGCGCCGCACCTGCACTCGTCGTGCGTCTATGAACACGCAAGACTTGCTGCGGGCGTACCTGGATCTTGGGCTGCAAGATGGCTGAAGCCGCCGCCGTGTCGTCGATGTAAGGCTCGAGGTAGGCCCACACGACGGTCTCTAGCTGCGCCTGGAGCATCGCACACGTGGGACTTGGCGACGTCTTCTTCGGCTGCGGCCCAGCCTCGTCGTCGTCGGGGCGTTTTCGCTTCTTGGAGCCAGTAGGGCGGTGCTCGAGGAAGGCATCGAGCTTGCGCTGGACACGGACATGGGCCTTGGAGGGCGTGAACTGCGGCGCATGCAGGCGGATCGTGTACGGCACGCAGCAGATCTACCATGCGCTGACACCATGCTCATGGGCCAGTGACAGCATATTCGTACGTGGTCTCTGTCGGGCTGATAGAGGTGCATGCCGGAGCGCCGCCATCCTCGGTCAATGAGCGCTTGGTAGTCGTCGATGGCTAGAGAAATGGCCTCGAGGACGTACTGGCGCGACTCCTTCTTCGCCGCGCAGTACCCGCACTGCGTCGGCCGGCTGCCGTAGAGACGCACGACCGACATGGCCCAAATCGAAAAGTTGCGCCTTGAAGTGCTTGCACTCGATTAAGTGCGGTTGATCAATAGCGACGCTGCCAGCACGGACCAAAGCGCACTTTATCGGGACGTCACTTTTTCATTATTGAATTTTGTGGTAACTACGGCTTTTGTCGGGACGGTCGACCGACAAGGATGCACGGCCCGCCCAACATGGACGAGATGGTCGCTTCGTACCTCACGCTCCGCGGGTACACGGGCAACGGCGCGGGCATGGGTCCGATGGGCGTCGGCCGTGGACCTGTCCAGCTGCAGGAGTTTGCGCGCAACATGGGCCTCTCGATGGACGCCTGCGCGGCCAACCACGTGCTCTTCCATGGCATGAACAAGGCCGATCCGAACGCATATGAGCATGCGTACTCGAAGCTGCTCCAATGGATCGGCAACGCGCTGGACATGTACAAGCTCGAGCTCCATGCAATCGCGTTCCCGCTCTTTGTGCACTGCTACCTCGAGCTCGTCGCCAAGGGCTTCACCGAGCCAGCAAAGGCCTTCTTCCGCCGTCATGCGAAAGACCACGAGCGTCTGCACCGCCTCGAGCTGCGACAGCTCGGCTGTGTCCTCACGCGCGAGCACTTGACGCTGAACGAGTACGCCAAGCAGGTCTTGCATGCCAAATTCCAGGTCAAGCTCAGCCTCCTGACGTTCCAACTGCTGCACACGTTCTTGAGCGACTACCAAATGTTCCTGCTTCTCTACATCCTCAACGAGCGCGTCAACATTGCGGTCACGTCCAACCACCCGTCCTTGCTCATCCAGCCCTGCGACTCGACGTTGCCGATGGTCGACGAGGACGAGTCACCTCTCTTTCAAATGTCAGGTATCCATACAATACGCCGATCTGCATTGGATGCTAACGTGATACAGATGACATCTCGCGCGAGGTCGAGCACACGCCGGACGAGAACCACGTCGCGGCGCAGATCACGAGTGGCCCGTACGACATGCACCACATGGTCACGGCCGCGGGTGGCGAGCCGCGCCCGGGCAAAGCTGGCACACTCGAAGACTTGCACCGTATTCCGATCCGCTGGGGCGTCTTCCCGCCGCGAAGGGTGAGTTGTGCACCGTCGATACAGGCCTTCTCATGAGACACCGTTAGGTGCCCAAGGCCAACGCACAGGCGGGCGGTGACGGCAGCGACGGTGCCGACGCTGGTGACAGCCTCACGTCACCTCGCCACCCCGACGGTGGCCCCGACGCGGCCTCTCAGGATGCCTCAGCCGACAAATCCAAGCCGGCACCGAAAACGGTGCGTTCTTCTGTCTGCAAGTGCCTACAATGTTGAACCTTCTTGCAGGACGTTGAGATGGACGATGCGAGTAGCAAGGCGCAAGATGCGATTGTGGGGCCGACGCCCGACCGATCGCAGCCATTCCACGCGGAAATCCTCGAGAAGCTCGTGCTGCGGCAGTCCGCCGACCTCGTGGCCGAGGTTCGCGTTGCCTTCACATCGCGTTATGGCTCTACATCGATACATTAGGAGCTACAGAACGTGCAGGCGCGGCTCGAACTCAATAGCGTGCAGCTGCCGTCGGCCCTCTGTTACACGATCTGCAATGCGAACGACCACATGAACAACGTCGCCTTCAATGCGTCCGGAAGCGTCGTCGGTGCTGCCTTTGACGACTCGTCCTTTCGCGTGTGGAGCCAAGATGGCACGGCGCTGGGTGGTTTTCCCAACCACGACAACACGTACTGCTGCATTCGATATGCAAGCTCGGCCTTAGGTTTGGCGCGTAGATCGGCCGTGCTGCGCGGCCACTCGGGGCCAGTGTACGGCTGCGCGTTCACGCCCGACTCGCGCTTTGCCCTCACGAGCTCGGCCGACACGACGATTCGTCTCTGGAGCTTGGCGAGCCGAAGCAACATGGTGCGGACGTGACGTATACATAATGCCGTCTCATCGATGCGTTCTTACATAGGTGTGCTACCGCGCCCATAGCTACCCGGTATGGGACGTGGCCATGTCGCCGCTCGGCTACTACTTTGCTTCGGCCTCGATGGACCGCACGGCGCGCCTCTGGAGCACAGACCGCGTCCAGCCGCTGCGCATCTTTGCTGGCCATCTCTCGGACGTCGAGGTTTGATGTCCAGCTGTTGTCATGCTATGTGATGGCTGACGCTGAGAGGTAGACGGTCGCCTTCCATCCCAACCACAACTACCTTGCGACGGGCTCGACGGACAAGTCGGTGCGCATCTGGGACGTGCAATCGGGGCAGTGCATTCGCGTCTTTACGGGCCACTACGGCGCCGTACACACAGTGGCGTTCTCGCCCAACGGTCGCTACCTTGCCAGCGCGGGTACGACGTTGGCTCGCGACCCACGGATCTAGGACGCTTGTGTGTGTAGGTGAAGACGCATTTGTCAACGTGTGGGATTTGCACATGGGGAAGCGCGTCGATACGCTGCTCGGCCACTCCAAAGCCATCTACTCGCTCATGTTTAGCCAAGAAAGCTCGATGATTGTCAGTGGTGGCGCCGACCACACGGTGCGTCTCTGGGACATGCATCGCCTCGGGCACGACGCGATGTCGGAGAAGCAAGTCGCCGTGCACGTCAAGCAAAAGCGCAAGACCAACAACCATGTGCACGGCTCCCGCGCGCTCCTCAAGACGTTTACGACCAAGCAGACGCCCGTCGTGCGCGTCCAGTTTACGCCCCGCAACATGCTCCTCGTCGGTGGCAGCTTCCAGCCGCAGACCGACGACACCTCTGCGTAGCTCTATTGATTAATCTATCGTGCGCTGTCCGCGTGCCACGTCATGTGGTGTTGCCCACCGGTCAAAACCGTGCGTGTGTGGGTTGGGTAGAGTCGTCAGAGTACAGATAGAGCTCCTTGATCAACGCTTGGAATAGAGACGCGTAGGCCAGCGTTATCTTGCATGAGGGATTATAGTATCAAGTTGCAATTGGTCTACAATAGATCGACACTATATTCGTTCCATTGCGATTGCCAACGCTGGGCCCTTTCGCGAAATGAAAATGGATCAACACCAGTGAGTAGGATCGCTTCCATAAAACAAAAAGATGCATGCACGAGCGTAAAGCCGTCGAGCCAACGAGTAGCGTTGTATTAACGTGACCGAGTACACCGCGTCGACGACTTCTAACCTCGCATATAGTGTTTTCATTTACATTTAGTGTATATAGACATATCATTGGCCATAAAGACACGAAATCGTCGAAATACTAGCCAATCAGCAGTCGTCGTTCTCGGGCTACGCTGGGAGATGATGCTTGCTCGGCCCTCGTGGGTCTGAAACTCATGTCGCTCGTACTTGACCCATCGATTAGAGGCGCTTTTAAGGTGATAAAATGCCATGGCACGCCGCCGTTGATGCCCCAGAGCACCAGATACAAGAGGTTAAAGTCTGGCAACGAATCGGTTCGAGGAACCGGTTGGCTTATCGGTTACGGCGTGGTAAATCCAAACTTCACACGATGCATTTCCCACCGGTAAACAGCCGCTGGCGGACCTGATTCGGTCTTCCATCTTTCAACCATGGTGTCGACGAGCCTGGTCGTCGTCCTCGCCGCCGTCGCCGCCGTGCGAGCGATGGAGCAGCCTCTTGCTCGCGTCGTCTTTGGCTCGTGCAACAACCAGGCCGAGAAGCAGCCGCTGTGGCCTGCCATCGCGGCGCAGAAACCCGACCTCTTTGTCTGGCTCGGCGACAATGTACATGCTACCGGATCGCTCATGGATCAGCGGCTCATGTGGCAGCGTTAGATCTATGGCGACTACCGTGTCGTGGACGCGTCTTCGTTTCTGCCGCCCTTTCCGCTCTTCCGCGATGCGCCCCCGGCGATGCTCGCGGAGAAATACGCGTACGTCGTCGTCACCGCCGGCTCCTTTTGCTCACAAGTACGACGGCGCTAGCAAGCAGCTCGCGCAGCCCGAGTACGCTGCACTCCGCGCGTCGACGCCCATCATTGGCACGTGGGACGACCACGACTACGGTGCGTTCCAATGCCTCTGCGGAGGACGCTGACGAGGCCGAGGCAGGGCGCAACGATGGCAGCAAGGTCTATCCGTTCCGGAAGGAAAGCCAAGCGCTCTTCCTCGACTTTCTCAACGAGCCGAAGGACTCACCTCGTCGCCAACAAGAGGTCTGTGACGAGATACGAGGTGGCGCCACACGTGTGTACTGAGTAGGGCGTCTATGCGTCGTACACGTATGGCTCGGGCGACCGCGCTGTCAAGTTTATCCTCCTCGACGTCCGGTAGGCTCCACCAACGTATTATATGCGACTCAGCCACGCCATTAGCTACCACCGAGACCTTTACGGCACGCCGGACGGGGACTTTCTTGGCCCGGACCAGTGGGCATGGCTCGAAGCCGAGCTCACGTCGTCGACCGCGGCCTTCAACTTCATCGGGTCGGGCATCCAAGCGCTTCCAGACGACCGGTGGTACGGCGCGGAGAACTGGGGCCGACTCCCGAGTGCGCGCCAGCGCCTCCTCAACTTGGTTTTGACATCGCCCGCCAAAGGCGTCGTCCTCCTCAGGTGCGTCCGTCTCTGTGCGATAGGCGTAATGAGCGAAATACAGCGGCGATGTGCATTTCGCCGAGGTCAACCAAGTCGTGTGTGGCGCTGCGACGCTGACCGAAGTCACGAGCTCGGGCATGACTCACGCGTGGGTAAGACGATACATCCTCCTCCTCCTTCTCGTCCTCACGCGGTTCTGTGTGCAGCAATACGTCAACACACGGCTCAAGCTCTTCCCGACATGGATCTTCACCCTCGGGAATCTCATGCTGCCGTGGCACTACCGTGTCGAGCCGTCCAAATACTTTGCCGGACTCAACTTTGGCTCGATCGCGTTCGACTGGCAGGTGTCGCCGCCCATCGCGATGCTCGCAGTCCACAACGCCGACGGCCATGTCAAGCTCACCCAGCGTGTGGCCTCGGCGCCTCTGCCAGCATCCTCCGCCAGCGACTGCGTCGCCCCGCACGCAGTCCACCCCGTGACGTACATGCTGCAATGCGTCGCGCTGTGTGTCACAGTCGTGTCGCTCGTGCTGAGCCTACCCGCGAACCTCGTGCTCGCACTCATCTTGCTGAAACGCGCCGTGTCGCGGCCGGTGGTAGCAGCCAAGAAGGCCGAGTAGAGCTGCATCCTACTACTAGTGCGTAGTACCGGTACTAGCGCGTAATGCATGCGCCACATCTCTGTAGAGGTTGCGCCGCCGATGCAGTCGCCTCCTTGGCCAGTCGCCGCTCTATGGCTTCCTCCAGTAGCAGGCAGTAGCATCCTGCGCCTTCTTCGTCGTCTTCTTGCCTCCTCCGCCATTCTTCTGTCCTGTCGCCCCAAAATCGCGTACAGTGTATTTGATGTGATTGTGTGGTGGCCAGGATATAAAAAAGTGCCTCGAAAGCGTTGCGATCTTTCGCTGCCTTTCTCAAAACCAGATTTATACTTGGTGTTTGTATTGAAACGCTCAATCTCAATCGTTGACATTCAAAGCCCACGGGATCTTATCCGGACGAAGGAGGCTTCGTGTGTCACGAGGGGACGCCAATCTCGAATCTGCCTCGCCATGGCCAAGTGCACTGCGTGTGAGAAGGCCGTGTACTTCAACGACACGCAAGTCAAGCCCAAGGACGGCCTTGTCTACCACAAGGCGTGCTTCAAGTGCCACGAGTGCGCGTCGCAGCTCACGATCGCCTCGTACACGTACTTTGGCGAGAAGCTCCTCTGCAAGACGCACTACATGATGGCCTTCCAGACCACCAACTCGTACGGCGGTGACGAGCGCTTCAAGAAGCAGAAGGACGAGAACGTCCTCCTCGCCGCGCCCGCGCCGACGGCCTAAACACTAGACGCCACGACCTGGATTGCTCGTCCCGCCTACTAGTGTATGCCTAATCTATTCTGCGACCCTTTCGTGCTCGTGTCTTCGTCGCCCATCGCGCTCGCGCGTGCGACACGCAATGGCCAAGCTGGCAGCGACGCCTGCGATGGGTGCCAACGACGACGGCCGTGTTGCTGCAACGAGGACGGGTGGGAGCAGACAGACAGCATCACATCGTTCGTCGTGCGCATATTATAGAGGATCGGACGTCTACGTGGTCGAGCTGCAAAGTCTTCGCACACCAGGAAGATCGTCGCAGAGCTTGGCGAGCGTGGGCGAGATCGGCGCGACCACGCGGGGGCGGAGGGTGTCGGCGAGTTGGTCGAACGCACCGTCGCACGGCAGCGCCAGCTCCAGCGGTATCTCGTCGAGAAACACAGCATTGGACGGAGCAACGTTCTCGCGTTGAGCGGCTTCTTCCACTCGGCGGTCGTACTGTTCGTTGTAGGCGCGATCGTCGTGTGTAAAGTCCGGTACGGGTGTGTACGGCGGCCGGGCGGGCGCTTCGTCGTCCGCCGAGAAGAGGGGCTCATATTGCTTACCAGACCACCAGCCGCGCACCCACTTCGTGAGGCGTGCGTGCAAGGGCTGTCGGCGGACGTGCTGAAAGCGCATGCGCATCCGCCGTTGCTTCCGGACCGTCGCGGCGGCTTCGTCCGCGTCCTCGTCCGTGTTTTCGTCGTCGTTGGTCGATGCATCTACCTTTGGGCGCTTGGGCGTGCGCGCTACAAAGGGCGAGAACGTCACGCGTCGCGGCGATGCGATGCCATCGAGAAAATCCATCGTGTGCAGCATGGCCTTCCCGGGCTTGGTCGGCGTTGGGCCTTCGGGGCCGCGGCGCCGCTTCGCCGGCGACTTCATCGCGCTCTTCTTCGCAGGTGCATCGACGCGGGCCTTGGACGTGCGCAGGATCGAGCGCACGGGCAGGCGCAAGTCGTCCATGTCGGCTTATCACGGCGACCCAACCGAAATACGCGACGTGTAGTGGCCCGTGGCTTTTGCACACGCCGTGGGGGTGTTTCTCACACCACGGCCATCACAAAAACCACGCTCCACGCGTTGCATAAACAGGCAAGTTGCGTGCAACCAGCATTTCACACGTGTGGAACACACAGACCGCCGTCGTGGGGAATGCGTTTATCCGGATACATCCGAATACCGTGCCAGGCAGCACGGCGATGGCCGCGCTCCTCCTCCTCTGTGGCCTTCCAGGCGCCGGCAAGTCGACGTTCGCCCGCGCCATCGCAGACGCCGCTTCGAGAACGTATGAGGTACGCTGCATCAGCTTTGACGATGTCTTCGCGGCGCACTTCGCGGCGGACGGCGGCTCGTTTGCGCCGCAGCAATGGAAAGCGGCGGTTGCTGCCATCTACACCGAGGTAGAGAGTGCGCTTGCAGCAGCCTCGACGAGTGGCAAGACCCATATGTAGGCCATACTCGTTTCGCTGCGTTGCAGATACCAACTACAGCTCTTGTAGACTGCTCTTGGATGACAACATGTACTACCGCAGCATGCGCAAAAAGTCTTGCAGCTGTGTCGACAGCGTACGACGCATCGAGCTGATAAAGACGGCGAGTCTGTTGTATTAGGAAATGCAGGCTTTGGTGTGATTCACGTGGACACGAAGCCCGACCTTTGCCGCGCCCGCAATGCCGCACGGCAGTCGCCGGTTCCGGACGTAGTCTTTCGCCGAATGCACGCTCTCTTCGAGCCACCAAGTCCAAGCATGCATCCGTGGGAAGCCCGATCGATCGTCGTCGACTTGAGCTCCGCCGACGCGATGCCGTATACTATTGTCGAACGCTAATAGTTTGGTCTCATCCTATGCCTACCAGAGCTGCACTTCACGCTGCGCTCGCGATGATCGCGGAGGCGGTGGCGACACCTGAAGTCGACACAACCCAAGAAATCGTCCTTGAAAAGGTGCTAAACCGTCACGCGCAGGACTTATAAGGATGCTATGGTTGTAGGAACGCAGCCGGGCGGCGACCCTCGCCAGCGTGCTTCACCGAGCGGACCTCGTCTTGCGCCAGCTCGTGGGACAGATCCTTCGGGATGCCAAGGAATCAAACAAAGCGTCCCTCCCGGCGCTTGCCAAGCACCTCTCGGCAGTCAAAGAGGCAGTGCTCCGAGAGTATGCGCGCGATACACGCGACAACGACGATGACATTGTCGATGGCCTCGTGGCGGCCTTTCTGCGGCAGTGTCGATTGGTCCAATAAAGTGCGCTTTGACGTTTTCGTACTTGTCTGAAATGGTGGCGCAACACGTCGCCCGGTTGGGCAGAGGTGCGTCGCCGCGGCTGCTAGTGACTCTCATACGTGGCAGCGTTGTAGACGATGCGCTCGCAGATGTCACGCCCTCGACGTCCACGACAGAGCTTACGCAGCTGGTCGAGCTAGCGTCCGGGCTCACGCACGAGGTGCTGCGCTTTCGCCTGACGCTGGTGGATGGCACATCCGTCGACTTGCGCACGGGCCGATCCGCCACGATGGCTACCCTCCTGCGCATGATGCAACGGGAAATCGCAACGACGACGCGGTCGCTTTCGTGGTAGCTTCTACACCCCCCAAAACAGCAACACAAGATCACATGCGCGGTAGGAGGAGCGTGCTGAAAGCCTATGAGCTACGCTGCAATGGCGCGCCGCTGCGCGCACCCACCAAGCAAGCCGCGCTCTCCATGTACCCTATGGTACATGCGAATGGCATTAATGAGCTCGTGTTCAAGCGCCATGTACAGCGGCGACGCGAGAAGCGATAATAATATCACCGAAACCAACGTCGTCGTGTTTCTTGGTTTGTCTTACGACTCGGTCTCGTCGTCTTCCTCCATGGCCGTGAGTAGCTGCTTGAGGTCCGTCCAGAGCGTCTCCCGGTCGTCGCCTTCGAGCGCGCCCGTGAGCTTCGCGCTGCGCTCTTCGCCCGTCGAGAGGAACCACAGCGCAATGAGGTGCGTGTCGCCATTCTCGGGCAGCGGGAAACCGTATTTGTCTTCGAGCCAGATCGGCGGGCCCTTGGCGAGGAGTCGGCGCAGCTCGGCCTTGCAGTCGGGCTCTACACGCGATCACGTGAGCTCGGTAGGCGCATATCGGCGATGGGACCTTGGACGCCCTTCATGTAGGCCGGGAACTGCGCGTCGAGGAGCTGCAGCGTGACCTCGGCGCAGAACTTGCTCGCGTGCCACGTCATGCTCGGGTACGTCTGGTACTCGCAGTAGTTGTCCTCCGTGATGTCGTCCATCGTCGCCAAGCACTCCATGCCCTCGGTCGGCGCCCCATGCTCCATTGTCGTCGTCGTGGCTAGTTTCGAAGTTCGAAGTTCGAAGGGGCGAAGATATTCAGCGATCCTATCAGGTGGCAGACGTCTATCGAAGCCTGCTGTGTGGGCTGTGTGGGTGAGGAACCAGGCCGGCTTACCTTCAACTGCGATGCGCCTCGATGCTACGAGCGCTCAGTTGCGCCGACGCGTGCGAGTCCTACACTGCACCTGATCGAGCGTGGCTACTGCGGGATTGTCCGTGACAAGCAAGGGTCAAGATACCCTTGGTGACAAGATACCGCAGTGGTGCGACTTCGCGAGTGGCAGATGCTGGCACGGACCATCATGCGAGACAGAAGCGCATGCATACTGGTACACGTAATAATATAGCTTTAGTTGGTTTAGGACGAGGATGGAAGAAGCACGCACGAAAACGAAGAGAGACTCACTTCTTGGCAAACTGCTCGCCACCGGCGTAGCTGTTGGCCATGATGAAGCGCTCGGTATAATGACCTTTGCAGAGCAGGGTTTCGCTCGCGTACGTAAAGTTCTTGAGCGTCAGCTGTGTCGCACACTGAGCGCACTTGAAGCAGCTGTGGTGGAAGACCTTGCCCTCGAGCGCCATCTTGCGGTCATGCAAGTACACGCTCGTACAGCAGTTGGCGCATTTCGGGCTGCTCTTGACCTTGAACACGATCGGCGTGCCCTTTCGGATGCTCGTCCCGTCGTCGCCGTCGTCCTCGCCCGAGTTGCGCCGCCGGAGGCGCATGTCGTGCAGCAGAAACGGGTTGGCGCTGAACGAGTCGGTGATCGACGAGATTTTACGCGGTCGGCCGTCGATGGGCAGCTCCGTCTACGCACCGATGAGCCTCATTCTGCGCCGCATGCGTCGCCTACGACAGCAGACCCTACCTCGGGCTCGGGCTCGTAGTACGTGACCGGCGGCTGCTTTGAGATCTCTTGCACGATGGCCGCCGAGACCACGTCGTCCTTTTGCTTCTTGAACTTGTCTTCGCCGCCGTACGAGTTCATGCGCTGAAAGAACGAGACGTAGTGAATCTTGCAGAGGAGCGTGTCGCCATGGTACGCGAACGAGTTGAGCGTGAGCTGCGACGCGCACTCGGTGCACTGAAGCACGCCTGTGGTAGAGGTGTTCGGTTTGGCGCGAACTGCAGTCGTGTATACACGGGCTGGTGCAGCCGCGCATTGGGCTCTCGTC